GATTTTTTCCTCTTTCTGGAAGTAGGAAAGGGCTTTAGCTGATGAGAGTTGAGACCTGCCAGCTTGTTTGTCCCAGGACAGCGGTGCAAGATCACCAAAGTTTGTAAGGCGCATGTGGTCCAAGAGGAGTAGTTCAGGTGCCGGCTTCTTAGTTCTCAGGCAAATCGTGTGTCAAAAGTCAGTGTTGATGTCTGTGTTGGCCCAGGGCGCTGTGCCAGAAGCCTGGGGTGACCCTTCTGAAGCAGCCGGGGCTGGACGGAGGAAGCGTCGCTCGAGGAGCCAGCTATGCCATGCCATGCCATACGGGGGCTGCATGTGAAATTTTGGTTTGTCGGTGGAACTTGGAAGGAGATCTCGCCGAAGCTCATCTCAATTAGCAGTTAGACGGTCTCTCCACATCATGCCTTTCATGGCAACTGTGTTATTCAACATCCAGGTCGCATGTGTCATGCAAGTGTACTGCTGTTGACCACCAACTTAAGGCTCATCCAGAAAGAGCAGAGGCTCGAAACTCGTGTTGCGCTTTGCGGGGAACTGCACTTGTGGTCATAAGACATGTACATACGCACCTGCACATGTGCACAGACACGCCTGTGCACATGTGCATGGTCTCTATGCGTGTATACGTAGATACCTAGCCATCTCCGTGAGGGAGCGGCATCCTGGGCTCCGTCTTCCAACGCCGCCCACACATAGTGACCCGGCATGTGTTCTATCTCGGCATGCGGTGGTTTCCGAAAATGGGGGGTACCTTGTCATGGGGGTCCTGCTTAAGTCCTGCTTAAAGGGGTCCCCTATGTTTCGTAAACCCTCATACTGACTGCAAATTGGGCTCTGAGGCCGAGGCAGTGCCAGAGGAGCCCACGTCCAGCTCCCCTCACACGACGCCGAGGGCGCCACAGTCGCCGAAATCTGCGGCGTCGCGTCGACGCTCGACAACATGTAATGATGTAATGTGGAGTTAGTAGTGGCATATAGAAAAATATTCTTGGTGATATGATGTATCGCGTGCGATTTATTGTAAGACTGGTGTCCGTGAGCAAGGTTCGAGCAGGCAGTCCCTGCCACTTGGCTTCACCAGAATGGTACGTCACTTCTTTGGTGGCATGTTGTTTCGTGAAAGGACCAGCGCATGAGAATGTATGTGAGCCTGAGAATGCTTTCGCCAAAGCACAGCTGGCCAGCGGTAGTCGCCTGGGCTCCCGAGGGACTCGCAGTCATCGAGATTGAGCCGATTGAGCCGCTGCTGGGCCTGCTACTAGCACAGGTTCGAGAGGTTCTTTTTCAAACCATTGGGCCCACGGAGATGAGGCAAAGACTGCAACTCTTTTGTCTTAGGTCGGTCACGTTCCAGCTCTCGATCAGGGGGCAAGAAGAAAGGTTTCTGGGCAGTGCTTCTGGGTCGCTCGGGCAGCGCGAGCAGCTTGAACAGCAAGGCGCGCGCCTCACTCTGCTTATAGGGGTACCCTCCTGGGGTCCTTTTTGAAGGGGACTCTATGTGATATTTGTTGGTAAAAAGGGGTACAGCTATTATAGGAAACCCCCCACATGTCCTGGTATGCATCACGGGGCATGTTGTGAGCCCTGGAAGGATCAGCCGCACCTTGACGGCCTCGAGGGAAGGTTCCAAGGCTTCTCTCAAGGACGGAGTCCACTGCTTTTTCCATTGTATCCTTTGGAAGCTTTTTTTGCGTTTTTTTTTTTCTTCTTCTTCTAAGGTCGTTGAATTTTGACTTTCCGACGGTGGGAAAACCAAGAAGTGAGTTTCAAAGTAAATGTGAAGACGTTCAGAACAGATACCAAAAGCGACAAGAATACAGATAATATTAAAAACAATAATGGGAAAACCATAGATTACCTTATACATATATATATATATATATATAATGTCTGAAGTATATTGGTGCAGGGTAGTAATTCCCAGGGCTCACAGCCGTGCAGCCGGGGATTCTTGAGAAGGGGCATATGGCAGATTCAGTGAAATCCTTTCTCTTTCCACTTTGCACGGCACTTGTGTGCCGTGATCCGTGTGGAAGACGCTCTAAACTCGATGCTTTTGCCTCTTGATGGTTGCTTTTCTTTCGTGCATTTTGCCGTGCAGTTTTTGTATAGAGGTGTACTTAATGCAGAGCGTGTGATACTTCGCGTTCAATGTCAAGATTATTGCAATGAGAACCGTAAACACCCAGCTGTTCAAAAGCCCATTAATTTGAGACATTCCCACTGGTGTTAGTTGCACCTGTGAACGAACATTTCTCAACTTGGTTGCAGAAGCCACCCTCTGCCCAGCCTGAGCATCGTCAAAGCTCGTCGAGTCTTTGTCTGGGTGGAGACTGAATGGGGCTTTTTGGGCTTAGAGCCTAGGGTTGTTCCACAAAAGACTTCAGGCATTGACCAGACCTGAACTACAGTAGATGTCGGTTGTCCATCCGAAAACCTCCAAATCATGTAACCAGGGGGGGGTGGGGGGGGGGGGGCGGCGGGCACCAAGCCCTTGCAAAAGGAGAGCCTCCGACGCCCACTGCCGGGCTCACATAAACCGCCGGCTGAAGTGGTTTTTTGGTTGATCTCATCGCATCGCCGGGATTTTGTTTGAAGCTCTATCAGTTGAGGCCACGCTGGCCCTCTCTGTTGTCTCGTGTTGGGCAATCTCGAATCGGCAATCGCCTCAACGCATTCAACTAGACAGCAGATGCAGATGCATAAAAACGCGCAGAGCTGGGCTGTCTGGCTCAGGGTAAACGGAGCCGAGAGCGCAATAGACAGGGAGCCAAGGCAGCCAAGGTGTCACAGGATGTTGCCAACTTCCACTATCACTACTGTCGTTGTTGCTGTTGGCTTACTGTGCTGCTACCTTGGCCAACAAAGGGCCTAAGCAAGCAAAAGTGGAGGCTAGCTTTCCATTTGCCAATATGCTGTGACGTCAGATCGGTTTAGCACAAGAGTTTCCTGCCTTGTGGGCTTCACAATCCGGCAGGCCAGGCAGTTTCCAGGTCATGTAGGATCATGTACTTGGGCCTCGGGATGCTTGTTAAAGGCGGCGGGTTTCTTGCGAAGCTTGGTTGTTGGCGTTTTTGTTGCGACTGTTCTACCCTGCGCCGCTGGCCGACGCCTTCCCTGGCGGTTTGAGCAGCCTTCTTTAGGGGTCTCCCGGTAGCATGCTGATCGAGTTTAAGGTATGACCCACGCTCCTATGAAGAAGCAACGCTGCGCGCAGCCGCCGCCGGTGCGGGCGTGATATCGAGTGACTCGGTCCAGCTTCTTGTGACAAGTTGTTCCGATTGCACTCGTAAAGGGCTTGCATCCACCTCTGAGGCTTCTCGCCGATGCAAGTTCGTGACTTGAGACCACCGGAGCTTCTGCCAGGGCCAGTCCAGGAATCGCAGGTCTTCAGCTTGCCAGGCGGGGCATGGGAGATCTTTCTGGATGTCATCAGAGGGCCCCTTCTGTGACAGGCAGCACAAGCGGGGAGACGGAGTTAAGTCCGCGGTTTGGCCGAGGCAGGCTTTTGGGGGGAAGCTAAGTGTTGGGTGGGTGAGGCCACGACTTAAACCAGGAGATGATGTTGGCAACTCGAAGTGAGCCGTGGATTGCGAAAGCTGTCTGACAGAAGCCAGGGCAGCGAAGGCGACGCAGAGAAATTTTCGCAGAGAGCTTAATCAGAAGACGCCATGCGCAAAGCAGCCAGGGTCCTCGATTGGGTCCCGATTGCGGCAGACGGGAGACAGGAGTCCCGTTCATTAAATATGAAGCCTTGCCGCTTTTGACTTCCCCCGGCCTAGCCACCATACACCCCCAGCTCTCTAGCCTAGCCAACCCCTTGACCTCTCAAAAACAGTTTTACTAGTACCACCATCTGGGAAACGGTGCGGGCTTGCTGTTTGCGGGTGGGTTTTTTGCCATCCAGCCAAGTCATGCTTTCCTTGTCCTGCTCGAACCATGCTCCGTTGATTCCGTTGATCATACGCATCCTATGCTCGGCATGTCGGCAGCGAAGGAATGGCAACATGGGAAGTGCCATGGGGAAACGGGGCGTTTCGCCTTGTGCCGCGCACGCAGGTTCTACGAGCTGGAGCAAGACTTCAGGCACATTTCCCCGTCACACATCCTTCGGATGCGGTCATTGAGTTGAACATTGGGGTCATTTCTGAGCACTGACTGTTTCGGGGGGAAGATGATGGAGATGGGCTTGCGGCTGGATTCTGGACATGATAAACCATACGGCTCTTGTCCTTGGTGGCTGGGCAACAAGGGAGGGGTCAAAACCGCAGTCAAACATGCAACCGCCAATTTACGAAGCTTAGACACGCAGACATGCAACGCCAAGCACGCGCGAGCATCACAATAGCAGTAGGTGAGATGCTGCGACAAAACATGCACAGACCATTGGGTCGAAGCAGTTTGTCATGTATTCAACCGCGTCTTGCTCATGCAACTGGGAGGACTGGACGCAAGCTCGTCTGCGACAAGCTTCTGCAAGACATCCGTCTCAGTCGCAGGCTTGTGGCCTCCGTGCCTTTCATGAAGTTCGCACCCCATTCTTCATGCGTGGATTAGCATCAGCATTGGCCAGGTTTCATGGAACACACTGCCTCGTTGACGAGCTTCAGGGAGGGTGAGCAATCGTGGCCTGTCGAGCCCCTGCCTGGCCCTTTCCATGAGCCTGTTCCTGACATGGAGGTCCAGTCTCCGGGAGGGCGCAGATTCTAGTCTGGAATGCTTCGGATGGGTTCCGGCTTCCGTGCCCCCATGTGAAAAATCTGCAGCAGCCAGCGTAGGAGATTGCATGACATGAGGGTGCCTTCTTGCTCCTCAAGGGAGTGTAAGGAAGGACTCACGCATTGTGCCAGAGCCAAACCGACCGCGAAAAAGAAGCTGATCATAGGCTGAAGGCAGACTGTCAATTTGTATGATGACTTGCATGGAAACTCATATTATGTTTGATGACTTGCATGGTTGCTCATATCCACTCGTCATGATTTCTGCGTCCCACATGGCAGGCCAAATTGGACAAACTTGGGGGGAGCCCTGGGAGATGACACGGCAACGCGGCTCGGCGCAACCGCAACAGCAAAGTGAAGTCTCGGCGCGAGATGTCTGCGGCTTTGGTAGGTTGAAGGTTGGAGAGTCCTGTAGCCCGTTGCAAGTTGCTAAGTTGAGGGACGTCAATTCCTGTTCTTTGTCCTGCTCGTTGAACTGAACTTCGCCCCCCCCCTTTTCTCGGTCCTGTTTGGTGCACTGCCTCAATGCGTGCATCTCACGTGCACCTTGCAAGGGATTTCAGGAGCTCGGAAGGCCATGCCGAAGCCGGCTCTGCAACTCTCAATGCATCATCGTCACACAAGCAGCTCACTATCGGCACCCAGACTCCTAATCTAAGTAAGACTCGTGAGGTAGTGTACCTGTAGTCCTACAGTCCTACAGGGACTTGCAGACTTAGTGACTTTACTCGGCCATGAATTCGGACGTTCCCTGCTTATGCTCGCAGTCCGGGACTTTCGTACACCCTACTATCATCCCTGTTAATATAGGGGGGGGGAACATCCCAAGCCATGAGTTCTGACCCAGGGCAAGCCACGAGCTGGGCATCATGGGCTTCAAGGCCCCTGTGCGAGGCTCGCTGGCACATGGCGCGAGCCCTGGACTTCCGTGCAAGGCATCGATGGGTTTAGGGTTTAGGGTTCAGGGTTGAACAAACCCGTTTGTCGTAGACAAAGGGTGAGATTGCCCGACACACGAGATGTTGGGATGACGACTCCATCCAGGCGAGGACATTCTGCAAGCCTGCTGCAAAACGGGTTTGTCAAAAGGGCTTAGGGTTTAAGGTGAGCAAACTCAAAAAAACGCCGGGAGCTTTCGCATGCCCAGGTTACACAGAGCGACCAGGTGATCGTACCGGAGAGGGTTCAAGATCCAGATCAGGTGCTCACAGCCAGAGGGTAACCAAAATTGCGGCCCTGAATGTGGGGGATATGTTTGCTCCGAGGCTCCGCCAGTCCCGTGAAGAACGCGCAAGGCGAGTACATACCCCCGCACAAGCCTCAGCTGCAGCCCTCCTAGCCGTGCTGTCATTTGTCTTGTCATGTGCGAATACAGAAGTGCTTTCTGTGGCAAGGCACGCAAGGCCATTGCCGAAGGGCGAGCGCTACAACCCGACACAGGACAGCTAGCTACCAGCAGCATCTAGCAACATAATTGTGCAGCAGCTGACATGTTCCGACTTGACTTAATGAAACCCTTTCTGCAGATGCTGGTCGTGGTCAGGAGCATACCTATCTCCAGCAGCTACAGCAGAGCTTTGGTTGAGCGAGTGTTGGACGTGTTCATCTTCAAGATGTGACAATCTTGTGCCTGGGTGGAGATTGCAGGTTTAGGAACCAAAGCATGCTTAGGATGAGCCAGTCGAGAGAGAGCACAGCACAGCCAGCAGCTCATTTGATCGCAAGTTGCGCATGCTTCGGCAGTCATCACGAATCTTGTTGGCATTCTGAGGAAGAGCGAGAGTGTGCGCAAGTTCAAGCGGGCTGTCGATTTGATCCGCAAGGCAGGGCGGGATGGTCGCTACCTAGCTGCTTTTTAGAACTGCGCGCTCTGCAGACTTCAAGAACAGGGACAAGTCCGCAGTGCGATCTTGCCAGGCACAGCCGGAGACGCGTGCAAGCCTGCACAGAGCTGAATGGGCTGGCGACGACACATCGGTGCAGTTGAGTGACTAAGTTCTCAGGCGTGGAGACGGGCCCATTGTTGCCGCTAGCCCTGCACCGTCGTGGGCTGAGTGCGACTGTCGAGGCGGTGGCACCATCAGATTTCTTTGCAACACATTGCAAGCCATGGGGTTCCGAGGGTAAAGCTTCCGATGGAAGCTCCAGGGTCTTCGCGCTGCGCTTGGCCTTGCTCTGCTGGCGCACTGGGAACTGAAGCATGAGTTCTTTGCTCAGGCAGCCTTCGGCACTGGCGCGCTTCCGCCACACGGTCAATGCTGTCCACTCCTCGTCCCATCATCGGGATCCAGGGAGTTATTAGGGGAGTGTGGAAAGTTGGGAGTTGAAGAGATGACTAGTAACAAAACACATCGACACATGCCGAGAGATCAGTAGAGTCATCACATTTGACAATTGGACATCTTGCAGCCTCTTGAAGGTCGGCTTGGCCACTGTTTAGAAATACAGAAATGAACTCACCAAGGTGCAAAAGTCATTGAAGGAAACCGTTGCTACCAGGGATGCTGGGCCAAAGTCAGGTGCCAAGCTGCAGCCTCTTAGCTTGTGGCCTTTGTCTCTTCTTACCCATGGCGCGACCTTTCAGACGCGACAAACGAACGAATCACTGGCAAGAGATTTCCAACACGTCATGAGCAACCTCTGCACACAAGGTTGTGCAGGTCCAAGTGCATGGTGTCATAGGAATGTGTAGCAGCAATCTCTGGCAAGAGGCGCTCAGAGACGCAGAGTGAGACAGAGATAGCTTCCCCGGATGTCGCCTAAACCACTTCTCGAACAAAGCTTGCCGCCCTAGTCGTCGGACGAGTTCCAGCACGCGTGGCCCTTGATGGTACAGCACAACATGTCCACAGTGCCCAGGAGTGACCGAGTGAGCCGCTGCGTTGCTCGAGGCTGGGACCAAAACTGAAGGCGTCCCGGCCGACTTGGCACAAATCTCCCAGTGCGGATCGGCCAGAGGCTCAGGCAAAAATCATGCCCAAAATGTCCAGGCCCACCTCCTGCCCGCTGAACATTCGCTGCGAGGTTGAGCGAGGCCCGTTCGAGTCCCAGGCCGAGTCCGAGGCCGAGCCCAAGACCGAGCCCCAGGCCGAGCTTCCACAAAGCTGCGTCGCCAGAGCCTCAGAGGGGGAACTAGGGGCAAGAGACTCAAGGAAGCAACAGAGCGTCTCGAAGCACAAGGCACAAAGATGCACAAAGGATCACAAATACACGCCAGGCAGGACTCTTTGCTCCAACGCTACCACACGCCCACTCCGCCATTGCCTCAGTGAGCCATCTGCGAGCGACACATGGCGGAGACCGTGCCTGATGAAGCTCCCCCCTGAGGTCGGAGGGTCCTTCGCGCAGAGGGTCGAGCAACCTGCCCTCGACCCAAGTTTGTTAGGTCCGTAGTCTGTGACGAATTGTCCCACCTGCATACATCCGAGAGTGAGGCTTGGCGAACCCCACCTTAGCCCGAAGGGGAGCCCACGTCCAGGGGGCCCTTGGAGTGGTAGGCCAGGCTCCCAGAAAGAGTTCGGAAGCAGGGCAGCCGTCGCATATCAAGACGAGTGATGTTCAGCAACCGAGGTTGCCAGAATCACTCTCTCAAGTTGAAGTAGCCGGCAGTGCGCGCTGGGCTTGGCGTATAGTCACTACTCACCAGTCTCTTGCCTCTTGCAGATTTGAAATCCGGAGAATGTGGATGTTCGTGTTGACAAACTTGTGCTGGGTCACACCCGTTTGAGAGGGGTGAAAGGGGCTGTACGACTGTACGATGGTTGTTGGGGTTGTTGGGCCCCAGTGCTTGCCTTTGAGGTTGGACAAGGCTGTTCTTTCTCGGATGGGGTCAGGCAACACGTGCTGGACTTAAACGTTGTTCCCGCTGTACTCGTGAACAACAACCGTGACCCTGCCGACGGGCATGCTGCTGACAATGAGGCTAGGTGAAAATCGTCTCAGCCCCAAGGGCAGCCCCCGTCCAGCGGGACTTTCCGGTGACAGGCCAGCAGCCAGGAAGAGTTCGCATGTCAGAGCGAGTGATGTGGAGCACCCGAGGTCGCCAGAATCACTCTCTCAAGTTGAAGCAGCCGGCACTGCGCCTTGAGCTTAGTCGCAAGTCGCGCGTGCCAGTCCATTGCGAATCGCAGCGTGCTGATGTTCTTGTGAACCACACGGTGCGCTGGGTATCTCTTGGGAGCAGTGTGAGCTTCGGACACGCCTGGACACGCCTGGACACGCCTGTGAAGCTGAGATTACGAGACAGACGAGGCTGTGCCTGGAGTAGAGGGCTGAGTGGCCCCAGAACTTTCCTTTGAGGCTGGACGAAGCTGTTCCTTCTCGGTGGGGGTCAGGCAACACGTGCTGGACTCAACATTGTTCCCGCTGTACTTGTGACAAACCGTGATCAAACGTGGCCAACAGTTGCTCGAACCCGACGGGCATGCTGCTGACAATGAGGCTAGGTGAAAATCGTCTCAGCCCCAAGGGCAGCCCCCGTCCAGCGGGACTTTCCGGTGACAGGCCAGCAGCCAGGAAGAGTTCGCATGTCAGAGCGAGTGATGTGGAGCACCCGAGGTCGCCAGAATCACTCTCTCAAGTTGAAGCAGCCGGCACTGCGCCTTGAGCTTAGTCGCAAGTCGCGCGTGCCAGTCCATTGCGAATCGCAGCGTGCTGATGTTCTTGTGAACCACACGGTGCGCTGGGTATCTCTTGGGAGCAGTGTGAGCTTCGGACACGCCTGGACACGCCTGGACACGCCTGTGAAGCTGAGATTACGAGACAGACGAGGCTGTGCCTGGAGTAGAGGGCTGAGTGGCCCCAGAACTTTCCTTTGAGGCTGGACGAAGCTGTTCCTTCTCGGTGGGGGTCAGGCAACACGTGCTGGACTCAACATTGTTCCCGCTGTACTTGTGACAAACCGTGATCAAACGTGGCCAACAGTTGCTCGAACCCGACGGGCATGCTGCTGACAATGAGGCTAGGTGAAAATCGTCTCAGCCCCAAGGGCAGCCCCCGTCCAGCGGGACTTTCCGGTGACAGGTCAGCAGCCAGGGAGAGTTCGGAAGCATAGCACCCGTGCTTCGCATGTCAGAGGGAGTGATGTGAAGCACCCGAGGTCGCCAGAATCACTCTCTCAAGTTGAAGCAGCCGGCACTGCGCCTTGAGCTTAGTCGCAAGTCGCGCGCGTTTGTCTGTTGTTTGGCGTGGTCCCACCCCTTTTCTTTGAGGTTGGACACAGTTGTTCCTTCTCGGCTTGGGTCACGAAACACGTGCTGCGCTCAGCGCTGTTCTCGCTGTGCTCGTGACCAGCAGCTTCTTGAATGCCTGTGCTGCAGACTATTGCTGCATACTGCTGAGGTTGAGCGGAGCCCGGCCCAGCCCAAATGCAAGCCCTGAGGGGAGCCCCGCGGGGAGTGTCGAGGGGTCCCCGAAGGGGTTTTCCAGCAGGCCAGGAGGCCTGGAAAAGCAGCTCAGACTCGCAGCAACAGTGTTTGAAAGAGCAACCAAGGCTGACAGACTCATTCTCTCAACCTGAAGAGGCAGCCAGCATGCCTTTGACCTAGCCAGTCATGCCTTACATGCTGTCAAGCTGGCAAGCAGCCTTCGCTTATATTCACAGTGCTGCTGCTGCAGAAAGTTGCTGGATGATGTTGTGCATGTGCATGGTTTCTTCGCCCAGGTTCAATCAAACGGACCCCTCTCTGGATGCACCCTGCAACGCGCCTGAAGCCCACAAAGGAGACTGTCTTCCATTCAGGCTCAGATGTCCACGGCCACAGTTCTGCAAGTTGAGGTCCAACGAACCACAGGCTCAGACGGCCTCTGCTGGACAGTGCCCGCCTTGCAGGGCCATAGAAGGTAATGTGCTGCAGCACGAGTCGAGGCGTTGCAAGGCCCAACAATGCCGTCATGCAAGGTTCGGTGAGAAGCACTTCGCAACTGCAGTTGCGGCCCCCGGAGTTGGGAACAGACCTGAGATGCCTGTGGGATACGGCGGGAGTTATGCAGTTTGTGCGAAAACACATGCAAACCCTAAACCCTAAACCCTAAACTCTAAACCCCTAAACCCCTAAACCCTAAAGCCTGCCATTGCCGTGCCCTGGCCGAAGAGGCACGGAGAGTCTCGTGCGACAACGGCAAGCTCGGTCGGAATGCCCGGCGCTTGACAATGAAGGCTTTGCGGTCCAGGGTTTAGGGTTAGGGTTTAGGGTTTAGTGTTGAGGGTTGAGGGTTCAGGGTTTAGGGTTCCAGCTAATACTGCCAGTGCATGCTGGTTAGGGGATGAGGACAGCTGAAAGTCAGACATCCCTTCGACGGTTGTAATTCCCAGCGCTCGCTCCCCGCAACCTACAATATCTGGGCGGGTACCTTTGGAGTGATTCAAAATTTCACACTACCCATGCCACAGGGAACTCCTGTGCAAAACTGTGTACGGCACAAAGGCCGGGCGAGTCCCGGGCAACAACAGCTGGCTCCAGCAACCACCTGCACGCGTGCCTTGGCTTGTGTGCTGGCCATTCGCTTCCGGAATGGTTTTGCACTTTCCATGAATGTGCTTGTTCAGGTTCGGGGATCACTTTCCTTCAAAGACCACCACCTTGCCGAACCTGCGAGGTTCTCAAGACCTGGCTTTCTTACCTCCCTGGCTCACGGTTTTGGCGTTCATTGGAAAACAGAAGCCAGTCCTTTCACTTTTGTCACATTTTGAGGACCGGCGACACGCGTGCCCCAACGGCACTAAGCACGTGAGAGCCTCGGGCGTAAAGCAACTCTCAGTCAGGAAGCTCATCAATGTGGGCATCATGCAAGCCCTAAAACCCTAAACTCCAAATCCTCTGAGTCGCTTCGTGTTAGCTATGCGGGAGCGAACAAAAACTAAACCCTAAACCTTAAACCCTAAACCCTAAACCCTAAGCCCTAACCCCTAAACCCTGAACCCTAAACCCTAAGCCCTAAGCCCTACACCCTACACCCTAAACCCTAGAGTGGATGCCTCTCGAAGGCTGGATGAGAGGCAGACGGGCTCCAAGGTTTCTGGTTTACCCTTGCCGGTGCCTGAGATGCTGAAGACATTCCTAAGCCCGGCGAACGCCTTCGAGACAAGTACAAGCAGTGGAAGCACCAGATGTGCAAGGATGAACCATGCAGAACCATGATGAACCCCATGATGAACTTCATGATGAACCCCATGATGAACTTCATGATGAACCCCATGATGAACACCATGAAGAACACCATGTCTGGCAGATGCAGGCCTCCTGCAGCTCAGTTTCTGTGTTGAGGATGCCCGGAGAGTCGCGGGCACCTTCGACCGGCTCTGGCAGCGTGCACGGGCCTTCTTGTGGTGGCAAGCAGGGCCTCTGACTGTCTACTGACTGCTTAAGAACCCCCCAAAAAATTGATAATGTTCTTCCATAAGGGCAATAAGGGGATTACTATCTACTATCCTTTACTTTTTTGGGGTGTTAAGCAAAGAGTAGACTGTAAGCTTCCCGGAGCACTCCGGCTGTCTGTATCAGGATGGTCGATCCTCGCCTTCTGTCGAAGTGCGAAGCTCGGAGAGCAGTTGCCTTGGGTTTAGGGTTTAGGGTTCAGGGTTTAGGGTTTAGGCGAGGACGTTCTGCAAGCCTGCTGCAAAAGGGTTTAGGGTTTAGGGAGCAGTTGCCTTCCATGGCCCTACGATGCCCTCTGCTCGACTAGCCTTAAGCGTAGAGTCTGCTACCGTTGTGATGAAGATAGCCGGATCGATCGCCACCATGATAATGTCAGAGTGAAATGGAGCCCTGGAAAGTCTTGAAAGAGAGAAGAGGGCTTGGACAAGAGAGCTTTTTGAGCAGGCCATCAGAGGGACACTGCAGCACAGCGGTGAATATCCCCAGCACGCGCAAACGTTCGCTCAGATGGCCAAGAGTACGTAGGAAGTGTAAATGTGGGAAAATGTAGCTCTGAGACTGAAAAAGCACTCTGCGAATTAATAAACAAAATTCGTCCCAAACAGTGATTTTCAGTGAATCCTCCAGGCCAAAGAGGATTACGGTGTCTTCATATATATAGATATATGTATCTCTCTCTCTCTCTCTCACTCTCTCTCTCACTCTCTCACTCTCTCTCTCTCTCTCTCTCTCTCTCGCTCTCTTTCTGTTATGGCCGCTGCCGCTTCGGACACGTGAGACGCAGCGTTTCGACACTGCGTCCAAGGCCCAGCGATGCGGCAACATCGGCCCACTCTTCGCAGTGCATGCCTCGAGGGGGGATCTTTGAAAGCACAGGGAGGCTCACACCTTTGCATTTTGTCTGCAGGGCTGCGTCATGGGCAGCGGCTGCGATGGAGAAAAGTCTGTGAGGACCTCGAGAAAGCCGCATACAGGTTTTGACATGTTCCGGGCTGCTTTTTTTGCCTGATACACAGGTGAGAAGATAAATTTCAGCTTGTCTTGTTTGCGGGCTTGTTGGGCTAGCATTGTATTTTCTGCACAACTCCACGCCGCACATGTGGTTTGAGTTCACTTGCAATTAGAGAGGTAGCTGAACCAAAAAAGACCAAAAGAACTTCGCGATTCAGTCAACCTGCCCAAGCAGCAGCCAGCCAGCTCGCCAGCGTATGAGGTCTGAATGCGCGCGGCATCCGCCCTGACTCCCAGCATGTGACTTCTTGTCTAGTCGGGTCCAGTGCGCTCGCCGGCTGGGGCATCCTGCATGAAGTCATGGTTGGCGCGGGCGAATGTGTGCCCGTAGGACGCAGTTTTGGTTCAGGAGGAGGTGAGCCAAGGCATTTTGGAGGGCTTTTCCCAGCCCCCAAGAGGCCCAAGCGGAGCCTCGGATGCACGAAGTGTCGCCCTACAGACTTCGAGTTTTCCGCGCGGGGTGAGTTTCAGGTCTTCCTCCCCTCCGCCATGGGCCGCCGGAAAGAAGAAAGTGAGGAAGAAGAAGAAGAAGAAAGCCCTTGGCATGCTACTAATGATGCTAATGTTGGCTAATGCTTCTAAATGGAATGAAACCATAATATAAGCACTGTGGTCTGCAAAGTGTGCCGTGATGATGCTGTGATGCAGTTCGCAAAGCTGGAGCCATGTATGGCTGTGCATCATTGTGTGGGCCGCCTGTGCCTCCCGCATCCCAGGTGAGTATGAATATGAATACGAAGAGGAAACCATGTCGGACAGCGCCGAGAGCGACCGTGCCAAGAAGGCAGCGGACACAGATATGAAGTTAGCTGATGCGTGACGACATTTCCATGAGCAACAAACTCAGGCGCGGGAGACAAAGAAAGAAGCGCGCGACCGAGAGCGTGATCGAGGAAAGAAGAAGAGGCGCCTTCAAACAAGGGTCACGCCAGGAGGGGCCTTATGTTTGTGGTTGTTGTTTTGGTTTGGTGGAATGGCTTGGTTTGATCGTTTGGTTGGGTTGATTACTTTGCTGTCCAAGTGGTGCGGTTGCTGATACGAATGCGGTTGTGGTTTTGTTTGTTTTTTTTTTATAGTTTGGTGTGTGGTTTCTTGTTGCTTAGTTTTTGTACGTATATATCCATGTATATGTATATGTGATAGATAGATAGATAGAAATAGATAGATATATGTATATGTATATGTATAGGTATATGTATACGTATACGTAAATGTATATGTATATGCTCCCCCCCCGTGGCTTTGCACTTCTGTGTTTTTTACTTTTGCACTTACTGTCTTTTTGTACTTGTTTGGCCACTGTGTGCTTATCTACGCTTATCCAAGCATACAGAAGCACAAAATCATACAAAATCCAAAATTCCAGGAAAGTGTGGAGTATTGGAGTTGTGAATGTTTGGAACTTTGGGTTTTTGAGTCCATTTTTCTCACGAAGAAGAGGGCCACCAGTCATCAGAATTTCAATACCGTCCGCACCACTCGAAACGTGAACACGGAATTCATAGGATGCTCAATAGCATATTCAATAAGATTTAGAATGTGAGTTTTCTGTATATGAACACCATGTAAATTCTTGGCTATTCAAACATTGCAAAGCACGTACACGTGTCATGCACAGGCCCTTGCTAAGGAGGCTTAACCAAAAAAAGCTTAATTAAATGTGTCAGTATCTAATTTGTGCAGATTTAGAAACAGAAGCTGGATAATCATTTTTCAGTAAGAACCATCCTGGGATCCTGGTATCTGCTGTTTTCAGAAAGTTGACATCTCATGAACAACCTTACCTTTCGATGACGAGTGTTTCGGTTGTTCTGACCGTTTGAGCTTGTAATATTGTATTGCCCACCTATGATTGTTATAGTAGGGCCTACTAGAATCTCATTAACGCCTTAGCTACTCGATTGAAGACAGATCGCCTGCTCAAAAGCCAAGAACGTTTTGAAAATAGATTCCCCCCAAAACGCCGATAAGATGTTGAATAGAATCGTTCACAGAAAGTAGTAGGGCTTATGTCCGGTATCATGGCCAGTGAACTAGCTGTCCACTCGAGGGCCAGGGACCATTCATGTCGAGGGCGTGCATGTCAGGCTGCAAGGTGGAACTCCTATTAACTCTTGCACGTGGAGACCGTGCAAGTATCTCATGTAAATCCCAGAAGGGTTAGTTTGTGCCGGGAGAGATATTATTTCTTTAGATGCTTGACCCTGAGAGCAATCTATGTTTTGTTGGAAGTATGGAGGCATGCCTTCGGTGAAGAGGCCCAGCTCCCCTTCTGGCTCCTCTAATGATCCAAGTTCCACACTTCCCAAATTCTAGACATGCACATTTCCAAGGCAAGTCAAGGACCCAAAGCTTTCTGACGAAATCGCATAGGAGGTTTGGAGGGGGGCGGGGCCTCTCTTAGTAATGAATAGCAAGTAGCCAATTCATGTGCAAATTTATGTGCAGGGAGACGGGGTTTCTTTGTTTGTTGGGTTTTTGGATCAAGTATGGCCCTAGGCCCTAGGCCCTAGGCCCTAGGCCCTAGAGACCCTTGTATCTCACATTTCTAACCAAGACATACCAAGACTGATCAGAAATGCAGGGAACACTCTAGAACATGTAGTGTATACAGGAACTTTCACAGTCGAGGTTGGTCAATTGGCCGGGGGGGGGGGGGGGGGGGGGGGACCATTTCTGTATATGCATATACATATATATATATATATACATATGTATCTCTGTCTCTGTCTCTGTCTCTATCTCTATCTCTATCTCTATCTCTATCTCTATCTCTATCTCTATCTTTATGTGTGTGTGTGTGTGTGTGTGTGTCTGAGTGTGTCTGTGTGTGTCTGTGTGTGTCTGTGTGTGTCTGTGTGTGTGTGTGTGTGTGTATGTGTGTGTGTGTGTGTGTCTGTGTGTGTGTGTGTGTGTGTGTGTGTGTGTGTGTCTGTGTGTGTGTGTGTGTGTGTGTCCGGTTCTGTGTCCGTGTCTGTGTCTGTGTCTGTGTGTGTCCGTGTGTGTCTGTGTGTGTCTGTGTGTCTCTGTGTGTGTGTGTGTGTGTGTGTGTCTGCGTCTGCCGTTGTCGTTGTCGTCGTCTCCATGTCGAACAAATGTACGAACATTTGAGGACGAAGTGTCGGGCTCCAAAGAACTTCAACTCAACGCAGCTAGGCCCCGAAACATGTGGAATAGCCTACACAAGCAGGTACTCGGTTTCTTTTCTATACTTTCTGCATCCTTCTGCCCGTGGTGATGATGCACACTTGTGCCAGCTTGCATCTCGAGATGGGTCGGATTTTCGCACAAAGCTCGCTGCTTGCCTGCCTGCAGGTCACGAGACCGAGAGAAGGACAATGGCAGGTCACGAGACCGGGAGAAGGACAATGGCAGGTCACGAGACCGGGAGAAGGACAATGGCAGGTCAAGAGGCCGGGAGAAGGACAACGGCAAAAGCCGCGGCAGAAGTCGAGAAAGAGAACGCCGCAGGCAGGGCTCGCCAGTCTCTTGTAGCTGCTTTGCAGCTGCTTTGCAGCTGCTTTGTAGCTGCTTTGTAGCTGGACAAGTTGCACACTATGTGCTCAGCACTCGCGCTGCTTATGTCCAACGGTGTTGGAAATCCCAAGCGTTTGCCACACCAACAGCTTTGCACTTGGAAGGCGGTCGCGGACTCGGAGCCCCTCCAGAGATGAGAATCGGGCTCCATCTCCGAAGTATTCAACGGAGGAGCCTCACATAGGGTGATGGTTGACCATGATGTGGTACGATGTGACCTTGTGTATGGCATCTCGATATTCGACGGGATGACTACCCGTACAGTCCTCTCCGAATGTGAAGTACTGGCCTGGACTTCCGTAGACCGCGAGGACCTATGGCGCAGACTCCAGCACTTAGGCACCTGGAAAGGATTAGGCGCCTGCAGCTTCGCACGCATGGATGTCCAATGTCTAAAGTCGCCAAGAGCACGAAGTGCCCTGAAGTCGAGCTGCCAGGGAAGAAGGAGAAGATGCGGGGCAAGCTGAGTGGGGCAGAGAAAGATGACCTCAGATCCTTAGAGAAGAAGCTGGAGAAGCGGCTTAACACGGGCTACCGCTCCTAGGCCTGAGGAGCCTCTACCAAGAAGTGGGAATAGTGAAGCTTAAGATCGCCGAGGCACGTCGAGCATTCGCACAGCACGAGACTCAGCAAAGCCTCCCCCTTTTTTTTCTCGAAGAGTTCGGGGAAATTCGCTGCATTTGGAGAAGAAGCCTTTGTCTTGTCACTACGCTTGTGGACATGCTCCGCTCATGCCCTAACCGAGGCCTTGATGATTCTCGAAATGGGTTTCGAGGTCAAGGAGGAGCAGATGGGTAGAATGCTGGCGCAGTGCATGCAGCGGCCTGGCATGGTGCCCTGCTTAAGCTGATGCTTGATGCCGCTGACAGTTAGCGGAGATGTTGTGCCTTCGGACCTGCGAGGTGCAGATATGCATGACAATCAAGCTTCTGCAGATTGCGCGGTGCTGAGTTGGAGCATCTTGAGCCAGATGCCTTGAAGACAACATCTATTGTACATGAGCAAACGCTAAATACTTTCTGACTTCAAAGCCTGTAGTGCGACGGGGTACTTGAGAAGCGACATCTTCTGAGTTTGCGTCTCCTGCATGTTACCAGAGAGACACCAGCAACACTTGCACGGTCACGCCACGCAGCAAGCAGGAACGACAGGCGCATGGAGAGATTCCGAAAGCCAGACCCGGCACCCTTGAACTTCTCCTTCGGTTACACATGGTATGTCTTATGACGAGGCAGTTTCCAAAGGGACAACTTCAGACATGGAGCACAGAAACCGGATGAAAGAACCCTGCAAAGGGGAGGGGGGCACTTGAAAAGCCACAACGCCCCCCCCCCCCCCCCCCCCCCCCAAAAAAAAAAAAAAAATGAATAAATAAAATTAAAAACATAAAAAATGAATAAAATACAGTGAACAATTCACAAGCATGTGCTCGTATCAATGTAGATACATTCGGTGCGGTTCGGTTCCCCTCACAAGCCAGGGCTGTCCTGCTGTTGCTAGACCTACCAAGATTCCAAACGCCGCCATTCCAGTGGAGCACTTCCTGCGTGGTTTGGGTGTCCTCGTGCAGAGGAACTTCCCAGTGCAGCTTTGCGTGCAAGTAGCAGTGTTGCAAGGGTTTGCAGAAGAAAGAGGGTTCGGGGTTGGGCTTTGTATCGGGATTCACCTATAAGTGACGATGGCGGCCATGTGCTTATTCTGGCATTGTTTTGAACAGAAGTGGGGATTTCCGAAATTAGGGGACCCAAAAATGGACCCCAACTAGTAGGATAATACGGACCCCAATAAGGTGCCCCTAAAAACGCTACTATCGTAAACCCCCAAGCTACTGTTGGGGGGCCAGTCTTGAGAGGTGCTGGTTTTAGCAAGAGTAGGGCTGCTTTTTTTTTCACCTGAAGGTGGGTGCAGGGGTGAGGTGGTCTTTTCCACAGGATTTCACAGGGTACTAGCTGTCGCGAAGCACCTCATCACTTTAGCTTGACTCACTCTTTCACTCACTTTAGATTTGTTACTCTCATGCTCCATCAATCCGTCACACACTCACTCACCTCACTTTCTCATTCCCACTCACACTCAGTTCTCTTTTTTTCTCTCTCCTTCACTCTCACTCTCGCTTCACACTAATTCATGTTCTCGCACTCAGGACTCAGTACGCCCTCTCTCTCTCACATCACACACTGGTTTTCTTGTTCTCCCTGTCTCTGGCGCTCACTCTTTCACCGTCTCTGTCTCTGTCTTCTCTGTGTCTCTCTCTTGGCCTGGCCCTCGAGTCGTTGTGCGCTGAGGCAGATCCTGAGAATGTGGCTCAACATGGGCTGCCCTAGAGATCAGCGGTCTTTGCGACCTCTTCCGCGGCTCAGCTACCCAGTTCATCATGGAGAGAGACATCATGGCGCTCTTTAGCCACTTTAGCCTCCATGCGCCACCCCAGGTATGACTACGACGACGATGAGAAGAGGCGCGTGCCATGATGCCCTCGATACTTCCGGTAGAAAGTCCAAGGGTCTGCGTTTCCCTCCCTTCCGCCCCTTTCCCTGCTGACCAGGATGGTGGGACAGGACCTCGAAGATGCCCTTGGCGTCATCACCGATGACGAGGAAGACCGGCGAGGAGCCGATCGCCGTGTGATTCTCGTCCAGGCCCGGGGTATTTTCGGATGGCTCAGAGCCACAGGGACGTAGGTTCTTTGCTGAGACCTCTCAGGAGTGCAAAGCCAGACCGGAGCTGAATGGCAAATACGCCCCCTTGCTGCAAAGGGAGAAGATGAGAAGGCATTAGAAGCCAATCCTTTCAAGTCATGGCAGTATCTTTTGATGCGATACCAGTTTTTTCCTGTGCTGTTTTGCTCAGGCTTGCAGTTGAGAAAAATGCAGCATGAAAAACGAACGCATCAAGATCTATTTATCAGCCTTTCGGTGCTTCCTCCGGTGTGTTCAGCTTTCAGGAGCGGTCCTCGGATCTGATGGCGCATGGTCGGCCGGTTTTCGAAAAGAAGGCAGAAGTCCGGAATCGGAAAGGCAAAGGCAAAGGCCGGCACCCTGTCGCCTTCGTTTGATGCGACGCACACACATACACACACGTACATATATACATGTATATATATATACATACAATCTCATATATATATATATATGCATATATATATGTATATAATACTTACAAAAAAAGCAAATAGGTCTGTTTCTCTACACTCTTTCTTTCCCCTATATATACGGTGTTCATGTATGTATGTACATATATATATATATATGTGATCTACAGATTCTTTATATTGGTGTTCAAAGCACAATCGAGCACTCACCAGGCAAAGGCAAGCACGATGCAAACGAGATGAAGCGGCTGCTTATGCCTCACATGCTGGACGATGATGACATCACAATTGAAGTCATGGTCATCCACTACAAGAAGGACATCGTTTGCCCGTAGGGCCCGTCGGTAGGTCGGAAGGTCTGTAGCTGGAACCGGCTTGAAGGACAGGAATGGCATCAACACCGGTTGGTGGATCAGCAAGAATACTTGCACAGGCACACGCTCTGTGTGCCTCAGTGTGCCCGTGTCCGTGATTTTGTGTGTCGCTTCTGCAGAATGCCGCAGTCTGCGAAGTGTTCGCCGTTGTTCTTCTTTCTTCAGGTCCCGGTCTCGCATGGAATGGCCGAGACACCAAAGGTCCACCTACAGGCGGTTGGTTTGTCATCCGTGATCGCCAGAAGCTGCCAGATCCAGCCACTCAGCTACCGAAGGATTTTTGGGCGAAAGGTTTTGCAACTCTTGCCCTGCTCTGCCTCGGGCGGCAAGACCCGGCTGCAGCAGAATCGTGCAATGCGCGCCAAGCTTGCTTTGCTGTTGTTAGAAAACAAGCCGCAGGGTCAACTCCTTGAAGTGCTTGGTCCGCACAAGTCAGCAAATGGCTGAAAGGGTTGCAAAATCACTCCTGCCCCTGGCTTAGCCTCGCTGACCTTCGAGGTGAACATCATTGATCCGAAGCAGGCGAGTGACGATTCTGGGCTGCCGTAGATTGCAGTGCTCGAGGCTCGGGTCTTTCTGTGCCAGAAAGTCGGTCGAAGATCTCAGGAGAGCTATCTCAAGAAGCGGAAGAATGAGGCGCCCTAGCTATGAAGTTCTTAGCATGAGCAGCATCGCTTTTGTGCCACTCTCAAGCAAGTCACTCGCAACAAGGCTGTTCGAGCTTTGGAGCAGTTGGATGGCAACAAGCTCAAGGGGCGCCTCCAAGTGAAAGACAAGCACCTCGATGTGACACACCGATTCGACATCCGTGACAGCCCTCATGGTAGTGGGTGCCTCATGCGCCACTTTCAGGAACGTCATGGCATCGGAGTACTTCGGCCACTTCTGTATGCTGATGCATCTGGAGCACATGGAGGAGCTGCGGCAGATCAGGTGCATGACGCAGGAGAGTTTAAGCGCAGTATATACATTGGGGGTGTTCCCCCTTATACTAACAGTCCTTAATAGGGATTATAGTACCCCCTATTAGAATCCCTACTAAGGACTGTTAGTCTCAGAGGGAACATCCCAGACCGAAGCCGTGAATGGTTCTTGAGAGGCGGCGCACTGAGACCATGCAAGATGCCGAGCTGCAGCGGCTGGGCTGGTGCCTGGATGGCCTCCCTTGCATCTTGGCGTCAGCTTGGCCTGAGCTTAGCAGAGAAGTGCAACAAAAAACGCTGCCGAAGGCTTGGCGCCTCCGGGGCTTCTGCATAGCACCTCACGGCGACTTCATGTTCGCTTAAACCCCATGCTGCAGGTATTGGGATCTTCGGCAGGCGTGACCCGAAGAAGACCACCATTATCGGCTGCCTGACTTTCCTGAGCTTGCGCCCAAAGTTGGGAAGGCCGGAGCACAGATTCAGCCAAGGCTGGGAAGATCCTGGAAGCGAGATGGGCACCCTTCAGCTCCCACCAAACACACAGACGCTTGTCAACTCATTGTCATCTCACGAATGGCGTCAGTGAGTGCTCAACGCTTTGGCAAGAAAAAGTGCGTTGCGGTGCTCATGCTCCGTGATCTCTCAGGTTTGACCGCCTGAAATTCAAGCGGGGAGACTCCGTGATCATCAGCGGCTTAGCTGCGAACGTTAGCTCCGGTTCGGCAGCGCCCGGCATAGGCCTGGCCTGAGCTTCCTCTAAGGTGAGTCAAGACAGCAGGTTCGAGTCAAGGGCGAGGCTTTGGAGAAGCTGGGTGAGGGCTTTATCGCGGACATCCAGCCTCTCAGCTACCATGTCCAAGCGGAAGCGCGGCATCTAGGGTTTAGGGTTTAGGGCTTAGGGCTTCGGGTTTGCAGGGTATTACAGTTTTTTTTGGGTTCAGGGTTTGTGGAGTGTGGCGTGGGACGAGCTGGGCAGTAATTAGGGGCAGCCGCCGTCGAGTCCCTTGTGAAAAAAGGGTTTACGGGGTTTACAGGGCTTATAGATTTGCTTTAAGGTTGCCTCGTGGGCGCGATGGCGAGAGCAAGATGATCGTCCGACTTCGCGGATGTTGGCCCGACGATGCGATGCCGGGAACTCACTGTTCTTTTTTTTTCGGGCTTTCAAGCTGGGCTCTATCTGATGTATACAACCATATTCCGGTTACATATATACCTTTGTATACTTAGAAATGTGTATTTACATACTATATATACATACACGTACAAATGCATATTGTTCAAATAAGTTATGTATTTATGTCGCCTCTCCCTCTCTCTGTCTTGTCAGGTCCCGGCGTTGGCGCATCGACAAGGGAGCCAACAGCACCCTCTACGAGCGCCAGCTGCAGGCGATGCTGAATCTGGTGAACAAGGAGTGCCTCCGACCAGGGTTGAGGGTTGAGGGTTTCAGGTTTGCTTAAACCGTACTTGGTGGCTTAAGTCGCGTCCGCTCTGGAGAGCTCAATGCCTGCCCTCCTCTAATTAGGGGGCTGCAAAGCCTCTCATCTTCGCTTGCCGGATGCTTGCTGATGCGGCCTGAAGTAGCAGGACAGATCGCGCGTGCGGGGGCCTGAAAGGGAAAGAGTGACCTCTTGGTGAGGCGACGAAACACGTCAAGCGGAACGCTCCACACCATGCCTACGTAGCCCTACTTCTGAGGGCGGCGCCAAAACTGGTGACCTCTTGAATTTCGAGAGATTTCGAGAGCAGTTGTAGGCAGTTGTAGGAAGCAGGAAGTAGGACTGAATCAACTGAAACACCGCAGAACAGCTCTGAGCGCTGAGGCCAGAGCTCCTGATTTCCGCGAAGGTTGGCTTGGCCGACAGCTGGGCCAAGCAGTGGCGAAAGGGTCAGGGAGTCACAGAGGAAGACAAAGAGCTCGCGGCAAAGGCAAGACGAGACACCTTCTAGGCATAATGCATCTATGAGAGGGGAGAAGACAGAACAGACATGAACGGAGGGCCGAGTGGCACATGTTCTTCAGGCAGCTGAGCAAGCAGAGAAGGATGTCCTCAGAGAGAAGGAGGCTCCCCCCCCGTCATCCTGTTTCAATCATGTCGAGGGTTCAGGGTTTAGGGCTCCAACTCAGGGGTTTATAACCCTAAACCCTAAACCCTAAACCCTAAACCCTTATAAGTTCCGGGTTCAAGAACGGGTTTAGGGCTCGCAGTGGCTGGGCCTGGCTCGCGTTCAGGCAGCAAAGCTCGCTCGGCTGAACCCGGGCGGATGTGAGTCCGAGAAGCTGGCGTCCTGCTTGGAATGGCCTGGCATTGCAAAAACTGTTGTGTGGCTTAGGGTTTAGGGGCAAAGGGGTTTGCAAAAAGGGGGAGTTGCGCGGTTGACTCCATGACGCAGCTGCTCCGTGGTCTTCGTGGCCGTCCTTCTCCAAGGACAAAGCGCTGAAGGAAGTCAAAACCTTGTCCCACCTCAACCAGTCGCAGCGGGATGCGGTGTGGCTCAGCTCGTACCGGTTTGAGCCTTCCCTCGCCACATGAGTGTGCCTGTCTTTTCTGGCGTTTGTGTCTGTGACCCTTCTTGTGTTGATGCCATTGACTGCTATTGGCTGAGTAGGCTTGCCTGATCTTCAGGCGCTCGGCGTTGCGAACAACCTGTACGGTCATTCAGGGCCCGCCTGGCACAGGCAAAACCCACGCAGCCAAGTCGCACCCAGTTTCGCTTCAGAGGTGCAAGCAGCACGGATGTGCTTCCCTTTCAGATTCCACGAAACGAAGGTGTCCGTTCAGATCATGAAGATGTGGTCCAAGACCCTGGACCTTTCGCCTTTGCTTGCGACATCTGACAGCTCCTGGGCGCTCTCAGAGAGTGTAGCTGTATCAGCAAGAGCATGTGCTGTGTGACTGTGCTTGTTTGAATTTGCGTCCTAGGCAATCCAGCCGTGGACAATATTGCCATCGGGCTCCGGAAGGAAGGCGTCAGAGCCGTTCGCGTGGGACGCCCGGACAAGATCAACCGCATTCTGGAGGAGATCACGTACCGCGGCGGCAGTTCAGAAACATCACACATGCCGACAAAGCGTCATCCCTGAAACCTCGCGGCAGGCTGGAGTGCCTTCTGGACAAGGAGAAAGAAGAGATGAAAAACAGGCTCCTGTGCTCCACCTGACATGTCGGATGGCAAGATGCTTGGGGTGATCAGGCAGTATGAATCTCGCTTCAAATCCCGATCACGGTCCAAGACCGGAAGTCCACAGCGAAAGGCAGTCTCGAGATCGAGGCAGGGAGTGCATACATGGCAGCATATGGGGGGGGGTTCTGATCTTGGGCTCCTTACAGGGGTATGTAGGGTTATGAAGGAGAGGACCGCAACTTTTTGTCAACTCCCCGCAACATATGGTAGCATGTCCGGAACAGCAGAAACCACAGTCTGGCCAGGTCTAGATCCGGTCCACGCCGCGCCGCTTGGACTTAAGGACATTCTCCCTAAACCCTCAACCCTAAACCCTAATCAACGCTCGGTGGGGCGCTATCTCTCCATCTGCAATCGAGAAGGCGGGCACAATATGTAGCAGTGGGCTTGCAGCTGTCAGGTCAAAGGTAAAGGAAAAGGCAAGGGCAACGTCAAGAACGATTTCGAGCTTCAAATGCGAATTCTGCAGGTGGCTTGTCTCGATTGTGAGGGTTGCAGAATTCAGGTCCTAGTGGTCCTAGTGGCCCCAGCAAGGACATAGCCTTCCTGCCTGCTTAGGATGCGGATGTCATTTGCACGACCACGATTTCTTCCGGCCAGCATCCAAGTTGCCACTCGTGCAACCTGTCCACTGCTGTTTGCATTATCTCGCAGGCGGCGACTTCTTCTCGAAGTTTGCCTTCGCCGGGGTCCTCATCGACGAGGCGGCGCAAGCCACAGAGTTGGCTGCCATCGTGCCACTCATCCTGCGAGGCTCAATGTTCTGTTGCTGTTGTGCTTGTGGTTAGGAGTTTTTTGTGTTCCATGGAGCCCTGGAAGCCCTGGCAAGGCTCGCAGAGACTTGTCTTGGTGGGGGACCAGTGCCAGCTGCCTCCGACTGTGCAGTCCAGCGAGGCAGTGTGGGAGCAAAACGGCTTTTGACAGCTGTTGGCAGCGCTGTTTCCACATCTCCTGTGGGATTTTTTACGGGCCTGTGCAGGCCGAAGAGAGAGGCCTTTCACTTTCGCTCTATTCGCGCAGCTTTGAAAGCAAAAAGGGCTGAGCTGAGTGCAACGATTATGTGGAGTCTTGGTTTGGTTCCAGTCACCAGCAGCTTTGAGGCATGGTGGACTCTGGAGGGTTGACGCCCTTCCTTCTGGACACACAGTTCCGAAGTCACCCGATCATCGCCGAGGAAGGAAGCAGAGATCTGTAAGGGTCCTGCATCATCCCAGACTCTAGACCTCGCCTGTTTATTCTACTTTCATGTCACTGATGCAGCCTGCCAGTTCTCCGCTCGCACTTTCTATGCAGGGAAGCCACACAGTCGCATCAAGCTACCAGTTCTGCCCCGCAGTAGAAGAAAATCGCAGTAGGCATACGAAAGCTAGCCAAGGCTGAGATCCGGCATTCGGCCCGAGGACAGGAAGCAGGTCCGTGGCAGCTTGGTTCACATTCGCGCCGCGTCGCTCCCATTCTCGTGCATCTCATGAGTGTCTCATGGACGCTACGGACTAGTTGCAGCGCAAAAGCACTTCGAATATCAGATTGCCCTCCGATATCCTACCGACATGATCATGCCGAGCCCATGCCGAGCAGACCGAGCCACACCGCAGGAAGCCACAAATTGTCTCTTTTTGGCCATATGGCTCCGGGGAGCCTGCGGGCCAAAGCAGACCTTCTTGGGCTCAGGTCTGCCGTGGCCGAACTACCAGTCTCCCATCGCCTTCATCGAGTCGAACGGCGCTGAGGAGGCAGAGGGTGAGTCCAAGTTCAACCCCACCGAAGCGGAGGTGGTACAGAGACTGGTCCAGGCACAGGGCAGCTGCAGGGACTTTGCATCACGTTGGGACCAAGTCTGCCATAAGTAGATCTTGCCCGAGTTAAGCATGGACAGGACTGCTTCTTCCAGCGCGAGCTAGAAATCACAGAGATCGGCGTTGTGACTCCCTACGTCGCGCAAGTGCGGCTGCTTAAGCGGAGCGGAACTCAGTTGCCAGCACCCACGCATCAGGGCCCCCTTTAAAAAGGATTGTGGGGGGGGGGGGGGGGGAAGGGGCTAAATGATTGCAGATTGCCGCAATCATTTCGACCCTCCAGGAAATGATTGCAGAAGGGGTTGGGGGTCCATATCCTTGGGTCTGAGAGACATCATGAGCCATGGTTAAACGCATGAAGCTATGTGACAGAATCTTGCTTTCAATAGGGTTTAGGGTTTAGGGTCTCCAGCCACCACAGGAATTGATTGCAGAGGGGTCGAGGGGCTTGGGGGCTGGCAATCATGACTGTGTCACTGCGGGTAGCCGCCGCAGGAATTGATTGCAGGGGGGGGGGGTCGAGGGGCTTGGGGGCTGGCAATCATAACTGTGTCACAACGGGGAGCAAAAGTATGCGTGTCTTTGCCAGTCGAGGACCCCACGCCCTGAACCCTCGCGTCAACATAGCCATGTGGAAATGATTCCAGACCCCTTCCCATTGGGGGGGGCTACCCCCCTAAATGATTGCCGGGTGGGGGGGGGGGGGGGGGGCTTAAATACCGGAGTGAGCCATGATACCCACGCCCAGATCTAACAACACGCCACTGCACCGTGGCACCTGACGAAGCCATAGATGACTGACGGGGATGAAGTCCCGGGCAGCGCCATGGGTGAAGTCTCACTATGGTAAGGATGCTCAGCAAGTCTCCCCCTTCAAAGGGGAGGATAGCGATAGTGACCAAATCAGACCTGTCGAGAGCAGTGCACGGCGCCGGCTCAGCGGTCAACTGCGACCAACGTGACGAACGGTGACGGGTCCTTCTGCTTTTTTGTTTCAACAAGGTACAGAAGAGGTGCCCAAAGGAACCAGGGGCAAGGCAAATCCGGGGGGCGACCCAGACCACGAAGACCTATCTGTCAAAGTCGTTCTCGGCCTGGGCCTGCTTCGTATTTCCTAGCACCATGTTGCATGCAGTTCATTTTGTGCCTCAGCACTTGTAAGCCGTTCTGCTGACGGGCAGCAGAAATTGGCAACTAAGGATGTGCAAGCAGGTCATACCCGAAGGGATGGACCCCGAACTCTTAGAGAGCCTTGGCCTGGCACTTGCCGGAAGTTACAACGCATTACAGTTCATCTCAATCAAAGTATTACAAGGTATTGCAAAGCATTTCAAAATCATTACAAAGAGTATTACAAAGCATTACAAAGTATTACAAAGTATTCCAAAGTATGGCAAAGTATGGCAAAGTGTTTCAAAGTACTACAAAAGTACTACAAAGTGACAATGCACCTCGGCTCCGGCTCCCCTGGAGTCCAAGGATTGCCTCGGTGGATCAGTTCCAGGGTCGTGAGAAGGACTTGATCATCTTCTCAGCGGTCCGCTGCAACAGGCACCGGGGATCAACTTCGGACTCCGAGACAACTCGGTTGGACATGGGACGTAGACATCGATCATAGAGCCTAGGACCTAGGAAGCAACCTGCAGAACAAAAGTCTCTGCTTGCTTACACCATGTCGCCATTGGAGCTGCTGCCCTTTTTTAGCAGGATTGGAAATGTTGGTTTCCTTGCCGACTGGCGTCGGCTAAATGTGATGCTCACACGAGCACGCCGAGGAATGCGTCCCTGCTGCCGATAGAGATAGAGGTATCATTATTTTCTTGACACGAGTTCCACTGTTTTTCTTCTTGTGCTTGGGATGCGGAGGAAGCTTTCTGCACATGGCGGCATGTCATGAGCATGCCTCGTCCGAGGGTGGTTGTGGGAAACTCACATACGCTCAAAGCAGATGAGCACTGGGAGAAGTGGCTCCAGTTCTATGAGAAAGTTGCTTCAGGCCGGTTGTTGCTTGCAAACTGAACCCCTCTCGCGCCCACCGGTTGCCCATACATCCGCAGTTGTCAGAGTTGCGACACTGAAGAGGCAGGGCTCGGTCTCCCAGCCCGAACAAGAAGAAGCAGGAGGCACCTCCCAACGAGACGGAGGAGGAGAAAGAGGCGCGGCTCAAGAAGGAGCGTCCCTTGGTTAAGAAATAACCCTCACAGCACTTTCTTGCGTTTCCATGCGCAGGGCTCAAGAAGTGGCCCACCTTGCCACTTTGCCACCCAGCCCAGGCATCGAAGCCGCACGGAAGCTGTCGATGGCCATCCGATTTCCGGGTCTGGCAATGGCGCAGCAGAAAAAGAAGGAGAGACAACATAGAGACATCTAGAGACGCACAACAACATCTTTATGCCACATCCTTGGGCCCAGGGCCCAAAACTATCCACAGAATTCCCGAGGAGGAGCAGCGGTCCCGCTCGAGATCATGGTCTCCGGAAGGCGGTGGCCTGGTTGGTACCGCGGACACCAAGTTCAAGGCCCAAGTAGTGCCCCGAGGCCCGAGGGAGGCATTCCAGTCATGAGAAATCCGACGAGGCGATGGGTGGCAGGACGAAAGCGCGCGTCAAGACGCCATCGCCTGATCGACCCCTGAAAGTTCAAAAGGCGATCGCGCCGTGTCGGTGCAGAGTTTGGGGCCAACTCGCTTTCGCAGCGCGCCAGCGTGCTCTTACTGTGACTTGCGAGGCCATTGGCATCGGGCGCCGCAACAAGGCCGTTCTGCTAGTTTGCTTTAACAAAGTCATTGGAGCTTCGCTGGTCAGTGGTTTTTCCCGCTGCAATCAGTGCGCACAGGGTGACGAGTTCACGAAGCCCGCGCCGAACGGAGCTGGCAAGGCCAAGGCCAAGGCCAAACCTCTGCCTTCGCAGAGCACAGCCTCGCAGTCCGAGAGGTTGCGCTTCATGCGTGTCAGCCTGTGAAGTCTTTTTCTGACATATGCTTCATGTTCACTGCGGCAGGCCAAAGCGAAAGTGGCTATTGCATCGGACTCCGAAGGATCTGCGCATTCCTAAAGCGAGATGCAAGAAGCGACGAGCACATCAGAGAGCCTTACGACGAAGCATTGCAGGGCGTGCAACATCATGATATGCTTGTCGCAGAGTGATAACGCCATTAGCGACTGGAGCAACCGGCAGAAGGCAATTGCACTGGTGCAGTCCCTCCAAGCCTCTAAATCTCTAGAGAAGAACAATTGCTATCTGCAAGATGCTCCAGGCGGTCTCAGGGCCCTTGTGCACACCCATCAACTCTATGCGGGCAAAGAGCAAAGGGCATGAAGCAGCCATAGCACGGAAGCCTCCAGAATGAACGGCGCAACGCCGCCAAACATCGCCACACTGCCCCTCGTGAAAGACTTCCCTCGAGGACAGCATGTCGTCGTGGCTGCCGTGTGTTCTCTCTGACAAGCTTGCCTTTGCCAGCAGTCAGAAAAAGGTGAAGCTGTGAAGAGCACATTGCAGAGCTACTTTGTTTTTTTGAGTTCACCAAACAGTGTGCCATGGGGGCGGCAATCTCTTGAAGTCTTGGGGGGTCACGATTCGGAGGTCCCGGCAGGGGTGCTTTGGGGGCTGCAGCGGGTGGGAAGTCGACTTGTGCAGTACCAATGTAACAGCACGCGGTGGGACGTCAAGAAACCGTCGTCTTTTGAAGTGCAAACGTATACGTGGAGGACGTCCTGTCCAGTGGCACTTGCGTGCAACCACAATGCCTGGCAACATGTGAACAAATGAGTGGCATCACCTGTACATGCGTGATGTGGGCAGCTTGGTCTTATGCTTGAACATGTCCTCGTGAGGAAGGTGCGCGCGACGAAAATCAGCCGATGCTTGCGCCTTCAGACCGAGGTCCGCAGCCAGCGCTATGCGCTCTGAGCCAAGTTCCACACAGGCCCTTTGACGCACAGATTGGCTCCATGAAACCTGCACAGAGGAAACGGCAAGAGTATTGCTGAGGCAGTGAGTTGCGCTTTTAAAGGGCAGAAGCACTTAAGACTGATCGCTCTCTGGGTTGTTGAGCAGTGGTCGGACCCTTCCAGACTAGTAGAGGGCCTGGCCTGTGTTTGTTGCAAAGAGGCTTCCCGGGCACAGACGCCGCAGTTGGACCAAGCGCCCCCGTGGAGGCAAGGAATCCTATCATGGGCTTTTACCATATTGGCGGTACCTTATTGGGGGGTCTTCATGATAAGGGAATCATAGTATTTGAGGGAGTAAATTTTGGGGGTCCCTTATTCTCATAACCCCCCCCCACATGAGCTTTTGACCATTTTTTATGGCTTGGTGAACCTGACTTCCAGGCGGCCCGGCACTTCTGGCGGTGCCTCCGGCGCCTCCGTGCCACGTAGCCGCTGCTCGGAAAAACAGAAAAGCAGGGTCTAGGCTTTAGGGTTTAGGGTTTAGGGTGTAGGGTGTTTAGGGTTTAGGGTTTAGGGTTAAATCATCACCCAACCTTCTGGGATGATCCGGGATGATGCGACTTCAAGCTTTCCGGTGGCCGTGCCCTGAGGTCCTCAGTCGCAGGGCTCAACCAGGCCGGAGCAATCCCCAGAGCACCGACCTTAGAATTGACTCCACACTTGCTCAAACTCTTTGCCCGAGCCCTCTTCTTGAGCCCCCTAAACCCTAAACCCTAAACCCTAAACCCTAAACCCTAAACCCTGAAACAAAAACCAAGATGGTTGAGGCTTGTCTTGAGCAGCTTCGGATACAAAGCTCCAGACTCCCGGAGTGCTTCCAAGCTCTCCAAGGGCTCCAAGCGTGAGGGCCTCGGTCGCCCAGAGCAGTGTCGGCGCGTAATTGCCTGGATCTGATACTCTCATGTCATGATTTCCGTAGACACTATTTTTTGTACACGATGTCTCACGTGTATGTTCTTTATGTAACTACATATATACATATATATGTATGTGTGTTTGTGTGCGTTGTGCTGCTAGACCTTCCACTTCCTCAACTTCTCTCTCACCTGCGCCGCCAGCGCTTTTGGTTCGAATGTGAGCGATATGCTCTCCCGGGTAGGGGTCCAGCTTCTTGGGCCAAGCCGCTTTGCGAGGCCTCGAATCTTTCCCAGGGCTCGGAACTCCTGCGGTGCGGTTTCGGGTTTAGGGTTTAGGGTTTAGGGTTTAGGGTTTAGGGTGTAGGGTGTAGGGTTTAGGGTTTAGGGTTTATAGGGCAGTTTGAGAAGCAACGTGCAAGAACTCATCCCCGCATCCTTTGAGGCTGCGAAGCAAGATGCGCTGGTCCAAGAAGGCGCGCGACGATGACCTGGGGGTGGTGCCCGTGAGGGCGGGCAAAACCTCGGACTCGGAGGAGGCACGCGCAATTTTCGGAGTACACACGCACAGATTTCGATTGGGGGTTTGCGGTTGGAGGTTTTTGTTTTGAGTTTGCTATTTTTGGGCTTGCAGCGTCGGCTTCCTTCACTCTCAATTCTGCCTTTGGGACACCCTTGCTACTTCCCAAGCACTAAGTCGCACAAAGAGCTTGCAGGATCTCTTGGAGAGAGGCGGACCGTCCGGGAAATTGCAAGACCTACAGCCGAAGAGCACGGTCTTAGGAGCCATGGACCATGCGGGATTTCTTTTTTTTCTGTGGCTTGAGAGTCATGGAGACTCTACGATCCTGCTCAGGAGCCGCGCTGATGCTGGCAGGCATGTTCTTCCGAGACAAAAGCATGGGTCGACGAGCCATTGCCTTGAGTGTAGCTGTGCTTCTCAGCTTGTAAAATCTGTTACTGGTATGATGTTTTTTCCCGTATATAGTTTTCCCTGCTGTGGTAAGGCGTAGGGGGGGGGGGGGTGGGGCGAAAGGGCGGGAGGTCAAACCAAGATTTAAATTGCGTAGCTCCTGATTGCCATGAGGTTTGTACTGCTCCTGCTAGAGATCGGCGCTGTGCTGTACTACAGCAGCGTGCAGAAGAATTACATGACGGCACTCCAGGAGAAGAATATTGATGCTTTTTACCATGGGCTTTGGATGGTGGGGGCAGTGATCGTCTTCATCAGTCCTATCATCGCACTTCATGAGTACACCTCTGGCAGCTTTGACATGAAACTCTCCGAGTTTTCTAGGGAGCGTGACTGTTCTATTGCATCTGAAAGGTTTGTGCTTGCAGCCTCTGCTCAGGCATGCTGAAGATGACCTGGCGAGCCTCTTTAACCAGGCGATTCGCTGGATTGTATCTCGCAGCCCCGGGTTACTGTGAGGGCAACCCTTTCTACCGACTGACGCTGACCGGGGAGATCGACAACCCGGATCAGCGCATCTGCCAGGCGCCATCATTGTCAGTCCTCACTCCTCACCACTTGAGATGCTTTTCCCTTCTGCTAAGAGTCCTTAACAGGGATGAGAGCAGGAGATACTATAATCCCCATTAAGGACTGTACGGATAAGGGGGAACATCCCAAAGCACAACCATTAAGCTAAGAGCTTGCCACGTGTCCCGGGCACTGTCCTGAAAGCTAAGCCTTCAGGACGTGCAGGAATTCGTTGGCATTGCGGTTCACTTAGCGCAGGACATTGTCAGGACTGACTGCAGTTGTGTGTCTTTGGCGAAGGGCTGTGAGACCACGGCTGTATCGTACTACTCTGTACTGGACTTGTTTGTTGAAAGCAGGACGGTCCTGAACATCGTCAGCTTCGCAGCCATCCTGTACTCGATTTCTCCTGCAGCCTGTTACGGGGTCCTGGTGTATTCTATCTCGGGCACCGTCATTGCAACGAAGGGCTTCGGGCCATGGTTGGGGTTCTACCAGCTTGCGCGGGTCAAGCAGGAAGCGGGCCTGCGCCGGGGGCTGAGTGGCGGAAAGCGCTCTGACTCGTAGAAAAGTCCGCGCTTGAGGGGCCGAGCAGTTCATCAAAGCTTAGAAGTGGAGAGTTGCTGAGTTGCCAGCTGCTTTGAAACTTGAAATATACTAGTATAGACATGCCATCTTGAAGACCCTCAGGATATGACTTGATTCGTGTGCGGGAGAACGCCGAGTCTGTGGCTTTCTTCGAGGGCGGCGAGGCGGAGTGGTCCAAGTTTAACACGCTCTTCTCGAGCCTCCTTCAGACGGTGTATAAGAGTGTCCTGGTCACTTCTGGCTTTGGGATGTTCAATCGCTCTTTCCACTGGGCCACCTTTGCTGTGGCACCTCTTCTCGTCGGCCCGGCCTATCTGCGCGGCGAGGTGCAGTTTGGCGTCATCTCCCAGGCCAGCATGGCCTTCAACATCATCCTTGGTGCCATGACACTCATCATGGACAAGCTGGAGTCGATGACGGATGTCGCGGTCCGTGTACGACGTCTGGAAGACCTGGAGCTCTCCCTACGGAAGTGCCAAAACGAGACCCAGATGTCTCGCAAGGCAGGGCTGGCTGGTGTGGAGTGCATAGCAAGTTCTGAGCCCAGCTCCACCGATCCGGCCATGCTCCGTTTCTGCGAGTTGACGCTTCGGACCCCACCTCGCGCAGGCATTCTGCAACAGACGCTGTGCCATAATCTTTCCTTCGAGTTGGTCCGTGACCAATCCTTGCTGATTGTTGGCGAAAGTGGCATCGGGAAGAGCTCCTTGCTGCGTGCCGCGGCTGGGCTTTGGACAGATGGTCGCGGTACACTTCAGCTTTGCGAGCGGCGGAAGGTCTTCTTCATGCCCCAGAAGCCGTACATGTTTCTGGGGTCGCTCAGGGACCAGCTGTTGTACCCCCACGTAGACGAAAGCTTCGTCAAAGACTCTGATTTGGAGAAGGCTCTCAAGCAGGTGAACCTTGGGCACCTGCTCGAGCAGCACAACCTGTCAGAGTCAAAGGAGTGGGCCAGCCTGCTGTCACTAGGACAGCAGCAGCGCATCAACTTTGCACGAGTCTTGCTGCGCTCAGATGCTCGAATGGCGCTGATAGATGAGGGCACATCTGCGTGCGATCCGGCCAATGAGGCTTTGTTGTACGAGCTGCTGGGTCAGCGTCTTTGCAGCTATGTGTCCATTGGTCACAGACCCGCGCTGCAGAAATTTCACAGTCATGTGCTTTGGCTTCACAAGCCTTCGCTTAACAGCACGGCTTCTGCGTGCTCTCCCAGCGCTGCAGATCCCACCCAGATCGAATTCATGCCAATGGCAGAGTTCCAGGAGAGGAATCCAGCGCTGGCATACAGGGAATGAGTAGCAATACGGGGAGATGTGCACGGAAGTTCCTGCCAGACGAGCATGAGACGATGGACCTGATCGTGGCGGTAGCAAGTTGATCTGAGATTTTTTGGATGCACGAAATACTTCGGTTTCCCTTGAACTGGCGACATGTCAGTCGCGGCAGCCTGTTTTCACCCATCTGGTCCCAGCAAGTATTGTTCTCACGTGTGGACACGTCGCCGTTGTAGAGTGTGGAGGCCATCAACTGCCGAGATCAATAGCCCAAGCGCAGTGTCCACAACGCGGTGCCGTCGGTTTCCGGCCCCTTTGCTTATAGTACAGAAGACGGTCGAAGGTAAACCGACTTCCGGATGCAGAAGCGTCATCTTTCGGCGCGCAGGGAACACTGCGCTCGCCCTTCAAGACTCGAGACAAAGCGTTGTCCAGGGGAGGTCGTTTGAGTGAGATGGAGCCGAATCTGTAGCCCAGGCAGAAGTACTTCGTAGGCCCTTGATGTCGTCTGACCCATAAACATGATTTCATGCTGGCAGGATCCTTGCCCAGCAATGCATCGTCACCAGAACGGACGCTCCAAGCTAAGAGAGGGTGTGTGGTGTGGTTTTGTATATCATGTCCAGTGGAACGTCAGGCACACAAGACAAGGGCCACTTGTTGAGTCCAAGCATCTCATTTTGTCAGGGCGTCTGAGGCGGCGGGGGTCCTCAGAGTCTGAAGTGGGAAGCACGGGCGAATTCGGTCAGAGATTCGCAGATGCTACACATGGATGGGCTTTCCTTCTCAAGTTACATGGTTTCTTTGGTTAACGCGGTCAAGAAATGCTAGACTGACAGATCCCCACAGTGCACAGTGCCTGTCCAAAAGGCGCATCGTGTTGCATGTGGAAAGTCCCAACCTGAAAGTCTGAAAGACAGCCCCACAGGCGCAGCCGGGTTTGGTGCTGACGCGAGCTACCTTTGGGTCTGCTGGATGCCCATGACTGTACCACACGGCCCCATAGGGCCTACTAGGTTACCAGGTGCAAGAAGCCTGAATCGTTCAGCTCCGAAGCGCCATGTGGGCACGTCGCATCGGCGCGCCGGCAAGATGCCCATCACAAACCCGGGCCTTTTGGCAGAATTCTGTTTTGGCGCTCATATGCTGTTGATGCAAGGCTGGATGCTTGGAGATGACAAGTAGCTAAACGAGAACTAGGGTGGTGGCATAATTGCACCAGGCCTTGCCGTGGATGTTGGAAGAGAAGCTGTTGCAGGTTTCATTCTTTGGTGTTTTGTGGGTTCCGCTGTGAATAAGGTCATCATCCAGAGCATGATGAACGGAGCTTTGCCCGCGACAAGGGGCTTTTGGGGCGCGGGAGGGCGGGGGGCAGCAGGATGCGAGAAGGCCAGCGTCACTCAGCCTAGTGCGTGTCATCGTCAGGAGCAATTGGGCTGGTTGTCTACCAGTACATGGCCTCTTGGCTCCACCAGTGGGCCAATGCGTTCCTCCTATTCATCGCTCTCTGCAGGACAGCCTATCAGCAGGCAATTTGGATTACACTCTCGAGAGTGCTTCGGTAGCATCAGGATTTTGTTGCACCATAGTGTTGGAAAAAGATAAGCAAGATGCAGGATTGCATGCTCCCGCGACTGAGCATAAGAACCTCTGCACATCTCCAAGGCGTTGGCAAGTCGAACCTCACCTGTCTCACGGGTTGGCTCCGGCGCAACGAGCTGACGTCATGGCCGCCCCACAAAATACAGTCGTTACAGCATACGGGGATACAAGTCGCACGAGGCCATTATGGCGAAGTGTACTCCACGAACCTCAGATTACTCAGAGAACATCCGAGGACCCAGTATGATACATGGAGCCGATGGTGGGAGCAGCGTGGCCTGTTGGGTTTGGGAGCCTCATCACCTGAGCCGCACTTGCGGCCAAGGTTTGGCAAGCAATACGCCGCGAATCTGATGTTTCCTCTGTGTTTCGTTGAAGCGTTTCAGTTTGCCAGCCTCAGGTATCAAACAGGTGTAGACCAGTACGTGATGAACAACACGTGCGTTCCATTTCCGACCGGAGCATATGAGCAAAGCTGCAAGAACATGCGTGCCCCGACTTCAAGCTGCAGTCGCATTCGGCTTCTCTTGTGAGTGTGGTGTGGGGCGGTGAGCCGTTGCTCGACGTGCTGAGCTTCTGCTGAGGCGTTCCTGTGCACGAGTTCGAGAGCCGGCTAGGATATCCTTTGGGCCTGGGTGAGCAGGTGAGCGTCAACAATGAAATCCTGCACCGCAGACGCAAATGGTTGGCCGTGCTGTTAAGAACCATCTCGTTACATCCATCCAACAGGTGTGAGTGTGTGTGTGTGTGCGCGCGCGCAATGGCTCCTGCTGCAAGTAGTATACTTAGCACAAGTGAACTTGCGATGGTTGAGGTACGCTTTTGCCTACACATTCCTGGTGCTTGGGTGGCTCGACTGAAGCAGCTAAGCTTGGGGTCTGGTCTCGCCTGTGCTGGCGAATGTGCACGGTGCAATTCTTGCCCAACTTACAGTATCTGAGGATTCTGAACTTAATTGGATTTGCGGTCCACGATCTCACGCTCCTGTCTAGGACTGGGCTGAGTGCGGACAGCCGAGTTGCTTGAGTCTTCGTGTGCGAAGGGCTTTAAAGCTTGTAAAACCCTCCCCAGCGCCTTGGGCAGATCTCAGCAAAACTACGTCCTCGACTGGCCGGCTTTCAATGAAGGCTTCTCAGACAGAAGCTGCATGCGGCTGACAGGGACACGGAGTTGTGTACAGTAGATAAAATAGCTCGTCGCTTTAGCTGCATGTTCATTGCATGAACTTCAGGTTTTCCTATTTTTCGACGGTTCACGAAGCTGTCAGGCCACATGTTGGGGAAGGTCTTGCTTTCTGCGAAGCCTTGCTGGCTTTTGAGCTGGTATCCACGCGGATATGTGCATTGCAGGCATTACCATTCTCCGCACGCTCTTCTCTATAGAGGGCACGGGCAGCAAGCTGGCAATGCTGATAGGCATCATTTTGTCCCTTGGCTTCTGAGCTCAGACTTAACAGGACAAGGGAAAGGAACAGGACACCCAATTGGAGTGTTTGCATATGGGTCCCCTTGGACAGATTGGATTTGCAAACGCCGTGTTGAGGACCCCAATTGTTACAGCTTGGGCCCTGCTGTTCCTCGTGTTCATCGTGACACCGGCCCTGTTGCTCTTATACGTGCGCTATCCTGCGCAGCGGTTGCAAGATGGTGCAAGTTGATGGAATGCACGTGTCGGTCTTTGGGACTTCCTTTGCTGCAATCCATACATGTGCTCTGAGACATGGCATGACTAGCTGCTGAGGTCCGACTAAGCCGCTTTGCAGTTTTTCTGACATTGATTGCCTGGAGCCCAGCCTGAAACAGGGGCGAGGCCTATGCCGGTTGAGTGATGCAGCATGCTCCGCATGCTTGAGGCAACAGCAGTTTTTGGACTGACAATGGCTATCATCCCGCTCCCTGGACCAAATCAAGACCCCAATCTCTGCAATGCCGCGGCTCTGCCCCTTAAGTTTCTGAGTGAGGCTTGTGTATCTGGTCAATCTGAACGAGCGGCCGCGGTATGCACTGGAATCTCGCAAGCAAGGGCAGATCCCGGGATGTTGAACCTTGCGACATCCTGCGAACTCTGACAACTCTTGAGGTTTATCAGGTGCCGGATTACTCTCCGGGAGACTGTGTCCCGGCGCACACTTCTAATGCTGACCGTGCCTCAGTAGATGCGCAGCTTCAGGCTACTGTGGCTGTTCCTACTTCATCAATGCAGCTAGCCTGGTTCGAATCTTTGCGATTGGAGCTGGAGAAACGTGGCTGCAAACTGCCTTGGCCAAGCACGTACAGTGTATACAGTGTACAGTCTCACAGTGGCACATGGCCCTGTGTGTTTTTCTGAGGTGGTATTCACCTCCTGCCTTTCGGCTTTCCGCTGCCTCAAGGGACTTCGACGAGCACAGTGGGCGAACCTCATGCCCCCTGGCGACAACATGTCTTTCCGTAAATTATGAAGGCGTACGCCTCGAACAGGGTGAGGCGACTGTCGCAGCATTCCAAGAGCACCCAAAGAGCACCATGTGGAGACCGCTTTAAGCCTACGAGCCCTACAAAAGCATGCCAACTCCAACGGGCCAAAGGATGAGAAGCTAGCCAGGGGGACCGAGGCAAGAATGCTGTATTTCGAATGCGCTTGAAACAGACGCACGAAACGAAGCCGTCCAACAGCCCGAGGGGCAGGAAAGTTCATGAAAGCCTCAATCAGTGTGTGGGGTCACATGGGAGCGTGATTTTGGACCACCACATGCACACTGGGTCAGAGCGTGATTTGTCACGCCGAGACAATGGTAGTAGTTTGTTCAAAACCACCACTCGTGCAACCCGAAACCCGAAAAACGCCCGCGCCCGGGTGAGGGCGTTGTGGACCCCAAGCGGGTGTCGTGCCTGGGCAAGAGACTCAAGCAGCTACTGTAACTGGGCTCCTCTGTTAGGAGATCAGGTGCGAGAGCACGCTGTCGCTTTATCGGCTGCAGCTCATGCACTGGCAAGCCACTCCCCCTCCTTTGTTAACTTGCAGGTCCGTCCTGCAACTTGGCTGCAGGCGTCCATGCAATCTCGCAATCTCGGCGTGCATCGTCATGTTTAGGATCCCGACCGGGTACAGCACATGCAGTGCCCAAGGTTTCCTATTCCCCTCACGGTCTACTCTGTGTTCTGGAACACCCCCAACGGTGATCCGATTCGGCACAGAAAGGCACTGTCCTTTGGTGTGGCAGTACTTCCTGCAGAGTGCTTCGGCAAGGCTAGTCTCTGTACAGAGCAAACCTCAATCAGGAGGGCGAGCCGGTGCAATCGGAGTTGGCATTTGATCCCTTCGCCTTAATGGATGAGCAGCCAGAGAGCAGACGCTGAGCGGCAAAGGCGAAGCAGCTAACTCGTACGACTTGTCTTGCGTACTACACAGCTGAGCTTCCAGTTGTCACGGGCTGTAGTTGCATTCTCCCAGCAATCATGTGAGACACTTTGAAAAAAAGAGCATCCCAAGGATACATGACAGCAGCTTGGATGCAGCCCAGGGCGGGTTGGTGGGGGGGGGGGAAAAGGAGGAGGCTCAGAGGCTCAAACAGCATCACCAAACTTCGCGGTGCAATGGGCGCAGTCCGAGTACAACTGCACCACTTCTGCTGTGAATCTGCCAGCCTGCCAGTGGCATGTAAGTCACGCCGGGCAAAGGTGACGCTGAAGCCTGAGTTTGCCTACGCACCTCGCCGGCCTTGAAGTCGCTCCCGCTCAGTGCGCTGTGCGCTCTTTGTGCGCGCTCTCCGAGCGCTCTGTGTGCGTGCGCTGTGCTGCTTCGGTCTGCCACGACCACCTTTCCCGCCCCTACATCCCAGGATGTCGACGAACGAGGGCGATGGAAGCCTATGGGGGACCGCTCGATAGACGGCCCGAGTTTGCATCAGCCCAAGTTGTGTGTGAATGGCTTGACTTCTCAAATACTTCAACACGAGGGCTTGTAGGGGCAGCTGCCGAAAGTTTTGAAAGCCCGTGAGAAAGCTGCAGGCCGGAGTTGAAAAAGGGCGAGCTTTTCAAGCGCCTCGGACAGAACTTTGCAGCGAAGGGAGATGTAGGCCGCTTGCGTCAGTTGGTCTCGAATCCGGGCTGGTTGCATCAGGCAGCCAACGGAAGTTGGGGGCTCAATTTGGTGGCACAGATGTGTGAAGAGAGATCAGCCTCCTTCTTCACCAGATCATGACAAGCGCTCGGCTAGCGCCCGATGGGGCAAGAACGGGGAGGTTTTGCCGACCCAGCTTTGGAGACAGGTGTTTTTTGCACAGGCATTCGGGGGAAGTGAGGCCTCTGTCTTGAAGCGATCGGTGCAAAGCTTTCTCTCATGCCAATCGAGGTGATTGGATGCTGCGGCTTCCCCTGCCTCACGGGCGGCTATCAGGTCCGGATGCACGCCACACCGGGTGTGTAGCCACTGTTGGAACAGGACGGGGCCAAAGAGTCTCGGTGAGAAGCGTCGGTTGACGGTAGGTCATATACCTCAGCGACGACGAAGAGCAGCCCGAGGAGCCGGCCCTACAGCACGGGACTTGGACCTTATATGAGGGCTTAGGCAGAGTGTATATGAATATCATTCCTACGAAAAGAGAGCACATGAAGAATATATTTTTAAAGGACGACATGTGTGCAGCTGTGTGCAGTTGGGTGAAAAAAAAGAGTTGCGAGGCCACTCGGATCCATGGCTTCCTTGGAGGGGGGGCTGAGTCCCCAGGTGCTGGGTGTGGACTCCTTGGACACCAGCCGCTCGTTTGCACCCTTCACCCTTTTTTTGGGGCGGATGCCAGCATGCGTCATAAATTGGGATGTTTCTCCCTTATACGAACAGTTTTTTAAAAGGGATGATTATAGGGGGTACTATAATCCCTATTCAGGACTGTTAGTATCAGGCGGAACAGCAGTAATCTACCAGGCAACTATACAGTTAAGAAGGCTTGATGTGAGAATCGGCGTGCAGGTGCAGAAGACGCCTTGAAGAACGTGAGGCGGGACGGTGCTGAGCAGCTGCTGCTGTCGTATGTGTCGCGCAGCGCCACGCGGAGCGCCAACCTTGCTGTGAGCTGCAGGTCAAAAGCCACTGCGGCGTCCGCAATGACTCGCAGGCGAAGCTGTTCTTTTTCTACTGGATTCGAGCGACCGCCGCTCACAGTCGACCTTGGGATGGCTGTCGCATGCAAAGGAAGAGTCTCTGAGAATCGAGGGTTGTGGCGCTCGTGAATTGGGATTCGGTTGCGCATTCGATTTGCACCCTGAAAGACTCAGATTGACGGCAGAGGAAGGAAGAATGGCCTTTCAGTTTTGTCAGTCATAGTACGATGCGTTCAGCCACGTAATGCTTAAGAGCTTTGAGAACCCAAGGGGGCCCGCTTTGCAGGTCTCGCGGCGAGTCAAACATGTCAATCGAAGACAAGCCTGGCCCTTGGTACTTCTCGGGTTTGGGAGACTCTCGCAGCTCTCCTCTGTAACTTCACACGTTTAAGTGCAGCTGCAGCCCAGAGATTTCGAGGCCAACTTGGCTTCGTGGCAGGTTGACAGGCTTTCGCATCTTGCTGCACTGCAGGAGCCGGCTACGAGCGCAAAAGTACATGGCGCGGACCCTGGTCATCCCCAGTCCCAGACCACGGCATGGCATCAACTCGCTTCAACATGTCTGCCTGGCCTCAAGGCAGCTACGCTGCGACTAGCTCGTGGGCCGGAGGAGAATTGCAGAGTGACGGCTCCATGTCCTCGTTCCATCTTTCCATTTGGTCTGCGGGCGTGCTTGGCGTGCTTTGGCGTGCTTTTCATGCTTTCTAATTCCCCCTGAGGCACCCAAGGTGGAGGCAACATCGCAGGTCCGTAAACCTCTTGCACGTAGAGATTGCCAGGAACTACTCAGGGTGCTAATTCCTGAAGACATCTTGAGACGATGTTCTGAGAAGGGCAGTGTTCCAGGTCTGTTTCACAGCTGTCCTCTTCGAGCTTGCCCTTCTGATCTTGGGGTCGTGTCTTGGGGTCAAACACTCGATGCTGCAAAAACCCTCAGGCCTCGACACACCCTTCAAGCCCTTTCCCCCTAACATTAAACCCCCCATACCTCCTAATCTTCGGCTTAATATTAGGGGGGAGGGGATTAATGGGAAACCTTCAGCCCATGTTTCTGCTGTCCGGCAGGAGCCGGCCAGCAGAACAGGTTCGCCGCTTCCAAGCCCGGCACCCAGTGTAAGCCCAGAGTACCCACAGGGCCTCCGTAGACCCTCAGTTGAACTCCCATAGGCTATAGGTGACGGTGTGACATGGTATGACCATCATGGTATGAGCACCGTCTCTGGCTCTTCAAAATCAGAGGCCCCCATGGTGGTGATGCCTCGAAGCAGGCCTACAGTCCAGAGCATTTCGGGCATGTTGTGCCCGTGTTCGAAACTCCCAAATTCCCACACGTGCCCCGCACTTGCGCAAAGGGATGACAGTTGCAAGCGCGCGCTCTCCTTTCAGGCACCACCGCCTTCCAATTCCAGACCCGAGCAGCCCGAGCAGGATGAGAGCCAGCAAAAGCTGTCACTATGAGCTTATGAGCTTGAGACACCCTACGACTCAGCAAAGTTTATGTTGAAATTCGTCGCACCACTCGGGAGAGCACCAGGCCCCCTGAAGAACACCAGCAACACCCGTAAGGAAAGTATCTCGGCGCGCCTCGGGAAGCTGTTAAGGCGACTTGCCAATAGCCAAAGGTGCTTCCGACTCTTAGCTGTGAGCACCCGCCTCAGAGCATCTTCTTGCGCCCCGTCTTGCGCAACGCGCAGTAGAACTCCGTACTGCAGTGGTCTGTAGTGGCTGTAGTGTGCTCGCTTTTTTGTCCATCGCAGAATGCGCGAGGACGTAGGTAGCAAATGCACCGAAATCTAGCCTCCATTTAGTTCTGACACATCATGCAAAGCCAGCTGGTGTGCATACTCCATCAGCAGGACAAGCACAAGGCTACCCAGCGCATGCATAAGCTTGCTTTGGAGAGTACTTTGAGTACATGCTACTGGCCTGAAGCTTGACAGTCTTTTCTACCACAAGTACAGTAATCACGAGGAACCTTGCGCACGTGGAGCCCGAAAAAACGGTGCAGCGGTGGAATTCAGGTAAGGCACGGGATCCCACAGACAAAGTCTGAGAGGATCTGCACGGGGCTCGGCTCGTAATCCTGAAAGCGAGTTGCCATTGAAGACGGTGGCCTAGTGAGCCCAATGGCCGTGTGGACAACCGCAGCCCAAAAAGTGTCGCATCATGTTGTGCGAATTTCTGCGGCCGATGGCGCTAGGCCAGAAGATCGTTTATACAATGTGTGGACTGCAGGGGCATCTTTCACCATCTTCTGCTGGGTCTCCGGCGCACGTCGACGCCTCAGGTATGCTGAAGTGGCGCCGCCTAGCAGTGCCTAGCAGCCTAGCACCAGTCAGAGGTGTCACTAGCACTAGCAGGGCAAGCCCAGCACAACTCCCCTTCGTGCATTGGCTGCCCTTTAAAAAGGCATCCGTGGCCAGGAACGGAGGCGGCACAAGCCAGAAGCTGAGCTGTGCAACATATGGGTGGTTGTCAAGGTTATGGTCCCTTTTCGGATCCCTAGTACAATACGGCACCTAATGTTTAGGGTACCCCAAAGGGATCATAATTTTGACAACCAGTCATATGCCGCTTGTTCCGACCCACCTTTCTCCCCCAGGTGCGCAGGCCTTCTCGGCCGCGGCTGCAGACACGCTGTTGGTCCAGTCGATCCCAAAAGGCGGACGCTTTTGGGCCTTCATGGTGTGCAATGACCCTAGTGTGCAGTATGTCTCTGGCAAGATCACCTCAACCTTGCGAGCGCCGTGGGCCGCAGCCCAGCTCGTGACTGAGCTCTCGGACTAGAGTCTATCGGAGTCTATCGACGTGTCTACAGATATGTCTACATGACTCTCCTGCTTGAGGCCAATCCAAGGAAGGCGCCTCAGAACGACCCAGAACGCGTGCTTGAAATTACTCTCGGCCTCAGCAAGTGCTGCAGACCCGCAGATCAGAAGTCAGTCTGTTGGGATGTTCTCCCTTATGGAAGTGCTAACAGTCCTTCATAGCATTAGAATAGGGGGGGTTACTAATCCCTATTAAGGACTGTTAGTATAAGGGGGAAAACATCCCAAGCAGTATGTGTCCGCTATCTCAGGAAACGAGCGGAGAGCACGTCCAGTGTTGGTCGGCGCCTCGAAACGAAACGGAGGTGCGAAAGGACCATTCCGGCCATAATGGTCACTTCTCAAAACTATGGTCCTTTTGGGGGGTCCTTATTATATGGCGGCCCCCTCTTATTTAGGGTACCCCCCCAAAAAAGGGGACCAGAATTTAGAGAACTGACCATCTGGTTGTGGTCTTGCAGGGCGATCCACACTGGACCTTACAGAGTACTTTCGGGATCCACGCCCTTGTCTGACCGCATCAAGGGCTCAGACACCGGATGTAGTATAGCCCAGAATCCATCAACCTAGATGTCCTGCCATGAACAAGATCCTCATCGCTACGTGCCAAAAACCAAGACGCCCCAAATGCGGGCCTCTCCGGCATGGCTGAACGTGTGCGGGTATCGCTGCCGGCGGGCGCGCACCAGGCAGCAGTTTCGTCTTTGATGTGTTGAGGTTACTTGCTCAGTGGTCGCCAGAGTCGCCAGTGTCTTCAACAATGGCGCTTGTGTGCCTTCGCATGTATGAGATGTCTTGAAAATGTGCATCTTCGCTTCGGAAGTCAGTGTCATTGCTGCAACGAGCGGAAAGGCCCATGCCCTGCCATTGAGCGGGCTCCAAGCTGCAGTGCTACACTGGACAGCTGTCGTGCTGGACGAGCGAGTCTGTGATGAATTCAGTTGAGATTCCTTCCCTTTTATGATGGTTCCCGGCGAGGGTGACCGTTGGAGTTTCAGGGACCGCGGCCGATCTTTTCGCTATGGTGGTGGTGGGGGGGAGAGTGAGGTTTAAACATAAATATGATCCATGAACATGAGAGAGAGAATTCAGAAACAAGTATTTTGTCTAGCTATGTATGGGAAAGAGAGAGCTAAACCCTAAACCCTAAACCCTAAACTACCCTAAACCCTAAACCCTAAACCCCAAACCCCAAACCCCAAACCCCAAACCCTAAACCCTAAACCCTGTGCAAGGATGCTAAGAATGGACTCTGAGACCTGGCCAGGCACTGTGGAACTTGAAGTCTGCGCCCAGCTTCACTCCGAGGAGAGCCCCAAATTTGAATCATTCCGGTACCCAGAGTCATAATCATAATAAGAAGAATCATCGTGAGAATAATACGAAGAATGATAATGAGAATAATAGCCATCATAAGAATAATATCAATAATACTCATAATAATGATGATGATGTTGATGATGATGATGATGATGATGAGCCAGCCTTCTTTTAACCTGGCGCAGGAGGGCGCCCAGCGGATTCAGCTGTCGCGCGCGGCCTGTGGTGGAACCTTTGTGTCTTGGACGAGGATATGCCTGTGCTTCGGCTTTGTGTTGCGCGAGTGATTTTTCTAAAGCATGTTCCAATGAGTCGAAATTCGGAAATATGCTTTAGGACGTTGCTGGGGCTCTGAATCTCCGTGGCGCAGCAACCTGAAGGACCGCAGAACCGCTGTCTCAGCCTGTCTCAGCCGAGGTCGGCCGATTTGTGCCATGCCCGCCGGCTTGCACATAGCCTTTCGAAGACTTCAGATGAACTCCACAAATGTCCGAGAGTTGGTTGCACGGTTTGCTGCTAGACTTGTGCAAGACTGCTTTCGCTGCCACGCCCCATCCTCGATATCCTTAACAGGTGCCTTTGTATCCGGGTTTGTCTGAACAGCGATGGGCGGAGGGCCACCAACAGGTGCAACATGTTGCCCCTTCTTGTAAGCGTGGCTAGGTGAGCCATTAAAAGTATTGACCTTCTTATCCTCTCCAACCTTGGCCTCTCGCTTTGAGACTCTCCTTGTCCGCCCTCCTCAAATCCTTTGTTGCAGTACTGTCTGTCAACGAGAAGCTCGAATCACGGCTTTTCCTGCTCTGTCACCATGACGAGTGTGCCAAGGCGAAGATCGTCGCCTGCGGGCCGCAAAAGCGTCCAAGCCACTGGGCAGGGCTAATTCGGCGTACACTGACTGCTGATGTCTACCGACCCTGACGGTCAAGCCACGATGGTCGCAGGCGATGAGCAGGCGTAGAACAGGTCCGGTCCTGGGCAGCTGTGCCGAGGTTGGCTGTGGATTCCGTAGTGTTCTCCTTCAGCAACGCAAGCTGGTTTGCACACAAGGAGGTGCGAGCCTTAGCGCAGGGCCCATGGGCACAGCTGGAGCTGCCAGTCTTTCCTACAAGACATGGGTCATGAAGGTCATGAAGTTCATGCGGCTGATGCTAGCTGAGGTGGAACTCATCACATTGTGGGAAGAGCTGCCAGGCATGCCACTTGTTCGGCCAGGACTTCCGCAGTTCCCAATTGTCACAGCCCAGATTTCTACTAGAAGCACTGCTAGATGCTTTACTGCCGCGGCTTTTTAGCCCTTGCAAAGGTTACAGGCCGAAAGACTTGTTGCTGTGCTTTCCTCAAGACCTTACTCCGTGATGATGCGAAGCCGACGACAACTCCAGAGACAGCCACCTGCAGCAACAGCAAGCCACCTGGAGCCTTCTGTGAAGATGAGCCAGGAAATGCTACAGGAGTTAGATGAGCCAGCTATCTAAATATTCGTGGGGATCGTCAAGCTCCAAGGATACCCTAGCAAGCTGCACAGACCGGTCCAAGGTCAACACCAACACCGCCAACAGAGCAGCAACAACAGCAGCAACGGTAACAACAACAAGAATAACATTACCATCAACAACGACATTGCCAACTGAGTAGTACTTCAGGTCACAAACTCGCTGCGCGCGTGCGCGCGTGCGCGTGTCGCGTGCGTGGGGTTGAGCTCAAGCCGCAGGCGCCTATGTTTCACCGAATTTCCGGGCGAAGACAGTGGAGGACAGGCTTCAGTCAGCAGTCAGCACGTCGGAGTACTAGATGAAAATGAATGCAAAAACCTTGACAAGGAGTCAGCAGAGTACCCGCGTGAGCAATCAACGCCTCCCCTGCATCTTGACGCAGATAAACCCATGCTGGAGCAAAAGCTGTCTGAGCATACTAGGTATCTGGACGAGTTGGACAATGACTGCAACCAAGAGTACGATTGGCGCTACGATGCGGCTGACGAGGAATCTGGCCGCTGAGATGGCATGCAGCAGCTTTCAGTGCGCGTCGTGCGTGATTGGTTCGATCATGTTCGATCATTCCTCTAGATCCGCTACGGGTCCAGGGGCATGTGCAGATGGCTTCTGTAGCTCACACAAACACTAGCGCAAACACAGCACGGATCACAGAATACAGTCTTCTTTATGCATGGATCCGCAGCTGACCGCCTTCAGGTGACACCGTCGATGCGTCGCCCACCCCATCTACAGAGGTGCGGCTCAACCACTGCGGAGCCGTTCTGCCCTTCTCACATGACAGGAGGACGAAGAAACGGCACGGAGAGCTCGCAACTTGATGGCAAGGGAAAGGGCTCCTGAGGAGCTCCTTTCAATCTCGGCTAGGCCATAGGGTCCTGGGAAACTGATTCCATGACCAGCTTAGCATGCACATAGCTCGACATGCAAGTGTGTGTGTATACAATATATACATATGTAGATACATATACATATACGTACACATAGACATATACATATACATATACATATACACACACACACACACACACACACACACACACACACACACACACACACACACACACACACACACACACACACACACACACACAACAACACACACACACACACACACACACACACACACACACACACACACACACACACACACACACACACACACACACACACACACACACACACACACACACACACACACACACACACACACACACACACACACACACACACACACACCACACACACACACACACACACACACACACACACACACACACACACACACACACACACACACACACACACACACACACACACACACACACACACACACACACACACACACACACACACACACACACACACACACACACACACACACAACACACACACACACACACACACACACACACACACACACACACAAACACACACACACACACACACACACACACACCACACACACACACACACACACCACACACACACACACACACACACACACACACACACACACACACACACACACACACACACACACACACACACACACACACACACACCACACACACCACACACACCACCCACACACCCACACACACCACACACACCACACACACCACACACACCCACACACACCCCACACACCCACACACACACACACCACACACACACACACACACACACACACACACCCACCCACACACCACACACACACCCACACACCACACACACACACACACACACACACACACACACCCACACACACACACACCACCCACACACACACCCACACACCACACCCACACACACCCAGACCCACACCCACACCCAGACCCACACCCACACCCAGACCCACACCCACACACACACACACACACACACACACACACACACACACACACACACACACACACACACACACACACACACACCACACGCACACCCACACCCACACCACACACGCACACGCACACGCACACGCACACGCACACGCACACGCACACGCACACGCACACGCACACGCACACGCACACGCACACGCACACGCACACGCGCGCACACACACATACACATATATACACATATGCGTGCATGTGTTCAGCATGTTTGGAAGTTCTGGAAGGACTTATGCTGCGTGATGCTGCTTGGCCAGAGGCTGTTAACCAACCCCCCAGGTGCCCTCGCAAAGGCGCAGCGATACGGCTATGCGGTGTGAACCCGAATGACGCTGTGAGCAAGTTCTGCCTTAACAGAAACCTTGGCACTACTCTGGAGGATTTACTTTGTTAGCCTAGTAGAGCTGGTGAGTGCAGCCAAGCCTTGAGATTGCTCAACGTAGCTGTTTTCTAAATGTTCACATTCCACACTTTGACTCTTGAAAGCATGGGCATATCTGCTCGACACCAGCTTTTAGTCGTAGATTCGTAGAGCAGCAGTTTAGGGATCGCCAAAAGCTCGCGATCGGAATCTCACCAGTAGGAACGGAGCAGCAACTCGCACCGGCCAAAGAATGAACGCACCCTGCCAGTGACTTGGAAGGAATGCGGGTTTACGATACTCAGGGACCCTAATATAGACCCCCCCCAATAGCAGGATCCCCTTGCAATAAGGACCCCAGTAAGGCACCCCCCTAGTATCGTAAAGCCCCCATAGATGTTCTAGGGTTGTAGATGTTAGAGAGCACTTGCATCAGAATCCTCCCAGCCTCGCACCGCTCTGCACATCTTCCTGCCCTAAGGGAGAGCCGCCTCACAAACAGCAGCTCGGCACGCTTTGTCTCCGACTTGTCTGGGGTAGCACCGTAGCACCTAGGTTTGTTGAGTGTTTGGAGCAGGCCAGGAGGGATGAACTCGTTCAGATGATCGATCTGAACTTTCGATCCTCATCCCACAGGATGCAAGAAGAACCCAGAAGAGTGCAAGAAGAATCAAGAAGAGTGCAGCCCAAGCTCGGGACAGACGCCAGGTTGTGAGCATCGAGTGTGCTCCTGCGCCTTTGGAGGAGCCAAGGCCAGCGGCGCGTGGAATTGTGGACTAAGACTCGAACTGGAGAGGTCATCATCTGCTTTCAGATGCCAAGACTATACGGGTATGTCCCACACTCGGGACCCCCTCCTCACTCTACGCCTTGTCAGAGGAACTTTGGTGATTCCCTACATTCGGCAACCCCCATCTGTTTAGCCCCGGCCCCGGCAGATGCCAAACTGAAAGTTGAAGCTTGTCGAAGACACGTCTAGTTTTTGTAGGTTGTTGTCCTTAGGAGTGTGGAACAATTGTGGATAATTGGGGGGGAAACGTAGGGACACGCATGCAACGCCATTGCTATGCTCCGTCGTCCGAAGGCCTAGGTGAAACCACCAAGGAGCGCTTTAGGAAACCTTCGTGAGATCTGCTGACAGCATCCTTGACTCTTCCGGCAGGTCTCAGACATCGTCTAGCGTGGCGTCCAAAGAGGACTGGGCTGAGAGACGACCGAACTGAAATCATCTTGGCCACCTCTATGGCTCTATGGCTCTGACTGGCAAGCCCGCCTCATGCAACTCCAGAAGCCCAGCATGGCCCCGCGTTTTGTTTTCCAACCACGCCGCCGGCTGCAGGCTCCCCCAGGCATGAAGGCAAAGGAGGTGCGGAGCCAGAGGTTCTTTGTGAAAGTGGCTTCTGCGTCTTTTGCCGCGTGGCACTGCAGAAAACCTACGTACTGCCTGAGCTTCCCTGTTCTTTGCCGCCCTGGCCAGAAGTTGAAGCACAGCCGAACCATGCCTAGCCTGTCGACAGGAGCTAAGGCCTCAGGGGCAAATTGTGAGTGGCTGCGGGTGCATTGAAAGCAGCAAGCAGGACAATCTAGAATTTGAGGTCAACAGGTCGCTTCTGCAGCATAGCCACACCCTGCCGGCTGTTGAGGCCAGTCCTGGCAGTGTCAGTCGCAACCATGGCAGTGTCAGTCCCAAATCAACATACGACATGCGGCAGGGCGATCGGCGGTCAGGCAGGGGCATTGACATCGTGCCAAGGTTGCGTCGAACATCTTGCAATACAAAGTTATACTGTTAGTGCTGCTGTTGATGTTCTGTTTAGCCACGCGCCCTCTTAGAATTTCTGGCGAGACTAACTTTGGCCAGGCTCGGCCGAGGAATTTGGCACGACGGAACACCCGTTTCCGCCGGCATCGAGGCAAGGGAGCCAGGGGTTTGGAGCATTTTGGAGCAACAAGAAATGTGCGTACAGGGTTTAGGGTTTAGGGCGCCCAGTGCTTTCGGAGCAGGCGCCGAGACCGCTTTGGCTCTCAAGACTGGGACAAGGCTGGTGACCAAAGCTTTGTGCGGTGCATTCCACTCATGCAACGCAGAAGGCACCGGTGAAGCCAAGGTCGCGGGGAGCTTACATCAGGGGCTTCAAGTTGCTTCAGTGCACCAGAGGGCTACACACGTTCACGTCGTCGTCGTCGTCGTCGTCGTCGTCGTCGTCGTCGTCGTGGTCGTGGTCGTGGTCGTGGTCGCGGTCGTTGTGGTAGTGGTCGTTGTGGTCGTGGTCGTTGCGGTCGTGGTCGTGGTAGTCGTGGTCGTGGTCGTGGTCGTGGTCGTGGATGTTTGGTGGTGGTGGTGGTGTGTGGGTGTGTGGGTGTGTGGGTGTGTGGGTGTGTGGGTGTGTGGGTGTGTGGGTGTGTAGGTGTATCTGTCCGTCGGTCCGTCCGTCCGTCTGTCTGTCTGTCTGTCTCTGTGTGTGTGTGTATCTTGGTGTTGTACGGGGGTGGGGGGGTGTTGCAACCGGCAGGGAACTGCGTTGCCAGAGGGGCACAGCCGATCCTTCGATTCACTTCGCGCAGCATCGCCCAGGAAGGAGATGATGGTCACTGCCATGCGAAGTCAGGAATGGATGCCGGGAGCCCATATGCCATATGAAAAGCCAAAAGGGCAGCATGGCAGCGCCATTGACCTTCCAAGGTCTCAAGCAGTGGCCTGAGGCAAGGGCCTACAAACTTCTGCGGAAGCAGGATGCCTTCAATACGAATCCTTGTGTGTTTTTTGGGGTATCCCAAGAAAGGACCAGGCCACAAACTGCGTATAGCTTATTGGTATTATGCACGGGGCCATGCCTGTTGAATGACAAGATGTGAAGTGACATCCACGTGGCTCACGGCCAAGAGTCGCTCGCATCCACATCGGCTTCGGTTTTTTGATCCCTTCCCTTGTTCACCATGGGCCAATATGTCATGCATAGACCCTCATAGAATCAAACCTCGGGTGCTGGCGCATCCTCGAGCCCTCAAAGGGCGCGGTAGATCTCGGAGTCTCACATTCTTTGAAGCAGGCAGGCAACGTTAATCGAGCTGCCTGCCGGTCTTCCTTGTTCCATATTGTTCCACGGTGCCAGCCGTATGACAGTGATGCCATCGGAAGCTTCTTTGGGGGGAGGTATGACTACGAAGCGCCCTTCCCAACCATAACTTCTACTTGTTTGCTGAGGTTCGTGCTGGAGGCTACCAATGGCTCAAGGTCCAAAGTGTTTTGCTGGGACTTGCCAAGCTGGGGCTGGATGCTTCGATCTTTTGTTCAGGTGTTGCAATTGGCCGCCGCATTGGGTTCTTTGCAGACAGTTGTTGTATGCCTTTGCATCCAAGCCCGGTGTGACATCGCCGTTGTTTTGAGAAGCCCGTTCTTCTGCTGAGCAGTTGCCGGCACGTGAGTGTATCACTCGGTCTCACCTTGTTGTCGTCCGGTAGATGGCATAGACCCTGGGAAGGATAGTCCATGAAGCGGGGCCCCGGAGAAGAACCGTTGCCAATCGCTTTGTACTTGTTCACCGTGCAATATGGACTCGGGTTCGACAAGCACTCAGTTGTATGAATGTGGCATATGCTTGTGAAGCTGAAGTGGTCGGTTCCAGGCTGCCTAGCTTTGCAAGTTCGTCGTAAAACGATACGAAGCCAAGCTTAGCCTCTCGTTGCATTGCGCATGAAAGTTGAGGGTACATTAAGAGGGTCCGGGTTTTGGCCTCATGACAAGGACTTACAAGCACATGGCCTGTCCGCGCCCCCATGCATGTTGATGCCATGCATTGGACCACGAGTTATCTAGTCAGGCACCGCGCTTAGAAGCACGCAATCGGCACAGGCCACACCAGTCCTTGTGGTGCCTACCTGGTTTCCTATGGAATGAAATTCTTGCAAGTGGGGTCCCGTAGATCTCTTGACATGGAAACATCTCATTCGTAGAACTTGCCATGTGAACAGCTTCAACCTTGAGATTCGATAGCCAGGGATGACAGCGTGTTTTCATGCTGCTGTCTCCTTTCCTTGGCTCATCCTAGATCCCGTGCTTTGCCTCTCCCAAGTCGCAAGTTGAGACGCAAACGCCGGCAGAAAAGGTAGAAAGGAGCATAGGGTACTCGGATACTCTGTCATGGACATTCCTTGCTTCACTCTTGCTTCTCTACAGTTCATTTCGCCAATCACAGACACACCCTAGACATCCCTCGACTCTGGGACATCCTGTTCTTGGCGATTCTAGGTGCTGTGCACAGCAGAGCATCTCATTTCAAGAAGACAAAAAGCAAGTTTCTAGGGGGGGGGCGTCGGGGAGGGGAGACCAGAGACCAGGCCGGGTTGGGGGGTTGGGGACCGTAGCTGGGCTGGGCAAAACCACATCTTGCTCTTTCTTCCTTCGGCGCTCTCTCCCTGGCCGGGGTCGGCGGATTTCTTTGCCACAAGATGCCCTGTGTTTTGTGGTTGTTCAAAGAGTCAGCGGCGTGCAGCGCAGCCCGGCGGAGGTTTGAACATGAGCAGCGGCGCACCAGAGCACCAGGAATGAGGCCTCCACCCGGAGCTGGATTGTGTCCCCTGCTCGCCTCTTGTTGTCTTGCTGTGTAGGCAGGTCCTGGAAGTGGCCTCACCAGCCATATCTTGCAGCTTTGCGGCTCACAGTTTCCAGTGGCAAATTTTGATCCACTCCGCCGCCTCGTGGAGTTTGCTTTTGCGTAGCAATGGGCTTCTCGGCCCGTTGTCATGCCCAAATGGTTTGGAGACGCCAATGCGACTTCTTCTGGCAGTAGGTGCATGGGCTCTCGCTCAGGTTTGCTACGCTCGGAGCAGATGAAGTATGGGATGCCGCTTGGCGAGACAAGCTTTCAAGGATTGCCAGCAGGGCCTGTCTTGCAATGTCTGTGAGTCCAAGGCTTGTGCTGCCAGTCAACGAAGCACGGCGCATCGTCGGCCAGCTAGGGAAAGATTCAAACCTGCAGCAGCTTGTTCGCATGCAGGGCCCTTGAAGTGAGCCAGTGCCCCATCGAACATCTCTCTGGTGGGGAATATATCAGTGATATTTCTGCTGCCACAGATCTGCTTTGCAAACTTATGTAAGGCATGAATGGCCTGAGGGTTCAATTCTCTGAGCAACGCCAGGTTTCACCCCCCGGTAGATCGAAGCACAGAACTCAGGTTCGAAGACGACAACGCACGCGACATGCGCCGGCCCTACCGGAAGCACATCCAACGAATTGATACTCGGATGCTGTTCACAGACTTGGTGAAGGCTGTGAAGCTTTCTTTGGCGCTGCCTCCACTGAACCTGCGGCCTTTGGAACTCAGGATGAAATGGAGCGAATCATCCGATTCCTCATTCAGGAGATCAGCTCGATTGAGGGATGCCAGTTGATCAAGAACAAGGCTGGATGTGCAGAGAGTCAAAGAGGTGCTGGAACTGGCCACGAATCGCTCATGTTGACAGGTTGACGAGTTCCTTCAGACCGATGACACTTACTCCTTAGAGGCTGTTGAGGGCGAGCTTCAGTCCTTGTACCAGAACTTCCTCAAGTTCAAGGAGAGATCGCGCATTGGTGTCATTGGATGCTTGTGGGACCATGCCATCTCGCACCCACAGCGGCCAGGAGAACAATGCCAATCTCACGAACGAGCGCAATCAGGCGAGCTGCTTTTGAGCCACGGGCGTCCTTTAGCTTCTGCACTTGGAAGCTCTTTTTTGAAGCAGAGTCACGCAGACTGCTGTTCCGAAAGTTGGTGGTCCGACTGTTCAAACAGGCTGTGGAGGAGGCCGAAGTCGTTGCCGTGGCGCGCGCGGCTTGGGTTGCATAATGGGAGGCCGACATTAGTTGGGCTTCCTCCCTGGAGCGGACAGGGGCCGCTGTTTGAACGAGATGGCTGAGATGATGTTCCCAAGAGCTCCACGTAGAATTCAATCCATGATTGCACCAGACCTCCACTTGTGAGACGATCTTATAGAAGAAGTGCTAATGCTACTTCTGACAGCCAAAGGGGAACACGACAAGGGACGTAGTAAGACATGGCGTCCATGAGCCCAAGTACTGCTCGCATGAGTCACCAGCATGTGCACATTCTGTTTCGGCTGCAAAGTCTGTCTGGCCCAGGAAATGCTCACGGGCTCGCGCCCATCCTATTTGGCAGAAGAAGAGACCTTCGAGAGCAGTGCCAAGAAGCCATTGCTGGCCGCGTGGTGACAATTCAAACCCATGTCGTGGAGCTAGCTGCTGCTCATGCATAAAGTTGCGTGCGAGGGTGGTGATGAGCCGGCTGCTGTCGGCACTGGCAGGCCCCGATAACCGTGCACCATTGCGTGTGGCAGTATCACGTAGTCGTTAGGTGAACCCTGCAGCACTTATGGTGACTTGAGAAGCTGTTAGTCGTTCTGGTCAGGTTAGGCTACCTGGCCGGCGTGGTGCCGAAGACCGATGAGGCACAGATTGGTACCTTCTGCACGTCGAGTTGTAGTGCAGAAGACATCAGAAGACGCTGCCCTTGCCACGATCAACTTAACGCCATGCGGAAGCTTGTGAACATTCCTGGAAGGCACGTGCAAGGATGATGTTTTTAGGTGGAGGCATTCGACCGAAGCCAAACGGATCTCCCTAATAGGCACGCTTCGCCCGGGCACTCTGGCGCGCGGCACGTGGCAATACTTTCACGTGCCTTGGAGCAGGACGCTAGTTTGAGACGATCCCTTAAGCCGGTTCTTCCTGGGCGTTGCTTCGCTGAGGCAGTTCACGCCCATCAGCCAATCAGTGAAGGATCCCAAGACAGGCTCGGGCAGTTGGAGCTTACTTTGCGCATGTATCCCTTTGCACATGTCCTCCTCCGAACTCGGAAGGTCAGGAGGTGCAGAAGTCAGTGTTCGTGGTCTACTTCCAGGGTGCTGGTGGGCCAATGCAGCAGAAGGTGATGAAGGTTTGCGCTGCCTTTGGCCGCTCAGCCCGGAGCACAACACATCTTTGGATGTCTAAACTTGATGTTCCCCCTTATACTAGCAGTCCTTAACGGGGATTCTAGTACCACCCTATTATGAACATCCCAAGTCTAAACAGAATTGAAGTCTCCCCCCAAATTCGGGCATGCTTGCCGCCTTGCAGACACAAGGTGTCAACATGTACAACTGGCCAGCCAGCGCCGAGCAAGCCAAGACACGGCACACACACCTGCTTGGAGTGGCCAAATCCTCAGCAGGTTGACAAGGCTTCTGGGTGGGGAGGGATGAAAAGAAGTGGCCTAGGTCAAAGAGAAAGATACGGCCTTAGAGGGCTACCAGTTCTTCATGAAGACGGAGGCCAAGGACCTCTTGGCCCCCCCCAGCCGCATTGCTGGAAGACCGGGGTTTACCTCTCTGTTTGGTTTTCGTGTGTTTGACGCGCTGATCGATGGCGAAATGCCTTCAAGGTCAAAACGAGAAGGCCAACTCAAAGCTGGAAGAATGGCGTCTGTTCTGCATCAAGGCGCGCTCGGTCCAGCTACAGGATAGTCAGGTGTTGTCTGTCGACCATGCTCTTGCCGGATGTTGCCAGGAGAAGTCAATCTTCAACATCCTCAACCTATGCTCAGGGGAGATCGCGCTGAGGCGGGCAGACTGATCTCCGATGCTTGATCCCCAGGTCCAGCTGGATGTGGTGTGTGTCAGTGCGTGGCTTGTCGCTTGCCAGGGTGAACGTCTGGTACCCGGCTGCAGAGGAGGCATCCATCAAAGCGTTGTTGCAGAAGCTGAATGCCACTTGTCCTACTCAGAATCGGCCAGGCAAGAAGGCCTGGATTAAGTGGAGCAACAGTGGAGTAGTTTCGAAGGCCAGAACACAAGGAGACTGAATTCTGCCCTAAGGCGGGCTCGTCGCAGGGTGCTTTCCTGACTCCTGACAAGAATGTGAAGTCTGCGCCCCCAACATACATCCGCGTGAATGACTACACGGAGGCACCATGTTGTCCACTTTGAGTTGCAGCTCTCAGTCGGTTCTTGTGTGGCAATGGCCTCCAGGTGTGGCAGGATGTCATTGACACGTACGGAATTCCCAAGTATCAGGACGGAGCCAATCGGAGCAAGAGACCTCAGAGCTGTGCAAGACAGACATCTCGCCTCAGGAAGCAAATCCGGCCCTCCTGACTGTGGTAACCTTTCCTTTCATCTTTGGCATGATGTACGGCGATGCCTTGGGCTTGGGCTTAGGGCAACCCTTGCCGCATTCCGCATGACTCGCCCCATACGCTAAAAATCTCTCAATGTGCTGCCCAGGTGGGTCACGGTATCCTCTTGTTCCTGGCCGGAATCTGGCTCTGCATGAATGCCGAGACCTTCCGATTCACCCAACCATCGCTCTTCACTGCCCGGTACATGGTCGTAAGCTTGGGCCGCTTGGAACCAGGAGAGGGCAACTTCTAGCAAGCCATGGGTTTAGGGTCTAGGGTTTAGGGCCTAGGCAGTGCAAGTGTAAGTGCGGGATGTGTCTTAGGTTTCTTCGCCATCTTCGCGGGCTTCATGTACAACGATTTCTTTTCAGTTGGCCTGCAACTGTTCCATTCCAGATACAAGGCCTGCGGAGGGAGGGCCGAATGTCTGAATCGCACGGTGCACTCTCAGAGCCTGTCGTAACCCCTAACCCCCCCCCCCCCTCCCCCCCAAAAAAAAACCCCAAACCCGAAACCCGACGGCCAATTGAGCATCGCCTTGAGCTGTTTTTGCTCCTCCCCTGTGTGCTCCTCTGTGTTGCCTTCGGAAACATGGACTTCGACGACCTTGACGATGCGATCGAGCAGAGGATTGCTGAAGGCGACACGGAGGCGTTGGCCGGCCTCAGCGGCGTCACGACAGCGAAGAAGGAATTGAACAAGTTTTCCGGATCGCTGAAGGGCATGCCTCGCAACAAGGGATTTCCCCAGATCGATCAGATCTACGCCCTCGGCACGCAAATCAAGGTGAGAGCTTTCGTTTTCTACGGCCCGGGCGACCTCGCCGAAGAGTTCCGCTTCGCGCTCCTTGGCTTGCCGAAGTGGATGGAAGTTGGCATCTATGAGTGGCCAGGACATGGCACTCGAGAGGGCGAGCCGTATGCGGAGAATTTCGAGGCTTTGGCCAAGGACGCCCTCGACTACCTTACGCCGATGCTGGACCAGGTGAAGGAGGGAGGTGAGTTCGAGGGTGCACCCTTTGCCTTCATCGGCAAGTCGGTGGGCTGTCAGCTGCTCACTTGGCTTGCGAAGACAATCCTGGTGAAGCATGGGATTGGCCCTTCCGCCGTGGTGGTCGTGGACCGCGCGCCGCCCCACATCCCCTTGCTGAATGAGCATGGCCAGTCAGAGCTGAAGTCGAACCCGGACAAGGTTGTCAAGGCCTTCAACTACGAAATCTTCGAGGAGGTGGATAAGAAGATGTGGGCAAAAGACCTCAGCTATGCCAACGAGACGCTTGACGCCTTCTACCACAAGTTCGACTGCCCCGTAATGGTCTTGAAAGGGCAGTTCGACCAAGCCAGCGACACCTTCGGAAAGAAGAAGAACAGGTTCAAGGCTGTGACCGTGAAGATCAAGGGGTCGGACGAGACGATCGACTTGCCCGCAGAGTCTGAGACCACCGTCAAGGAGATGCTGGCAGCTGTGGACAAGATGTTCAGCTACACGAGGGGTGCCAACCTCAAGTGCCTCTCCACGGATGGCCGCGTGATCGCACCCGACAGCACAGTTCCAGCTGTGATCGTGGTCGACGGCCTGAAGGACTTCCAGCACCCACGCCACTCTTGGGAGCACCCGGTGGGTATCATTGGCGGCGGCTTCTATGGCGTGAAGCTGGCGATGGAGTACATGCTGCACCGCAGCGAGAACATCGTGCTTTTCGATCGCCACGCCAGGGCAGGGGGTGATGCATGGCACTGCTCAGCGACGAAGTACTCCCGATGCCAGACGGACTTCGGAGCCTTCAACCCGTGGTGGGGTCAGCAGTATTGCTACACCGGGGACAAGGGCTACGGTTCTAATCCCAAGTCCGGAGGCCGTGCCAAGTTCAGTGCCTCGTTCGACGGCCCTGGTGCACCTAAGGGCGGCTCGGGTGCAGGCACTGGGGTGGACTACCACCCAGTCAGGGCACAGCTGCTGGACGCCATGCGCTACTGCATTGAGGAGTACGGCTTCACAAAGCACTGCAACTTTGAGACGGAGGTCTCCACCTTGAAGATTGTCGGAGACCCCGACGCCGAAGACCGCTACTACGAGCTGGGCCTGACGAAGCTGGACAAGGCCAGCATCGAGCTCGCAGGTGGAGGGTATGGCAGCTACGGCACCACCGGCGGCATGCGCGCAGCCACCTCCAACGTCAAGGTCTCGCTTGTCTACCACTTCCCCGGTGCATATGACATCAGCCGCATCATCGACTATCCTGGTGAGGACGAGTTCATCGCGGGTGGTGGACAGATCGGCTATGGCATGGGCAATGGTCACGGTGGACTCTTCGTGTGGGACGATGGCCGCATGAAGGACGCACGAGCTGCGATCTTGGGCAACGGCGCCTTCGCTGTGGAGAACGTCCGGAGCTGCTTGGAGAATGCCGCTGCCAAGGTTTACATCATCACTCGGCGGAAGAGCCTTCTTTGCCCACGCCTGCCGTGTTGGTTCTGCCACCAAGGCCCAGACCCAACACCATCCTGGCAGCTGCTGAACCAGTTCAAGCCCATGTACGAATGCGCAGGCATCGAGGACCCCTTCAAGTTCTACGCCGTGCTGGGCAGTGGTGAGGCGGACTGCCAGATCAAGCAAAGCAGTCGCTTCGGCATTGGCGATGTGACTTTCCTAGCGCACGCCTATGGCCTTCTAGAGTACCGTGTGGACACCCTGGCGAAATGCACCGCCAAGACCTTGCATCTATCCGGCGGGGAGAAGTTGGAGAACATGGACCATCTTTGCAAGGCTCTGGGACTCATCAGCGACCCCCGGGTCGACAAGCTCCATGCCATGACCCACAAGGTGGGGAACATGATCAACGGCGACTTCCGACGGGTCATGACCGCCGACGCTACAGGCATGGATGCCAAACGCTTCACCACATTCTCTGCTGGCCCTAATGCTTGCGGCTTCGTGAAGCAGTGGTACTACATGCACAATCACCCTTGGGAGTTCAGGGAGGCGGTCGCGCAAGGCATGATGAAGCTGCTGCCTGTGCACAAGAAGAGCGACACACAGCCGGACCAGCCCGTGTACATGACCAACGTGCAGTACGAGATGTGGGCTGGCGGCGTGTTTGCAAGCTATTTCCCAAATGCGGGCCGCGCTTTTGGCGACGAGGCGTCCTACAAGTACTCTCTACTCCACACGATGCACCCGGTGCACAAGTTTTACGAGTACTGCAAGGCCGACTGGGACAGGTACCAGAAGATGTTCCAGGAGAACTGCAAGGGCTGTGCGGACAAGAACGTTCCGTATCCCTACACTTTGGACCATGTCCAAAGTTGGTTTGGGGCGTCCCGGGGCGTCCCGGGGCCCTCCTGGGACAAATGTCCCGGGGCCCCCCCGGGACACCCCCAGGACAGCTGTCCCGGGGGCCCCGCGGGACGCCCCGGGACGCCCCCAGGACATTGTCCCGGGGCCCCCCCGGGACGCCGAAATTCGAAATTTTGGGTGCGTGGTCCGTTTTGTTTTTCTGCGTTTTCGCAGGTGTTTTGTACGGTTTTCCTAAACCGACGCAGCAGCCAAAAACCGCTTGCTGGCCCAGAACCCGCGTTTTTTGGGTGTTTTCTGCGTTGGTTGCGGCGCCACGGTTGTACGATTCAATAGCCATGCTTAGACGAATCAGCAAGATGCGATTCCGGATTTCCTGCCCTAATTCATATAAGTGGGTTAATCGCAAATAACTAACGAAAAAAAGAAGATATGTAATTCAGATGAAGAGGGATCTGGGAGGGAGGGGTGATGCCAAATACGCGACGAGTACAACACGAAGTTGAACTGTCAGACATCGATGGAAGGCCCCAGCGAGTCATTCAAAAAGAGCACCATCGATGTTTTCCAAAGGAGCGATGCGGCGCTGCAGCGCGAGCTCATTCCCAATTTGGTGAAGGAGTTCAAGCTGGTCAAGGTGAAAGACGGGGAAGATCCGTACACCCAAGTGCAGGCCAACAAGGTCTACGAGTTGAAAAAGCCGCTCACATCCTCCAACGCCGACTCGTGCATGAACTTCGACGAGCAGCAAACAAGTCTGTGGGCGGATCTGGTCGCAGATGCTTCACGTGCCACATGGAGAATGTGCCTTGCAGCTCAGCCGGCGCGTTGCAGGATGGGTCGTCTTGGGCAAAGATCGTTGGCCTCTTGGAGAAGCTCAAAGCCGAATGAGCTACATCCCCCAGCGGGATGTGCATGAGTTTTGAGGAAATGTGTCTGTATGTGCTTCCTTGTCATGGCCCCTTGTGCGTTATCGACCAATTCTCGCTACGCTAGGCTATATACTGCCTGGATATCTTGTTCATGTATTGATGTGTATGTGTACATTATGTATATGTGTGTAAGTATAAGTGCTTTTGCTGTGCGGCTGCTGTTGTTCGATTCGAAGGAGAATACCGTTGTAGAGTGCGTTGACGCGTGGTGCCCGCAGTAAGAAGCTGCGAAGGTTGTGCGTCCGCAAGAATAAGAGCAAGCTTTGGCAGCTGATGGACTGCACATGGTCACATAGTTTTGTCTCCTCCACGGATGTGTAGCACCGCCTGGAGGAAAGGAGACACCAGGTATGCTTGGGGCGAAGGGGCCCTGCACCCTAAACCCCTAAAGAGTGATACGCTTTTGCACCACTTTGATTTCGTCTCTCTTGTCCTCGTTCACACGCTGTTGCCCTGGTATCTCAACCCCGACGTGCCTCGCGAACTGATTGAAGTTGCGAGGGCGCGTCGATGTGCCGTTTAAGCTTGATTCCCTCGTATGGACCCTGCGGAGCAGATGCTCTGGTGGCATGGGCAGTGCAGGCGACAGAAAAAAAAAACTCGATTTCGTTGTGTCACCTGAGAGACAATCCAGCCGAAACCTTGCCTGCCCTGTACGAGCGTGAGCATCTAAACCCTAAACTTAAGCCCTAAACCCTAAACCCTAAACCCCAAAAGCTGCGGTTGTTTTGGGACCCCCAGGATGCAGGTGACGGCAACTTCGTTCCAACCTTCGATGCCACTTGGGAAGCAAGCGCGCAAGCACAGGGAGACAAAGACTCGGAAGAGCTAGGATCTAGGGTTTTGGACTCAGGGCTTGGGATTAGGGATTGAGGGTTTGGGGGATTTTGGGTTTATGCAGGTTTAGGGGTTTGCAGCAGGCAGCATCTACACTTTGAAGTGGCACCCCCTCACGCACCTCTGGCGTGCGCTGTGTTGCACTGCATCTAATCCAGTACATAGCCGTGATGTAGTAGACTCGGTTCTCAGTCACACCGGCAACTGCAAGTAGAGTAAGCAGAGGTTTACGAAAATAGGGGACCCCTAGCAAGGCCCAAACGACTAGGATCCCTTGTAACAAGGACCCAAGAAGGTACCCTAATGTCGGAAGCCACCATAAAGTGTCGACTTGTGCCCTTCGAGGTCAAGAATGAGGGCGGCCCAGGACCTTATCCCTTTGGCCTGGACTGGGCCTGGCATGGAGCTTTGCTAGAACATTGTGCTGCCGTGCTGTATGCCATGGAACGTTGTTCTTGGTGGTGGGTTTAGGATTCAGGGTTAGGGTTTAGGGCTTAGGGTTCAGGGTTAGCTCTGCTCTTCCTTTCTCCTAGCCTTGCTCCTGGGCTCTTTCTTGCTCCTGCAATGTAGTCACGCAATATCACAATGTTCTATCATAGTGACAGATCATAGAATAGTGGAATCATGGAATGACAGAACATGATAACGCAATAAGATTGCAGGAATGTATTCATATGCTACAATATCAATATTTTGTTTCTTCAGCATGCAAGGCCATCGCATCGCACAAGCGGCCTTCATGAAGCATGTGCCGCTGTGACGAGCATACCGAGGAGCGAGCAATGAATTGCTCTACGTGAACTCCCTCAAGATGAAGCTTTCCGTTTTGTTTGGGGTCCTGCAAATGACTGTGGGCCTTGTCTTGAGGCCGGGTCAGACATGCGGGGCATTGCAGGGCTCCTTGCCGCTGCTGTGCGCACTGTCACCCACATGACCCCGAGGTGGAGCAATGCCTTCTACGAGAAGAACATGACCGACTTCCTCTGCGAGTGCATTCCCATGATGATCTTCATGCCTCGGGGCTCAGACACTGAGGGCTGAGCTCACAGTGGCAAGACGCTCAGATGGGTCTCAGGCTTTGCTTCTTTGGGTGGATGGACTGCATGGTCTTGTACAAGCGACTCGGAGCAAGAGTCAAGAATTCAATTCTTGACATTGGTTTAGTATTACATCAATACTATACGTCAGTACATCATTGCATGACTATCTTACTATACTGTTACATGGGTATACTCGTTGATTATTGCATTACTACCATATGAAAAGATATTGGGGCGTAGCATCGTTATGTGGTTGTATGCTTCTACCATGGTATTATTACACGCGATAACATGATTTCATGATGTTTGAAATACATGATTTCCTTGTTATAATATGATCATGCAATTATATGTGGAAGTGTAATTTGAATATATTATACTGCGATTATACTGTTTTATTAATCTATAGTTGTGTCATTGTAAGCATATACCTCTTTCACCTTTATCATATTCAGAAATGTCATCACATTGTATGACTACATAGTATTCTATCATGTATGAGTTTCTTACTCTGCTATTATGGCGATATCAATCGATTTTCATGTTATTACATTGGTACACTATTTCAGAATGGCATTTGCCAAGAATAATGCCATAATGTATTTTCTGACTTAAGGATTTCTATATTGTGCCAGTTATGTTATTTTACTTAATTATATATCATTGTATACGCATTTTGTCACACCATTATGTTGTTATTTTGTATATGATGTCATCGTTTTAATATTCTATTCGTATATGTATATATGATGATATGGTTACAGGTTATATGAATATATGATTATATATGATTATATTTTGATCTTATGATATCGTGATATAACCTATCATTCGATGATGATACTATTGTAGTAGTACATTCTTGTAGATTTTGTTTACGGGTATTTGATATTGTTATACAGTTATGCCACTTGTGTTTTTTGTTACAACATTGTACTCTTGTGTTACTGCACGGTTATGTTATTATACTTTGAATATCCAGAGTCAGCTGTTTAAGATTGGGAGATAGAGTTGGTTGCTCATGTGAGGTGGGTGCATCCGATTGACAACCCACCAAGCATCATCAACTCCCTCATTTGCAGCTTGGCAGTTGGCGCACTCAGATTGGCGAAATAAGGTCCAAGGGAGGGTTGTATCTAGAGTCCATAGGGTTTAGGGTTTGGGGTTTAGGGTTTAGGGCTTAGGGTTCAGGGGAGTCATGAAAGAGGGCTCTATAGAGACGACGGGCATTGCAGGTATGGCCATGGGCCAAGAGGACAAGTTCCCGCTTTGGCCGGGCTCTGTGGAGCTGGCACAGACATTGATGGGGCACCTCCGGCTGCACTCGCGTTGGTGAACCCTCGTGTGCGGGCCTGTGGGGCTGATAGAGGCCGGTAACTTTCAATCCTCCCTGACACGCACACACACACACACACCCTCTCTATCTCTCTCGCTCTCTCTCTCTCTCTCTTTCTCTCTCGGCGTTTCCTTCTCTCCAGTCGATCTCAAATCTACCATGCTCCTCGCCTCCTCGCCTCCTCGCCTCCTCGCCCTCGCCCGGTGTCCCGCCCGTTCTCCTGGGCCTGCTGCCCAAAGCCCGGAGAACGCCGTCGGGAGTCCTGCCGAGTATCCCTGGAGTGCACACCCCCAGGAGAAGCCGCAGAGTATCGGCGAGTCTCTTTGGCCCACAGAAGCAAAGAATTCCACGACAGAAGCCTGCAGCGAAGTAGCTGTAACTACCTGTCTGAAACCTGCAGCATGGCTCCCACATCAAATGTTTTCTGTTGCCTTTCTCTCTTGTCTCATATCGCCTCATACATCCCAGCGGATATCTTGCCTGGCTCTACAACAGTGCGATTCCTGCCGCGACTGTATGGACTATAGAACTTGAGTGCCCTGTTGAAACGCCGCAACTGCGTCCAAGCGGTATGTTAAAGGCAGCCATCTTTCGTTCTGGGTTGAAGGGCTCTTTGCCGCAAGAAAGGTACACCATGCTGGCTGTCACCGCCTTAGCAGCGCGTGGCGTGGCCAAGCGCGACGTTGTCTAAGGCTTACATGGCCCTAGTGAAGTCCAAGTGAGGTGCCCATCATGCTTCTGCCGAAGCCTTTCATTCTTCTCTACCAGCACAATGCCAAGCAGGCATGGGGGCCGACTGCACTGAACTTGCACGTGGCCTGCTGCATCCTTGAACTCCGTCACACACCTCTCTCTTGCTCTGCGGGGTGTCTGTCTTCGAAGGAGAAGAGCGAGAGTCTCGCGACCATTGATGAGGAAACAGGGCCCTCGAGCAACCACCATGGGCCGCCGGTCTGCAGAAGATGGCTAAAGGCTTTTCTGATGTTCCAGCTCCGCAAAGCTCAGTGCCTTACCAACACTGGCGAGGCTATGAGGCCTGTAAGACTGTAAGAAGATCAAAGGAAATTCCGCAGCCGGCTCAAGCGTGACCTAGACGCTGCCTTGGCCCAGACCTGGCCTGCTCATGGCGAACTCACCAAGGATGGACTCGGATTACACGATCGGGCCAAAGGAACAATGGCTTCCAGAGCCGCAATCTTGCGGCTTCTGGAATGCATCCAAGGTTTGCACCAAGGCCTCTTCAAGGATACTGGGCGAAGTGCTTGCGGAGCTTTCCAACACCCCGGGCCTGTACTCATACGAGTCATACGACGAGTACAAGGAGCACTCTTCGCCATTCCAGAAATTCGGGCTTGAGAACTTCGATGCAGACACCGATGTGCCAGAGTGGGCAAACGACATCGAGGAGTTCGACGTGCACAAGGACTCCACGTCTGATGCGGCCCAGGACGAGCGCCGTGAGCGCGTTATGTGGAAGAAGAACCGTCCGGGTCACCACCGACGGTACCAAACCCGTCGACAGAAGCGCGAGCCTGAAGCAGAGATGCCCGGCATAAGACATAGAGTTCCCTCTGATTTATTTGTGGGTTTTGTCTGCTAAAGATACTGTATATCCTGGCAGCTGTAGAATCCATTTCTTCATACGTAGCTCCTGCCGACTGGAATACTGTGTCAGTGTTTGGAGCGAGCACAGAACACAAGGAAGACTGCAGAGACATACGCGCAGCCCTTGGTCGCTGGCGCCGTGAAGCCTACCACCATCGACCTGGTGCTGACTCATCAGTAGAAGCAGTGGGCTTGGCGAACCTCACGATGAGAGAAGCTAGGCCGACTGAGTTCGGAAGTGGCTGCACACTTAGTGCTTGTGCCTTCCACTTCAGTAGGGCTTAAAATACTTGACTTGCACCATTGGCCACGATGCTCCACTGTACATTGTACATTACTTTTGCCCGTGGGCGCGCGATGCCTTGCCTGCAGCATGCCTATCACTAGAAGCTGGTATACGTATTCGCTGAGCCTTCCATCACTTGAATCAGGGTCGCCTGCGCGACCTTCCAGGATGCAGGCATTGCAATTTAAGCCAGAGTGTGCCACATCAGGGCGCCCATGTCTTCCTGCAAGGGAGCGCTCATGATGCATAGGGCATAGGGATCATGGGCAATTGGGCTTGGACATGAACCCCGCAGAATTTTCGTAGATCCTGTAAGAAATGAACTTGGTACTGTACTGCAGTTGCGGTGTACTTCTGTGCAAACCCAGCTGACTGGACAGCGAAGCATCGGTACAGGTGTCGGGCTGCAGAAGTCAATCCGATCAGGCACAGAGGATATTGATGCGCCCCGAAAACCTGCAGTCTCGCAGTCTGTGTGTCTCTCTCGGGTTGCGCGCGTCCCCGATCTTGCGTGGAGAATGTGCACTGTGCCTGCAACCAAGGCACGGCGAGGAGTTCGAGTTTGGCGCCTTTGTCGAATCTCCAGTGTTTGGGGCTTGTGGAGTGGGATTTTCGAATTTATTCGTGCTCCTGTAAGTTCATTCCGGCACATGGACTAGGCCTAGGCCATGCAGCCGGTTGTTCCTGTATACTCTGCGGTGCGTTGCTTCATGTGTCACGCAAAGAATCCACCGAACTCTGAGGGCAGCTGGGGAGACCCCCCCCCCCACATCTGCCATCTGTCTTTATGTGCTGCTGTCCCACACCCTCTGACAGTTCAACCACCCGGAGAAACGAGAGTACACAGGACAAACACAGCTCAAGAATGTCGTGTCCCTTCTTCACGGGGCACTTGCTTTAAGAACGTGTTGGAGTGTGTTGTTTCGGTTTTGCATCGCTTACGGCTTCCTGCGTATTGATTTTTGCTCGATGCCTCCATCCTCGACCCGCCGAATATGGAGCAAAGGCAAGTGGGACGTTGCCTTGCATCCCCTTGAACTTGAATCTTTGGGCCAAGTTCGCCTCACCGCTGTGCATTACTCTCCGCTGCCCTGGCACTTTGCGTGTCTGTCGGGCATGACCTTTCCTGACCGATCGCCTGACAGTACCCACCCTTCGACCCCGATACTGTTAGGGATACAGGGATCCACAAAATAGCGCCGTAGGGAAGTTGCTTGCGTGCCCAATGTGGCATGGGATGAGCTCCATGCCCAGGCGAGATCTTCATCCATCAGATCATCGAAACGATTGAGTTTGTTTTGGGCACCGTGTCGCACACGGCCTCCTACCTCCGCAACTTGAAGTAAGGTTTGCAGGTATTATTGCAGTTGTGCTGTGTATGGTGGGCTGCGAGCTCATCGGGTGAGAATATGATGCCCGAGGCATTTGGGCTCTGTCCTTGGCTCACCAACAGCTCTCCCTTGTCTTCTTCCAGAAGACCTTGACGATGGGCGCCTGGCCTTCCACTGAAAGTGAACTCCATTAAGCGCATCAACCCTATGCAAACTCAGGCAATGTCTTAAGTGAGGTGTTTCAGGCTGTGTTAGGCGTATAACGGATTGAGGGGGGGTCTTGAGGCCTGGTCATGTCCTTCCCCATGAATGGGATCATGATCTACCTCATGTTTGCTGCCTGGTTTGCCATCACGCTGGCCGTCCTCCTTGGAATGGACGTGTTGGAGTGCTTCTTGCACACCTTGCGGCTGCATTGGGTGGAGTTCCAGAGCAAGTTCTACAAGGCTGAAGGTCTGAAGTTCGCGCCCTACTCCATCAAGAAGCTGGTCACACCCACAGGCGAAGGTGAGTAGAGGCAATCGTGCCTTTGCAAATAGTGCCTCTGGCCTTGTGAGGCAGCAGAGTGCCTTGCAGTTTTGGCAGTGGTCGGGAAGTTTCTATGACCTTGTAGGCTTCCATCAGCATGTATATGCTCGCTTTGGGCCACTGCTGATTCGTTATTTAGGTGAAACCTGCGGACCCATAGAGGCTTCAAAGCGCAGGCGCCCCAAACTCCCAAACGTTCTCATCCTTGCAAAGAGCTGTGATGTGCGCGCCTTCGTCTTGGTGAAGCCTGCCCCAGGGTCCAGCAGGAACGCTTGGGCCACCGTTGCTTTTGCAGGATGCTTCACAAACAAGCCGGCCAACAAGGGCAGCAGCGCAGCACCTTGGTCTAAGGAGGTGTCTAGTGGCCAAAAGGGAGACCACGTCCAGTTGATCAATAAGCTGGCTGCTGCTGCTGCTGCTGCGTGGTATCCACTCATGCCACTTGAAGTGCGAACGTTTGTGAAGCCCTGCTTCAGCAGCATGTTCCGTGAAAAGCTGCACGGCGTTGCTGGCTGATGACTCACTCATGGGGCATTGCTTTCGCGAGGTGGGCGGGTTAAAGACAAGACTTTTGCCAGGTCCACGACACCAATTTGATCACCTGATCCACGCCGTAGGTGGCGTGGAAGCATTTGAGCAGCTGCAACAGTTGTGTATCCCGAGATCGGCTTGTGAATTTCTGCATGTGGTAGCATCGGGACGAAATACAAAGTAGCACAGGCGCTTGAATTCCCAATCCCCAGAGTTCGAAGCGTTTTCAATAGAAGGTGTAGTGAGTCCTGCCGGGCAGTATAGCAAATCTCCGTGTGGTGTGATGCCGGCATAAAGCCACAAGTTCAACGTAAGACCAGATGGTGACGAAGGAGGTGCTTGCCGGCATTTCCAGCACACTATGCCACTATGCTTTAGCTTTCGGTCCGCTGTTTTGCTGCAGCTGCGACGTTCAAGGCAATGCCAGATCAGCTTGGCCGACATCGTGCAACGCTTGGTTTGTCTGACTGCTCTGACCGACCACTGCAGACGTTGAGCGAGTTGACTTGAGTTGACTTGAGTTGAGTTGAGTTCAGTTGAGTTCAGTTGAGTGAGTTGAGTGTGGCAGCTTGGGTTGCTGACGGCTCAGCTCACCTTCCAAGTCGGCATTTAGCAGTTCCTCCGGCTATCCTCCGATGGCTTTGCGCGTTGGGCTCATTACTTCCGGCACCCGTGGTGACGTACAGCCGCTGCTGGCCTTGTCGCAGGAACTGAAGGCGCGTGGCCATGAAGTGGCGATTTGCTGCCCGGCATGTTCTGTTAGCCTGGTGCAAGAGCATGGATTCGAGGCATTCAGCATGACCTATGACTTAATGCAAGCCATCCAGGGCCCGGAGATGCAGGATGCCATTGACCATGGCGATGGGGCACGCTGCATCCAAGCAATAAATGAAGCGCAGCAGAGGCAGATCAAGGAGACGGGCGTGGACTCTGCTGATGAGGTCTATGAGTTTGTCCGCAAGTACCTGCCGGATGTTCTCGTTGGCCATCCAAGCTTTGTGCCCCTCGTCGCCGTGGCGGAAGCTTTCTCTTTGCCCCTCATCAATGCCCTTTTCATGCCCTTCCTGCCCTCTCGCACTGTGCAGCCTGCATGGTTCACGACAGCACAGCTGCAGGATGCGGATCTCATCAATAAGCCACTGGAGGCACACAAACGCGTCTGGGATGGCTACATCACAGAACCCATCTTGGAACATGTGAATAGTTTACGTGCGCGCTGGGGCTTGCTACCCTATGAGAGCGTAGCCCACCTACACGCAGTCTACCAATCCACTCCCGAAGCGAATTGTTGGAGCAGCCAGATATTTGCGGAGCCGCCTGACATGGCCCAAGAGTTCCCTTTGGCCAAGCAGGTGGGCTATCTCTTTGCCGACGCCCCACGAGACTACGAGCTGCCTTCAAGGTTAGTGACCTTTCTCCAGAGTGGCAAGAAGCCCGTCTATGTTGGGTTTGGATCCTTGTGTGTGGGCGACCCGCGAATTGCAAGTGAGAAAGTCATCCGGGCGCTCAGGAAGGCTGGGCAGCGTTGTATCATGGCTGGGGGCTGGGCTGGAATCAGCCCAGCTCATCTGGACGAAAGCAAGACCTTCGACTTTGCGGCCCTTAAGAAGTTGCTTGGCATCGCGTTTGGTTGTGGGACTTTGTTGGGACATTGTGAGACACTAGCAGTGCGCCAGACTGCCTGATTGCTGTGCGTTACTCGTCCGTCTAGTGCAGTTTTTGTGTGGGGGATTCCGGCTTAGATTCTTGCAACTTCTTGCAGGTTTGCTGACGAGCATGTGTTCCACGTGGAGGCTGCGCCACACGACCAGCTTCTCCCCTCGTGCTGTGGCGCCGTGCACCATGGTGGAGCTGGCACCGTGGCCGCCGTGGCCCGCGCGGGCATTCCTGGTGCGATCTTGCCGGTGGCTTGGGATCAGCCTTGGTGGGGAGAGCATTTGGAAACACAGGGTGTCGGCATCAACCTCGGCCAGATGATCTCGAAGGTTGATGAGGACGACCTCGCTTCAGCCTTCACACGCCTAGCTGAGGATCAGGGCCTTGCTGAACGGTCTGCTGCCTTGGCGGCCGCTATCTCTAAGGAACGGCCGGGCCGGCAGTGTCTTGCCGACTTTGTTGAGAGCTGCGTGCATTTGCCACATCCTTGGGCCACCCAAGCAGGCGCCCGGGGCGCCCGTGTTCTTCAGCCTGCTCTCTGGGACAGGGCCAGTCCAGAACTCTCCAAATCGAGCGACGCGGATGAGGGACGTGCTGCCACTTTGGGAGGTGCGTAATGTCTTCTTAGATTCTTGGCTTCATGCCGTATGTTTCATGCATTGTACAGATACTATTCCAGCCGCGGCCGTACCGGCCACACCGAGTCTTCGTTTTTTGTTCTTGCCGGATACTGCGCAAAGCATCATGCGGAGACTCGCCACCACCTGACAACAGGTCAGGAGATTACACGTATCGACAACTTGTAGTATGGACGATGTAAAGGCCCTTGCCGGCAAAGGCAGCTGCAGGAGCAGCAGCGAGCAAAGTAGCCACTCGACTTTTTGACTTTGCTGACTCCCTTGATAAAGGGTCTGACTGTTTTTTCCCGCGGCCAAGGCCTCTGGCATGGAGCGCCATCGCTGCTGCGTCGCAAGCATGAGCAGCGACTGGGCTGGCACATTTTCAGGGCTCATGGATGCCCTCGTTTTGCAGCTTTAGGTCGTTGGGAAGTTGCATGTTTGTGCCTATGCTTGTGTGACTTGTCACTTCCAAGCTTACAGTGTCACGGTGTCACGTTCTGAGGCCATTTGGAGGACAAAGTATATCAAGGGCACATACGCTACATGTAGTAAAATTTAGTCAAGAAGCAGACTGTGTTGATACATGCGCTTCCAATATGTGCAGCGCATGACCTATAAACACGTTTTGGTCTATGTGTGCATACATTGTGTATTTGTACGTAGACGTAGGCTGCCGTAGAGCCCTGGCAAACATGTGGCATGCCTTGGCTGAGTGATGTAAAGAATGCAAAGATCTTGTAGGGACTTGGGGGTTCGCTCACACTGTGGATGGTGAGCCAGCAGTCTACAACAATTAGCCGGTGCTAGCCAGCTTTTTTTTTTTTTGCCCAATGCAAAGTCGGGTACAGCTTGCCTCGCCATGGCTTGCGTGCGGAAGGTTCTCCACGCAGTTCTCATTCTGTCATGGTTCCTGTCTGTTGCGACAACGCTTTCTGGCAACTGCCATGTTGACCTTCCGTACACGCATCTCCGGGCCTCGGAGACGGGCACTTGCCACGCAACTTTGGAGTCTGTCCGTATGACCCTGACAACACACGCAGTCTATGCCCATGTCAAGTCGAACTACACGTACGTCAACTCCCTGAAAGATCCGCTAGACATGCCGCAGCTTGTCTTGCCTTTGCCAAAGACCGCTGTTCTTCAAGGCTTTGCAGTGGAGGGACATGACTTAGCAGGCGACCTGGTACTGAAGTCGGACGCTGTGCTGCCCGCAAAGTGCCCAAGCAGAGACAGTTTCAGCTTCTACCAGGCAAGCCTCCAAGGCCCCAGCTATCGGGTGCCCTTGCCATCGAGTGTGGAAGCTGGTGCAAAGGTTGTGCTGCATCTCGACTATGTCATGCAGCTTGAGACCAGGCAAAGACCTGGCTTCGGCCACATCTTTGCCTTGCACATCGCTCTGCCGGGAAGCAGCAAGGACACGCGGCCTTCATCAGGCTCCAGTTCCTCTGCTTCGGGTCTCCAATCTCCCATCTCCATCGAGGTGATACAGGAGGGCCTGGAGTTGGAGGTTTCCACTGCCACATCCAGTGTGGTAGTGGACCGAAGGTGTCCGCAGGTTTTGACGAGCTCAAGCTGTCCTTACGTGGTGCAGTCGTCTGTGTTGCAAGATGTGGTGCTGGAGCTTGCCATGCCAAAACCACTTCTGCACAGTCCGGCGAGTCCTTTCCTGACCATGCAGAGACATCCGACGACTGGCCAGGTCGCTGCGGCCATATGGCTGCCTCCCAATCTGGGTGTTGCTGGCACCTCGCAGTTCGAGATTTTTGTGGCGGTGGACACGTCTGTGACAATGCGGGGGCCGCGGCTTGGCCGAGTCCTACGGGCGCTTCGATCTTTGCTTCGCAGCCTGCCGCACGGCATACGGCTGAACATGGTGGGGCATGATGCCAACAAGCCATCGGAGCCCATCTTTGAGACGAGCCGAGAACTAGATGAAAGAACCTTCCAAGAGGTTGATGAGTACCTGGCACGGGAACCTACAGACACGTCCACCTCGGCAGTGCAAACGGCTGAAGCTGTGCTTGGTGCAGTCTTCGAATGCTCGCGCCCGGAGTTTGCGCAGCTCCGGGTCCTCCTCATAACAGACAGACACCCTCCAGATCCCAAAAGGGCAACCCAGCTGGTGGAGGAGAACTGCTTCATGGACTGCCGGCTTTTCTCCACGGGCCTTGGTTGGAGCGCTTCGCCGATGTTTGTGGAGGATGCCGCTAAGGAGACTTGAACAAATTACAACCACGTTCTTCATGTCCTTCTAGGGAGTGATAACAGAACATTGCATGCCTGAAGCATGATCCTGCATGTGGAATGTCACCAAACTTAACCGATCGCATGCCAGAATTTTCAGGGAGCTCCTGGTATCCTTCTCTTGGATCCCAGTCAACCTACGGAAAATCACAATGAATCACAGATCATAGTTTAACTTTGGTGAAGTTCATATGCAGTTTTAAGTCTGGTTTGGGACTTGTTAGGCGTCCGGGTCATACCACTGATGCCACGGATATGCTTCTTACTGCATGGTGCGTTGGACAGCTGCATGTCTCTGCTCTGGTCCCTGCATGGTTTAAGTGGGGAGATGCAACGAGAGAGAGAGCACGAATGGCATGTTTCCTTCGTTCAGGGATGTTTGAGATTTCCTTTGCAGGAAAACTGAGGTCCTGGAGTTTCAGGAAGCGGTGCAAGAGCCAGCACACACAAACAAGTATCAAGGGGCCTAGTTTAGAGGTTCGGCGTGTCCTCTCCTTTGCTCCTGAAGTATGAACTGATAAATATACTGCTGCGTCTCCGTTGTCTTTTTTCTGTTTGAATGAGGCACCTGCAAAGGAATCAGGATTCACATGTTGTCTGTGACTGAGGAGTTAGGCAGCAAACCAATCTCAATAATGAGTAAGCGTGCCTGTTCCCAAAAGAACAGTAGCGCAAATGCCTCTGCTTTGCATTGGCCCCATCGACAATAGAAGTTCCGGAGCAGCAACGGCTGTCGGCCTTACCTCGCTGACACTTGTAGCCTATCAAAGGATCTTTGAACAAGAGGTGGGTGAACACAGATGATTCGTTCATGCGTTCTAGCTCCTGAAACTAGCACGTGAGGTAAGTGCATCAAGTGAGCAAAGTTACAAACTCGTGCGTGGGTAAAGCCCTTTTGCGAACAGCGTTCAAGGGGCCTTTGGTAAGTCTTTTAATGGACCCTTTAGAATTACAGTATTAATACCGCGGCAATAATATAAATTAAGTTAGCCCGCGAGCCATCTTTACAAATGATGTGCGAGTGAAATTTACCCCATTGGCCCCATTTCTTGTATGCACGTTTGCATGGCTGATATTTCATTAGCCCGTGCACGTATTTTCCTTCACTTGTGCATTTTCTACTCCATTTTCTTTGATCCATCCACCACTCGTCTCCATCCCTTGCCATTTTGTACTGCTGAGGCTGGTCGGGGCACTTTCTCCTATGTTGCTGAGCGAGATGTCAAGCTCGGTTTGGAAAAAACCCTGACGTCTCATCTCTTGGACGCCTTGGTTCCTGTAATCAGAGACGTGCGTGTGGACTGGGGCACGGGTCTTGATCTCACTCTGCAGGTGACTCCGGATCTCGGCGAAATGGAGTACAGCAATCGCTTCCTGGCTATTGCGCTCATCCAGCCTTCGGAGAATGAGTGTGTCCAAAATCGAAGTACGCTGGAGCATGTACAAGTCGAAGCGGTCGTCGGAGGAGTGCAGCAATCAATGAGGTTGCTTGAGGTTGGTATGTCGACGGGGACGACACTCCACGCAGTTGGAGTTTCGTCCTATGTTCGGGAAAACCAGAATGCTTTATCCGAATCTGTCCAAGAAGTTGCACGCGTGCACCGTGTGGCGACCAGCGCGACGCAGTGGGTTCGCGTCCTGGCTCAGTCCAAACAGGCTCAGGCTGTGGTCTGCGATGGTTTATGGAGCGAGCCCGAGCCTGCAGACCCTTCAGCTACAGCTTCGCATGTTTCCGGGGAGCTCAGCCAGAAAGAGGCGGATAAGGGCCACAAGGGCACCTTGCTTTCTACTCGGCAGCATGGAGCTCCATCCAAGCATGTTGTCGAGAAGCTTTCGATGGTGAACTTCGGCAAGATCGCCACAAGCCTCTCGTTGAAGGACGATGCTGTATTTGGTGTCAATCAGCGCTCCAAGGTCTCCGAAACTGCCGATGAGTTCCGTCAAAAGCATCTCGAGCGAACGACGGAGGATTGGTTCAGGCCACGGTCGACATTCTCTGTCCGTGGCTTTTCCCGCATCGGTTCCGCTTTGTCCATTGTTGGAAGTTCTAGTGGCCCAAGTGGCCGCGGAAGCAAACCTTCTCCGAGTGCCTGGCAAGATCCTCTCCGTGGTGAAAACTGGCCCTTCATTCGAGGCGACGATGACTTCTTGACAGGGTACCATGACGATGTCGAGTCGTACAGGGCGTTTGACGGGCGCACGAAGGCCTCAAAAACCAGCTCTCCACCAGAGCTCGCAACTCGCAACACTCCGTCAAGTCGAGCAAAGAAGGCGGCAGATTTGGTCTCGCGCCTCTCCGTCCTCGACTTTTCCAAGCTGGGACACAGCCTGGCATTCCATGGGCGGCGATCGCAGAGCCCGTACTCTCGCCTGGATTCTTTCTCCTTGTTTGACTCCATGATGGTTGGCTCCTCGATCTCCTCGCGCCATCAGGGTCACCAGGTCAAGGGGCAGGCCGGTCAGAACCAAGGCACGCTGTCAATGCGAAGCCACATCCCTTTCTCCAAGCACGGGGCATCGGATCAGTCGTCTTCGTGGGCAAAGCTGTCTGCAACTGGAGCATTCAACTTGGCATCCCAGCTCTCTATTCGATTGGAGAAGAATCTGGGCAAGAGTCGGGGAGTGCATGCAATGCAGGCAGGCCACGCAAGTTTTGCAGACTTGTCAGGGCTGGGAAGGTCTGTTCGCGATGATTATGTTGAACGGCCAGACCGGGCTGTGTCGCCTGCGCCGGCAGGGCCACAGGCAGAGGACCTCTCCGAAATACGTGGTTGGATTAGCCTGGAAGTAGCAGGTGGTATCCTGCAAGGTGTCTGCCCTGTTAAATTCACGGGCGAGGCATGCTCTGATGTGTCTGAGCGGGTGGCAATCCACTGGAGACCTGGAAGAAATGCCAGCCACAAGCCGGCACAAGTTTATCTGACGGACATGCCGCTATCACTCCTCAGCCAAGGCATTCGCCTCGGGGAAGCGTCTCTGAGCGGAAGCAGCAAGTCAAGTGACAACTGGCCGCTGGAGCTTCGGATTGGCCTACAGGTCTCCAAGACATGCGAGCTGAGCATCCATCGCGTAGAGACATCAGGCTCTCTGGGAAGCAAGCTGATGACTTCAAAGCTGGCGGATGCCACGCTGCACTTTCAGGCATTGAGCTCCCAAGGCTCCGAAGAGCGCCTAAGTGACCTAAGTGACCTAAGTGACCTAAGGGCCGGAATAGGGGAAGCGCTGGGAAGCCGACAACAAGCGGTGCGACAAGGCTTTCCAACGGTCGCACGGCCTGTGGCAGTGAAAGCTGAGGCAAGCCACGCCCCACGTAGCACAACGTGGGACCCTGCATCCGTAGACATGCAGGCAGGTTGCCATGCTCTTTTAGGCGCGCAGGCATTTCAAGGCTACTTCATGCTTGAGCAGGCAGCATTGGATGCGATGGGATTGAGCTGGAAGCACCTTGAGATGCTGATGTCCCTCTGGACATTGCATGCAGCAGATGGAGCTCAGGTTGCGCACACGGCCTTTGCTCTAAATGTGTTGAAGGCATCCTTTCAGGAAATGCAGGCCTCGTGGCATCTAGTCGCTCGTCGTGCAGAAGCATGGCTTCAGCACAAGGTTGCAAGCCTTTCCTTGCCAGGCTGTCGAAATGCAGTGGCTTGCCTCGAGACCGCCGGGATATTTGCAGTCCGAGAACGCAACAAGGAAAAACGCGAGCCGATGACAAGATACGATAGGCAGCCAGGTTAGAACTATGAGGTGGCTTCAATTCTCCTGCAGATGTCACATGTAGTACTCCTTCAAGTGTTTCTGAAGAACCTGCTCGGATGAAACATGTATAACTCGAGCATGATCATAGGAGATTCTTGGATAGCCTGCGAGGCCTTGGTCAGGGGCGCAGTGCAATGCTGCCCGGCAGGCGAAGTGTGCGGCAAACGTGTAATGCGTGCGTGGTGCATGTTGTCGAGCGAAATAAACCTAAACCCTAAACCCTAAACCCAAAACCCTAAAAAAAAATCCTAAACCCTAAACCCTAAAGCGCGTTCCAAAGGCTTTGCTTGCAGCGTGGGCTCAGCCTCATTTTCTCGGTGTCTGTTGCAGCGCAGACCTTGCGCCATGGCCCGTCGAAGCCCTGCTGCCGCGCTAGTTGTCTTGGGCAACTCGTCTGGATTGGCCCTGAAGCTGCCTGCATCGCAAAACAAATGGCCAAATGCCTAAGATGTAAGAGAGGTTTATCAACATGATTTGTAGAGATACTCAAATAGCAAATGAGTCTGAACACATACAGGACGTAGATAGATAGATAGGTAGATCGATAGATATATATATATATACATACATACATATATATATACATACACAGATCTGTGTGTGATTGTACCTGTGTATACATAGATCGAAGCATACCTGACCGATGCGCTTGGACCCTGATCAGGCAGCTTGGCAGCGTACTGCAACATTGTGGGACACAGCTCACAGACTTTCAAGACTTTCACAGGGCTTGAGCCCAACCCTAGCCGACGTGATGAAAGCGCCATCACAATGGGTGACAAGGCTCTGCATGCATGTTTACTGTGACTTTGACATGGGGTGAACAGCGATGCTTCACGCACGACGCGCATACGGCTCAGCTGCATTCAGCAGATGACGATGTCCTTGTCGTCGTTATGTGCCCTGGCACGCCAGATCACAAGAGCTGCCGGCAAGACACGACGCGGCAAGTGGCAGAGGCACGTGCTGCAGCGTGGTTAGCGGCAGCCAGCGTGCAAGACCTGGAAGCTTGCGCGGAGGCTCAATGTGAAAACAGTAGAGATTGAAGGAAAGGAGATGCCAGAGATGCAGCTTGGGCAGCAGACATGGGTTGAGTTTCGATGAGTTCCGCTATCAGCACTGCCATGTCCACCGTTGTCTGTGGCCTGTGGCGTTAAGCGGTTGCCATGAGACCAGGGAAGGGGACATGCTGGGCACGTTCGTTGGGGTATACGGCGGGGAAAGAGCGCTTTTGGTCTGAAGTAGTTCTCTGGTGGAGAAGTTTCACGCAGACCTGCGACGCTGCGGGCCGCCAGGGTTTTGTTTAGCTACCCTCAAGCCCTGGAAACGAAGAAGAAGAGGGAATGAAGGGAAGGCGGGAGGGAGCGAAGGGGGGAGTGGAGGGAGGGAGGGAGGGAGGGAGGGGGACACAGGGGGACAGAGAGCGAGAGAGAGAGAGCCAAGCCTCACCTGGACTGAAAAGGGGCGACCCTGAGCCCTAGGCGTTAAAGCCTTAACGCCCGATAAAAGAATAGAGCTTGGCCAATGCGGCCGGTGCCTCAAGCACCTGAAGCGTGCAGAAGAAGAAGAAGGAGAAGGAAGAAGAAGAAGACAGAGAGAATAGAAGGAATGAGAAGAAAACAAGCTTTTGCCTTTGCATGTAAGCTTTTTCTCTGCCTTGCCAAGGTTTGAGACATTCCTGTCCCCAGAGGAAGAAGATACGCCGTTTGACGTCAGACAGGCCACATCGACAACCGTCGATGCGACTTGCTCTGCACAGCTTCGACTCCTTGCAGGTTTGTTTGTTCAGAACGACACCAGAAGTGGGAATGATGGCTGCGCCAAACATGTTCAGCTCAGGTCACGTTCGAGAAGAGGCCGTATGGCATTGTTCGGTGGCAGCCTGGCAAGGAGAACTCCGTCCATGTACCCCACATCAAGTTGCCATGTACCCATACATTTCTCTCATGTTTTAGTTCCACGGCTTTAAATGAGCGTGGGCCGAGACTGCCATGAAGGAGTCAGGGAAACAATGAGAAACACAAACATACTTGAGCCTCGCACCAAAAACCCCTTCGCTTTGAGACAGGACTTCAAGGGTGCTATGGCCTTGACCTGAGTTGCTGAAGGTCTCGCAAACGTTCAGTCTCAACTGGGCGCAGACGCGGGAAGGTCAAGGACGTTGCCCACGGCGTCTTCGTTGGAGACCCGCTCGGACAAGCTAAAGCTGCGGGCGTCACATCAGGAATGGTCGCCACCAGGAAGCAGTCCGGACTTAGTTCCACAGACGTGGCATCGGAACAGAGGGAATCATCTCTAGTACTCTCTTCCAGTCCAGTCGTATGACAAAATGACTTATGCTTTTCAATCAAGGTGAAGAGCATCGAAGGCCAGGACGTCATGAACGAGGCCTGTGGACCTCAGCACATCCATATGGGGGCTCCGGAATTCGGGGTACCTTATCGGGGTCCTTATTACAAGGGGATCCTACGATTCGGGCGTCTCTGTTGAGGGACCACATCTTCGCAAGCCCCCCCATGTTGAATTGTCGGAAGCGGCCTGACCACAAGTGTGGCAGATGCCTGCCAGGACTTCGACGTCATCATGAAGAAGTTGGGGGATGAAGCCCTCGGCTACAAGTTCCTGCGCAGAATTGACTTTCCCATCAAAGTGACTTTCGCAAAGATGCCCTCCTCGTGAGCAAGACGGATGTGACGAGTCTGACGAGACCCGCAAAGCGTGGGAGCAAAAAGAGACGCAACGCCGCCGGCTGCACTGCATGCCGTTTTCAGGGGGGGTCAGTGGGCCGCCTAAACATATATCCGCAAAAGACGAGAACCTTCATTATCCCCGATTATCGGAAACCTTTCCCAAGTGTGTTTCAGATTCAGTACGTCAGTACGTGCAAGGATGAATGACAGTCGCACTCTTGGTCAGGCTGCCCTGCTGATTCTTGAGCTGGAGCCCACATTGCTCGTTGCACGCTCTGGGGAGCCTCACGAGTTCCAGTACAGCCTGAGATTTGGGCTAGCCGCTGTGCATGCCTTGCATATGTTCGAGTTCTCGCTGTGATAAGCTCTCCCCGTACTTCTCGTTGCAGAAGCTAACCGCTTGGGTTAACAATGGTGTGTAAGCAGCTTGCCTCGGCAAACGCCATAATTAGAGCAGCTAGCCTGTTGAGTTCAAGGTCATGCGCCTGCCAATAGGCGCGGAGTCGCAGCCCGAAAATGTGTCTATCTTGAGGGGCATAGACACGTGGAAACTGCTCTGCATTGCACCGCCATCTCCACTCGTCACTGGGCCTGTCGGCTTCAGCTTTGGCGTTCGAGGGCCGAGCGTGTGCTGCAAAGAGTCTTAAGTTTTTACCTTGTCCACGTTCGCTTCATATTATATGTTCTAGAAAACTCACCGCCGCGATTGCAGTACTATCAGTACATATCAGTACTCAATTGCTTCAACATAATTGTCCGTGGATTTGTGGCCTTGGGCCCTGTAGGGCCATGCCCATCCGGCCAGAAGACCAGATCACCTGGGGCGGAGTGCTGCTCCCTCGAATCGAGACCTTGGAGCCAAGGATCCGCGGAGCTCGGAGCTCAGGAGCCTGCGCCACATTGAGAACGAAGCAGTGGCATAGGAGGAAGCCTTCGCCTCCGTCCCAAGGTAGCACTCGAGCGCTACTATTTGCCCAAACTGGCCGAGAATGGCTATGCGCAAGCTCCTCAGCTCCTGAAGAGGCACTGCTTCGAGGGCACTGAGTCGCTTGAAGGGCTTCTTGTGGTTGGTCAGGTGCCACCCGGTCATCGACCGTGTAATCGAAGCGGCGCAAGTCCCGCGCGACCGTCGGCAGCAACGTGCGCGGGGGACCGAGCCGGAAGTCGTTTTGCATTGCCACAAGAGCATTTCCAGCGAGCATTGCTTAAAGACATCCCATGATCCCTTGCGCCGTGCCCTTGGGCTCCAGTTGTAGGATGCAGGGTGCTTAGATCCTCTCTCCTTGCAGCCCGCACCATACAGAATTCGCTCAAGGGTCAGGTGGCCATTTCTTCGACTGATGGCCATCGGTGAAGTGCCGGTACGAGTGATGTGCGAATCCTTGGAGGGCTTCAAGCTCCACGTGGAGGATGTCGACGGAGTCACGGTCCCGAAGATGTCTCTGTCTTTCTCCATGAAGATGAGCTTTCCCATCCATGACCTTCTCAAGACCCTGGTGTCATGGCAGGAGCACGAGACAGGCTTTGCCCAGGAGCCCTCACAACAGCCCCAACAAGCGGTAGCAGCTCCCGAGAGTCGCCGACGTGCTCAGGAAGCCTGCGAAGCAGTCGAAAATCCAGCGTCACCACTCTTGAATGCTCCCTTGTATGCCGACTACAAGTCCCAGAACAACTGGGAAAGAATCTCTTGCCCTCACGTCGTTTTGCTCGATGACGAGATTGCACTCAGACAAGCTACCTTTGCTCCGCTACAGGCCCCAGACCGTGTGCCCATGACCTATGCGAAGTTCAAGGAGGCAAGGAGTAAGCCCGGCGCGGACTCTGCTCCTGCCCCGGGGAAAGGGCCACAAATGAAAGTGCCACCAACCAACGTCGAGAAGGCTCCACCCGCTGGCTGGAGAACTCCGCCAGCTGCAGTCAAGCCTGTCCCACCAGCTTCTATCCAGCACAAGCCGCCTCCCATGGGCAAGCCGCCTCCTAAAGATGGGCGGTACTGAGAGAGGCTGAGTGGTAGACATTGATTGCGCTGAGCTTCTGGGAGTTGGTTGCCCAGCTGCACTTTTGACATGTGGCTAGCTGGACACAGCAATGACCATTATGACCGGCGCAGTAAAAGTGAGGCCGCACCACGAGAGAGCTTGCTTGACTGCCTGATTCTTGCGTCCGTTCCAGAGAACATATGCAAGCTTCCCAGGCACCGTGCAGTCTGCAGCCGCACATCCTCCTTGCCCAGCATCCCGGTAGCTTCCTGTCAGCAGTTAAGTTTGTTCAATGAAGCTGTTGTGGGTGGATGCCTGAACGTGTCGTTGTTGGCGTGTATGTTCTATTGGCAAGTTTCTCTGATATCTATACCCATATGTGACGAAGGCGATGTCTGCATCTGCCGCCCATGGATCGACGTCAACCGCGCATTCCGCATCCTCACGTCACAGGGTGGACATCTCAGTGGGATTGATGCACTCCATATCACTTTGTCATAGTTGGGTGGAATTTTACATTTTTAAGGGCACTTAAACCCAATAAGGAATATATATATATATATATATATATATGTCTCTCTCTCTCTCTCTCTTTTCCTACTATCCCAACCATGAACTAGATCATCCACACTGGTGTCGTCATCGGCTCTTCGACCAGAGACCTTAGAAGCGGCCTGCAACCTCGGACAGGCCAAGAGAGGGCGAAGCCAGTTTGATTCTCGTCGGCCACTGCCACCCGTCCAGAAGAGCCCGGGATGGTTGCAGGTCCTTTGAAGGTCAACAATCGAAATGATGCCCTATAACTAACAAGATTCCTACTCTAGTAGGTTTTTGAGTCGCTAGTCCTTTTCCGGATGCTGTTTGGGCTGCGGGCGGTGGACGCGTGAGGCCGACTGGGATCGAGGGCGGCCCAGGCCTGTCGGGTTCGTGATGTCGCTATGCAGTAGGAACCGTTGAAAGGGTGCAGGGTGCACTTCTTTAGAGAGTATGTAGAGATTTCAGATGATTTCAGTTCATGTACCAAAAGGTCAAGTGTCCGTGTGCTTACGAGTTCATCCCTCGTAGCTGCACTTGCAGGTGCCGTGGAGCCGTACATAGCTGGCCCTCGGGGGCAATGGGGTCCTGTGGCACAGCTCTTCGCAAAGAGGGCCGCGCAGCCCGTCATGTAATTAAGGGTTGGTCGCAAGGCTGCTTAGAAGTGCGGCCTGGCAGATCTGCACCGACAAGCCGGCGCAATCTGGTGTACTCAATGTACAGTACAGCTTGTCGCTGTGGGCTGTGTATGTCCTAGTACTTCGTCTAGTCTCCAGAGCAGAAGCAACAATGCTCTGCGCTGGGTGCTATGGAGCTGTGCCAGAAATGCGCATTCTTAACTGTAGAAGGGAGCATCAGGGTCAGATTCAAGATGCCAGCTCTTGTAGGCAGGATTTGGTAGATAGGACTTGCTGCGCGGATATTCCTGGAAGGGAAGAGCCGCAAAGACAAGCAAAGTGTTTAAGCGCAGCGCCTGTGGCGAGTTTCCTTGTTTTCGCAGAGGAATTCCGCAGAGAGGCATAGACTGCCCTGGCTGAAACTCGGAAACTCGCAGATGTTACCTTGCAAAGCAACAGGTTTTTCCCTCGACAGGTCTTGGCAGCGCAAGTCGAGAAATCGGAGACTTCTGCTAGACAACGCAACCCGAACTCCCCATCACCCACTTTGATGTTGGAGGGCTTTGCTTGACGCGTTGCCTGATGCTGTGGACGCAACGGCAAACACTCAGAGAGAGAGAGAGAGGGGAGGGAGGGTCTCATTGTATGGTGAGTCCTAGGCGGGGTTTGGAAGGGAAGAAGATCGACAGCTTCACGCGTCAGACCAACGCGAGACGACAACTACTTGAGGGCTCCGGCTGCTGCTGTGGGGGGAGTGGAGGTGCCAGACAAGGGAAGAATTCCAAGTTTCCGGTCTCTGACGGCGAGTTTCACGGAAACTTCGAGACATCTGGGCGGAGATTAGAGGCAGTCATCGAATGGGAGACAGTGTGTCGCTATCGAAAGTAAGAGGAAGGGGCAATAGCAGCGCGAGCGGGAGACGAAGATCTGAGATGAGCAACACTCAAACGAGAACAGTCAATTTTGTGATTGTAGTGTATACGAGCGTCCTGCAGCATCTTCATTTCCATGCCAGTGAAAAAGGGGTTTTCGAGCTTTGGGGGGGGGGGGGGGGGGGCACCGTTGGATCTCCTCCCCAAAGAGACCGCCCAAATGAACAGTTTCACACAACTGCGTTCGGGAAGGGCAGCAGAAGAAGAAGCAGCAGTTGGCAGCTGAAGCTGGGCTGCACCCAAAACATCATGGTCTTGCACATGCGAAGGGTATTGCCTTGAAGGATCTGCGAAAATCTCAGCCACCTTTGGGGCACAAGAACCCAGAAGAAGCCAGAGCTCTGCCACTCTCAGTGAAACCATGGCCTATGCACGGGCTGGCCTGAGGCAAACAAGGCAGATCGTGGGGGCTGAGACATTTGTTGTTTTGGTTTTTGGGGTTCTCAAGGGAGGGGGGGTTCATACCCCCCTTGAACTCCCCTCCCTCAAGAACCCTGTGAGTTTGGTTAGGGAATCTGGGGGGGCAGAATACTTTTTGCTCATCTTTTGCTCGCAGTGAGAGGCATCTCCTGGCCCTTTGTTGCCTCCTGGGAGCCCTGGCGAGCCCCTCGCGGAGATTTCGGAGAGTTTTTTTTGTGGAAGAGAGTTAACAGGGGCTTTGGGTTTTGGGTTTAGAATTTTGGTTAAGATGAGAGAGGCGTTGTGGGGTCCCAATCGTTGGAGTGTAATACTGATCTGCTGTGCATGTATCAGGCTTTCACGGCAAAACCTGGGTGTCTTGCCCCCCGGTTGCAGTACTTGTTGTCTGCATACTCTGTATGCTCCATTCCCTTGAAGCAGTCGCGGCCCGACAGAAACGCGCATGCGGAATACCCTCTCAGCGGAGAGACGACTCCTTTACCAACATCGTGACGAGGTCCCAGACGGGATGCGGCTCTCGGCTACTACACTGCTGCTTTGAAGGGGGCAGCCAGGGTGGGGCGGGAAGGGCGGGGGGAGAGGCTTGGGCAAACGACGAGTTGGGCTGTTAAAGTCGACTCGCAAGGGATTTGCATGCGGGTTCCCCCTTGCTCGGGAAGTGCTTCGTTTGTAGTCCTCCAAGGTTCACCAGGTATGCTGCAGTATGTTGGCTCTGTTCCGAAAGTGTTCTGGTCTTTGGGCAGCTCGGGAATTGCGAGGTGGCAAACACCGACTTGCAAAGCTCGAGCTTCAGGCGTCTGGCACTGCCCGTTGGCTGCAGCTGGACGTTGGCAGGGCAGAGTGCCGGATGTAGAGTGTAGATATACTGAATAAACTGTGCAGAACACTGCAAAGGTGGTCAAAGCACGCAATTGAGGTTGCACTACCGCGCAGTGGAGCTCCGACGTCAGCGGAAGTGGGATGGAGCCACGGCCGTGTACCGCACGGTGGGAAGCACATGGAAGCACATGCTACGACTGGCTAGTCACGGCTAGACGTGTTCCGTGTAGCTTTGCGAGAGTGTGTTCAGGATACATCTAGCTAGCAACTCCAGTTGCCGAGCCGAGCAATTTGACAGGCCCTGTCGATGTATAGCACGATGCCTCCAGTGCTGCGGCCTCAGCAGATCTTGCCAGTTCGTGTCAGCTCCGCAATGCAAGTCGGTGCAGATGTGATGTGATGTCCGTGGTGTGGTGATTGACTCGGGGCAATACTTGGGAGCGCGAGCTCCAGGACATGCTCAGACCATGACCAAACCGAGGAAGGAGGTGCCCTCTTTCGCCGCTGCTGCCTGCACTTGGCCTCTTGGAGTAGGTGAAAGATCCTCCCCCTAAAATGCTGCACGCCCCACCCATTGCAGTAGCATTCACATACCTGTCGTCACTTGGAGGAGGGACCGGACCCAGAAATATCTCGAATGCCGAGGCTAAATTTGGCTCTAACAGAGAAGAACAACGGCCACTTTGACACTGCTCGGCGTGTCTTTCAAGATGGTACACGCTTTGACTCTTGGTGGAACAGTGCGCTACAGTTGCTCAGTGGAACAAGGACGACAAAAGCAAAAGTGGCCACAGCAACTCCATGCAACTCCTGCAGTTCCTGAAGGTCCAAGAGCTTATGCAGAAGGAGCTCGATGTTCGGATTGATGGACAGAATCGCGTGCGCTCACGGACGATGACCCAAGCATCCAGACGCTTGTCTGGCAAAGGGGGCTCACAACCAGGTGAGAGCTCCATGAACTGCCTTAAGCTTGCAGCTTCTTGCTCAAGAACAGCTCGCAAAGTGTGTTGCTTGCAGTGTGACAGCAGGTTTAGGCAGATCTGAGAAGCTCAGGTCAAGATGTAGAAGTGGCTTGCAAATGGCTTGCTACTCTGCTGGTGGCCTGGGGGCTTCTGGAGACCAAACGTGGCTACAAAAGCCGTGCGAAGGCAGCTGCACGAACCCTCAATGTTCCACTGTTCCATGTTCCACTGGTGTTCCACTGGTGTTCGAAGTATGAAGAGCCTTGTGCCTATGTCCAGGTGTTAGCAGAGCGTGCTGCGCATCTAGATGGCAGCAAAGCGAAAGTCTGGGGCTTGAGCCCGCAACATGTGATTGCTCGAGTTTGCTTGGTGTGCGGCTTGTTTGAACCAGGTTCTGTCCTGGAAGGTGGACCTGATGTCTTGTGTGATTGAGAAGCTGGTTCTTATGTGCGTTGCTCCGCCGTGCTGAAGCACTTTGCAACTGACAAGTCTCATGTTGCCCCCCCAGAGTGCACGTGTATGATCGCGTGCCAGGTAGTGCAGGGCATCTAGAAGGCGAATGATCCACGTGAGCACCAGCAAGCAAGCCTCCAGTCTTCCAGCGCTGCCACTCCATGCAAGAAGTTTGTGCACAGTGTTTGGCGGACCGCTGTGGTGAGCCCTAGCTCTTCAGCTAATGCCGAATCTATTTTCGTTTGCCATGATGCCAAGGCAAACTTGTATCGACAGCAGATCAAATGACTTGTTGAGCTGTCGCGGCTCGCGTGGAGGAACACAGGCCAGGCCAACAGAACCGGGCACCGGGTACTTGTTGATGCGACAACCGTGATTGTTTGATCAGCACAGGCTCCCGGAAATGAATGGAGCCATGGAGCAGATCTCGCTGCTTGCCTGCACAAAGCCTCCCACTTGGCTAGGTCGGAGCTTCGAGCATGCCTCAACAAGCATAGGGCCATAGGGGCGCCCTTGCCCTACCAGGCCGAAAGCCTTGCCTCGGGCCCAAGTACCAGGCAGGGAAGAAGGCACCGACTTGTAAATTGTAAAGGAACCCATGCACCGATTTTTGGGCAGCCAGTCAGAATTCAGGAGTGGCGTTGGTCATAGAGACCACGCCACGGTTTAGCCAATTTTGTGTCGTTGCGAGAGTCGAGTTGTGAAGCTGGCAGCTTTCTCGCCAATTGTTCGACGTCGCTGGTGGTATAATTGTGCACGCTCGGTTCCATCGTATGCAACAAGCCAGACTGGCCAGTGCCATCTCGAAGAAGTGATACCATGCCTTTTGCGCTGAAAGAATGCGGTGGACTTCGCTACCCTTCGGCATCACTGCTCACTCCATCGAGCCCAGGCATAATTCAATACAGTGTGCTGTGAGTGTCCGAGCGGTCATCAGCGAATCGAAAAAGCAAGCGAACGGCGGCACATGATCCTTTAGGACTTTAGGGCACGCCGCAGTTTGCAGACATATTGGCAGGCAACATCATTAGAGCAAAGCTTTTGTAGCATCTTGCACTAATGCTTGATCCTTGATTGCCCCTTGTACTTCTGTAAACCTTTGCGAGGCCACATGTGTTGTCATGGCGATATGTTTCCTGCTTGGAGAATAGGGCTGCTTGATGGGGCATGGTACTCGTCGCAGCTGCTTCAGCAGGAACAATCCCCAAGCCGTCCCGTTGTGGAGCATGATAAACTACCAACATGGACGGTTGGGCATGGGCGTGCTGTGCCTGTTCCGCGGTTCAGTGATCCCGAAAGCATTAGTCTGGTCTATTCCTGCAACCATTCTGACCATCTGCCTGCATGTCTATCTGGACATGCCGAAGGGTGACTTGAATCAGGAGATACAGGGAATTGAAACGATCTGGGGAGGGTTCACGTTTGTGCTTGGCTTCCTCATCGTGTTTCGTAGCAACCAGGCCTACAACCGCTTCTGGGAGAGCGTCACATTGCTGCACCAAACCACAGGGGAGTGGACGAGTGCTTACAGTAATTTGCTGGCCTTCTGCAGCGAAGAGCCGACGAAGCAGAAGGATGTTGCAGAGTTCCAGGCACTCCTCTCCAAGCTCATGAGCCTTCTCCACTGCAGTGCCTTGCAGGACTTGTGTGAACTTGAGGATGACACCTTAGAAGTCTTGGACTTAGGTGGCCTCAGCCGGCAGACTTTGCAGCACCTCAGGGACAGCCCCGACCGTGCAGAGTCAGTTTTACTGTGGATAGAACGGCTCATCATGCACGCAGACAAGAGCAAGATCCTCGACGCCCCAGCACCGATCCTCTCACGGGCTTTTCAGGAACTCTCCAGAGGAATGGTCACCGTCAGTAACATGCGCAAGATCCGCATTCCATTCCCTTTCCCTTACTCGCAGCACCTTGCCTGCGTCTTGATCTTTTACACTGCTCTGACTCCCGTGGTCGCCAGCCAGGCCATCCTACGGCCCTTGTGGGCTGGTATCATGGTTTTCGTGGTCTGCATCTCATACTGGACACTTTACTACATCGCCCAAGAGATTGACCAGCCCTTCGGGGATGACGCAAACGATCTACCCATCAGAGAAATGCAGCATGAGTTTAATGCGAAGTTGACATTCTTTATACATCCTTTGTCTTACAACGTTCCAGATTTTCGGCCTGATGCCAGCCAGCACATCCACATGCTGGGTTCCAACTTCACGCTGGATTTGACAGACTCTCACAATGTGGTGCTCCAGCCGCTTGAACCTGCACCTGTGATGGATGAGGTCACTGCGGTCAAAGCAGAGAGGCGATTTTCAGAGGAGCCTCTTGCTCCGGCTTCGCTCATGAGGCCGACGGAAAACAGCAGAAGCCCGAGGAGTGGCTCGCAAGTTCTGTGGGAGCCACATGTAGACCCATTGAACTCAGCTGTGCTGACAGAGCTGCTTCCCAAAGTGCTTCCAGAGGAGTTTGAACTTTCTGACATACGAAGGATTCTTGAAGCTGCGGGCATAGACGATAAAGGCGACAAAGGCGACAGATCCGGGCCCCAAACGCGCAGAACAAACACTGCCGCGAGTTGCAGGCTGAGCATCCTGTCCGCCGACGCCCAGGAGGCGTACACGGCCTCACTCACGGCCTTATCTCTGAGGGTTGAAGACATGCTTTCCCAGCGGGAAAGTGCCTTGAATGACCCTGCTTTGCGGCGACAGATGTACAGGCTCAAGGAAGCCCTGACCGAAGTTTTGATGGAACAGTGCCGAGTCTGATGCTTGCTCGGGCAGTGTTGTCAAGAGTGGTCCTGATAAGCAGGAGAACAGTAAGTACACATTTGCAAAATTTGGGTTTTGAATGCTTTGATGAGGCAGTGTAATTCGTTGCTCCATGGCTTCCAGAGGCCATTGCCATTGCTTGTGAAACTCTTCACCATCTGCCCAGTAGGAGGCAGCTTGCTTCGGATGAATCCGTGCACTTTGGCAAGTAGTAGCTCAAGTCCTCATGCTTTGGCTCGCAAAATGCGACCTCAAAGTGGTGACGAGAGAGCCCGCGGTTGCGCGCGTTAGTGAATCTTAGAGCTTGTCTCAGCTATAGAAAAAAAAAGACACCTTGATGCCAGCCAGAAGTTGGGTTCGGCTTGGGCTCTTAGACGCTGCAGGTCGGCGGAAAGGACCGGATCAAACCAAGCCACGTCAGTGACATTTGCCAAAAGGCCCCAAAGTAGTGATACGTAGGGCGTAGGGATCAAGTCGGGTAAAGCATGGCTAAGTGAGGGAAGCGTGGTTCGGAAAACTGCAGCTGCCAACATGTGACCATGGAGCCACCGGTGCAGGGCCCAGTCCACATAGAATGCTTGCCGTGCACCGTTGAGATTCGGCAATGTCCACTCAGTTCAGACCCATTGGTGGAAGCAGCTATGCCCGCCTGTCAGCCGACATGCTACTCCCAAGCTTGTTTGACAGACTTTCGGGCACAGTGATCTGCTCTCAGCTGCGCCAGTGCAGGTATCCCATCGCCCTCCTCGTGCTCCGCGCACGAGTTTCACAGAGGCGCCTTGCGCTGCGTCACAAGTCTTGTGCAGTCGTAGTTGGACTTGCAAAGCAGGAAACGGGCAGACAGAGGTAGACTTACCGTGGACTGCTCTCCAAACAAAAACGCTTGAAGTGAGGCATACACATGTAGAACTGTAGAAAGGGAGGCCTCAAACCGCGCCGGGGACGAGAGCAGAACATTTTAGCCCGGAGGGGGGGGGGGGGGGGAGCCTTAACCAAGCAGGGCACAGAAGAGTACTTCACCGTACTTCACCCATCTTTGCCGGGCCTGTAGCCACTATCGCCCACATGGCACGGCCCACATATAATATATATATATATAGGGTAAGTACTGGTAACATGCCATCATATTAGACACATGAGCAGCAGGCCACCTGGCTGGTGAAGAGCTGCGATGCAGTGTGGAGACATGTGGGGGGATGCATGTCATGGCGTTCGGGAATTTCTGTCTCGTGGCAGGAGAAGGGCTTCTCGCGTTGGCAGAGGTGGCCCCAAACGAAACTTGCACTACATCAGACAGACGTCTGCTGCTGTAGCCTGAAGCATCTCGAAATGCACGCCGCTGCACGCTTCTACTATGAAATCTCGTGCGCTGCGTGGTTGATGTTAGCATGTCATCGCCGTATCCTGGGAGGGCAATCGGTGAAGAACTCTTGGCACAAAGCAGCTTGCGGGGAGTTTTGGAGGCGGGGCACCCAACATGTCTGACCGAAGGCCATTTGCAGAACGAGCATTGAACAGAATACGAGTGTTCCCTGAATCTTGGTTGTGAGTGTTGCATGGAATGATGTGCTATGTGTGCTCACACGCAATGCGTTGGCTTAGTGGAAGCCCAAGAGCTGGAAGGGATTGGGTCACTGTGTCCCGCAGTATTTTCCGCCATGATCTAGTACTCTCACGGGAGATGGGGCATACGAGTCCTCTTACAGCTAAGAGGATCTGTCATACCGAAGGCCTTAGTTTGGTCAGTGCCGTGTGCTGTCTTCACGGTGCTTTTACATCAGTTTTGGGACCCAGAAAACACAGAGAAGGGCGATGCCAACCGTCAAATGGAGGGCATAGACCAGATCTGGTCAAAGTTTACCTTCGTGCTTGGCTTCCTCATTGTCTTCCGCAGCAACCAGGCTTACTCGCGCTTCTGGGAGAGCGTAACGTTGTTTCATCAGATTTCCGGGGAGTGGATGAGTGCGTTCAGCAATCTCCTGTCGTTCTGCAGCGCAGATCCGGTGAAGCAGGCAGCAGTTGCTGAGTTCCGTCAATACCTCATAAGGCTTATGAGCCTTTTGCACTGCAATGCCCTTCAGACCTTGTGTGAACTGGATGACGACAGGCTAGAGGTTGTGGACCTGGGCGGCATATGCCGAACAAGCTTAGTTCATCTCAAAGGCAGTCCAGACAGATGTGAGACCGTCTTGCTATGGCTGGAACGTTTCATCATTGAGGCCGACAAGAGCAAGACCCTTGACGTTCCAGCTCCCATCCTCTCCCGTGCCTTCCAAGAGCTGTCTCGCGGAATGGTCGGGGTCACGAACGTGCGAAAAATCCGTGATGTCCCTTTCCCCTTCCCATACTCGCAGTTTCTGTCGTTCATTTTGGTGGTGCACTGGCTGGTAACGCCCATCGTGGCTAGCCAAATAATATTGAAGCCCTGGTGGGCCGGAATCATGGTTTTTGCTGTGTCCACCTCCTATTGGACGCTTTACTATATTGCGCAAGAGATTGACCAACCCTTTGGCGAGGATGCAAATGACCTACCGGTGAGAGAAATGCAGCGTCATTTTAATGAGAAGCTCGAGTTTTTCATCAGTCCTTTGTCTTGCTCAGTGCCAGAGTTTAATCTAGATGCGAGTCAACACATCCAGATGCTGAGTTCCACCTTTAGTGTTGCGCTTGCTTCGTCGGTGGAATCTCCGGTGGAAGCCTCCGGGAGTCTTCCTGAAGCATCCGCTCCGCTGTCCGCGGTGCAGAAGGACGTGGAGTCTTCAGCCTGCGATCTCATGGACGAGAAGCTGGCAGTTGCTCGAAGGATGCACCTCGACACGGCGAAGCTCGAGAAGCACGAGATCATCGAAGTCACATTGGCAAACGTTCCGAACTCCGGGCGTCATCATGCCCCAGCACCAGGTCGTTGCGATTGTACAGCCGCTCCGGAAGAACAGCATGCCACGATCTGTCTTGGCCCTCAAGCACCATTCTCACGCAAACTTTCCGAAGTCTCTGTTTTTCCGCCGGCTGCGGGGATTCGCGAGGGAGCTTCTGGCGAGAGTGCACCGGGGCTAGCTGTAGAAGACATCAAGCAGCTACTTTCCATGCTGCCTGGAGAGCAGGACACGACACAGCTAGCGAAAGTGCTGCAAGTCGCACTAGCTGTAGATTTAGACGGCCAAGTGCTAGGGGCAACGAAAGCTCATCCTGACCCGCTGGCCCTCTTGACTATGTTATCTGGCAAGTTGGACGCCCTGATGGCTTCGGATGAGCTCCGTGGATTTGATTCTGAGCACCAGCAGAAGCTCCGATTGCTGAGCCAAAGACTCCGAGAGAGACTCAGCAGAATGAGAAGAGTATGACAATTAGCTTGGGCACGCTTCGGACACTAGCCGTGAGTGCCAGGCACATGTGCTTTGCAAGTAAGTGAGGCTGCTCACATTAATTCGTTTTGTTTCACGTCTCAAAACTGAGTTATGTTGCGCTGGACCACAGCGCTCGCATTAATTGTTTGGAGCCGTTCGGCATGGGCAGCGCACATGCAGCGGGTACTCGGAGCTAGCTTGGGCTGACATGAACCTCCCTAATTCTTCTACTGTACATTCCTTGATAGGGCAGTTGGGAGACCTATGCACTCTCAGCAGGACGGAGTAAGTCGGTTTCTGTCCGTCGTCTCGCTGATGCGCGTGAGTTTCAATGCCACCGGCGCTTGCCCCAGACGGCAGTTGCCATGGCTTTCCGAATCTTGCCGGAATCTCGCCTGTCTGACCGTCCAGTCTGGGCCAACTGTACTAATTTCGAAGAAGGCCCGGCTCGAGGCATAGCATTGAACGGAGAACAAGCTGCGTGTTTGAGAGCCTTATACGTGATCCTAAGTGGCAGGGTGCCGAGATAGAGTCGCAGGTTGAACTGGGAGAGTAACCGGTCAGAGAAGACAGCCTCACCCTCCTGGGCTAAAGGCAGCGCAAGACCTGCCAGCCTGCCAGCACAGGGCTAGGCATCAGGAGTCCTCGTTTATGATCTCCTACAGCCATGGCACGTGGGGGATCAACCTCCTTTTCAGCTTCCATGGCTCAGTGCTTCCCAAGGCCACATGGCAGCAACGTTTAATATGAATATGCTAAGACTAAGAGACTCTTTTTCTCATCTGTGCTATACTCTACAGCACAGGCCCTGACAAACTTTAAAGTATCTTCAGGCATTTGTCTGGTCGGTCCCTTGCGCCTTGATCACCGTGGTGCTCCACAGCAACTGGGGTGAAGACAAGGGCGACGAAAACATGGAAATGCAGGGCATTGGCACCATTTGGTCGGGATTCTCCTTTGTGCTTGGCTTCCTGATCGTTTTCCGGAGCAATCAAGCGTATTCGCGATTCTGGGAGAGCGTGACCTTGTTTCAGCAAATTGGCGGGGAGTGGCTGAATGCTTTTAGCAACCTCCTGTGCTTCTGCAGCAGGGACCCTGAGAAACAAGACCAAGTCTATGAGTTCCGATACTTCCTCTCACGATTGATGAGCCTGTTACACTGCAACACTTTGCAGACCTTGTGTGAGCTCAGCGATGATAGTCTGGAGGCCTGACACATCTCCCGAGACGAGCAGACAGTAACTCTACACACCTCGGCCCGGCCTTAATTCAACGATGATCTCTGGAAAGTCCATGGTAGGGCCGTAGGGGGCCGGTTGGGGGTGACCCAATTCCCAGCATCCGTGCAAAAAGGCCAAACCTAGGATTAAGTATCCGGAGCAGGAACCTCGCGACCTCCTCGCTGAGCTCTGTAGCTTGTGGGTGCTTGGATGTCGGGTGGATGGTCAAGCGGGATTGGGGGCCTTTAGGAGGGATCCTGCTGAGATGTGGGGGATGCATGGTGGGTGCTTGCGAAGCTACTTGGGGTTCGGGGTTCTAGGCCTCGGGTGTACTCGAAAGGTACGGCAAAGAGGGACCCATGAGGAAGGGATCAGCGGTGGGGAACAGAGGGTTTTCATGGGAACCTCGTCCATAAGGCCACGGTGAACACCGCCAGGGCTCCACACTTAGTTTTTGTTGAAAGCCTTGCTCTGGTGATTTTGCCAGGTCTTGGACATTGGGGGGCTGAACCCAAAGAGCCTTTGGCATCTGGAGAAGAGCCCTGACAGATCGAAGACGGTGCTGCTGTGGATCTCATGCCTGATTATGGAAGCACACCACAAGAAGACCATCGAGGTCCCCGGGCCAATTCTTTCAAGGGCATTCCAGGAGCTGTCCCAGGGGATGGTTTGTGTTACAGACCTGAGAAAGATTCGCGACGTGCCCTTTCCCTTTCCGTACTCACAGTACCTCCTCTACATGCTGATTGCTCATTGGATTCTCGCCCCCCTGGTGGCTAGTCAAGTGGTGCTTAGACCCTGGTGGGCCGGCATCATGGTCCTGGTCGTTTCCACATCCTACTGGACATTGTTCTACATTGCGCAGGAGATTGATCAACCTTTCGGCGAAGATGCCAATGATCTGCCCGTCCGTGAGATGCAGCAACAGTTCAACACAAAGCTGCAGTTCTTTCTGGAGCCCGCATCGACGAAGATCCCAGATTTCACCTTGGAGTCCAGTCAACATCTCCACGTGTTGAGATCCTCCTACAAGATCAACCCGTCAGCGATTACAAGTCCTTATTCCATGACTTCCGTGACGGCCCAATCTTTTCACATGGATGATGGGCACAGAACTGCGACGCCCGAGCGCCAGGACTCCAGCAGGGAGGTCCAGGGCTTCTCATCCTTACTGGACCCTCTGGAGCCCAGAATGATACATGAACTGCTGTCGATGCTTCTGCCTGATGTGGACGCTGCACACGTGAAGCACATGCTGCAGATCCTTGGCATCGATGATCAGACAGAGTTGGGCACACTCGAAGAGAAGCCATATCAGAGCGAGGACTTCGAGAGGCTGCACGAGCAACTCCACGAAGAGAGGCGGGCATCCCTCAACGACGTCTCAGTCCGCGTTGATGATTTCTTACGGCAGGAAAGCCCAGAAAGCCAGGAGCCAGAACTCCAAAGGAGCTTTGCTTCCTTGAGTGAAGCGTTGGCAAAGACTATGCCTCGGGTGAAGCGAATCTAGTGGAGAAGCGATGTTTCAAAGGATTCCAATCACTCGTTGCCTGTGTTCTGAGCACGGGTGCCAGATCACTCGCTCGATTGTTTGGCTTGTCTCGGACGGCTTTGTTTGTAGGCTCTGTAGACATAGCCGTTAAACCTTTTTGTGGTAGTATGTGTTAATTCGTTGGGCCTGTGCCTGCTCTGCGTTGCCCTGCCACACTTCGTGGGCGAGCCCACTATGGCACTCTATAAGTATGCCGCTCAACAAGCGCCACAGCATTGTGTTGGGCAAGTATGTGCACGGTATGGGCAGTAAAAATGGGCAGAAGCCTTTCCGGTTCACACTTTGCCGGCGGCAGGGCCTGCACGATTATGCAGATGCCACGGCTAGTACATCGGTGGCCAGAGAGCTACAGTTGCAAAGCCCGGAGCAATGAAATTAGGCGGAACCATGACGAACAAAAGCCACAAGCCTCACCCGGGTTTCCTTGCGGTTGTTGCTACCTGCGGCTGCCTATAACACACAAAAATAAGTGTACATTAAACCCTAGACCGGACATGGCTGCTTTACCCAGGTGTGCGAGAAGCGGGCAGGGCAGCTTGATGTGGTCAGCGCGTGCACGGCGCTGAATCGGATTGTGGGGGGCTGAGAGCCACCCCGGCGCGTGCAAGTATTCTTGGCTCTGAAAGGCCCCCCCCCAGTGGGCACAGGAAAGACAAAGGCTTGTAACAGAGGGTCGGTTCCGCGAAGGCTTTGTAACGGGAAGGGGGGGGGTGGGGGCGGGCGAGGGGACCGGTTTTCGCACACTGCTGGGTTTTCCTAAAAGAGCAAAGTTGATGGTTTAGAGGCAGATCCATCTTGGTATTCCCCCAAGCACTGAATTCGTCCTTCTGATGCCGCGGACATCCCAAGCCCCACCTGTTTTCTCCGAAAAGCGAACAGCTGCCTGTGGTGAGGCAAAATGCGGTGGCGGCGCCGAGGAGCCTTGAATTGGGACAGGGACGGTGGCTTTCCGGGTTTGGGGTTTAGAGATTTTGTAGGGTTTAGGGTTAAACAATAAAGGGTTTATAGGGTTTAGGGTTTATAAGCCACGAGAGCTGTCCCTGGCAGGCTTGACGTTTCGAATGCCTGAGAGGGAGCGAAGGTTTATAGGGTTTATAAGGTTTATAGGGCAAGCTACGTACCACAGGAGCCCTGAAGCAAAAAGGGTTTTTAGGGTTTGTAGGGATTAGGGAAATACGATTCTTGACCGTGGCAGCCGAGAAGTGCATGTGGACGTACTTTGATTTTGATGGCAAGATCTTGCTTTAAAGCCTTGAGATCAGTACTGCGCCCCAGACGCACTAAGCAAAATGCACCCTTCAAATGCATCAAGCTGGGACAGTAAGACTTTGTAAGATTCAGTCGAATCTACACTCGGCTCGAAGACTTCGTAGACTATGAGTGAGAAAGGGTGAGTTGCCACTGCATCCGAGCTGCATCCGACCCTAAACCCTAAGCCCCACACCCTGCGAGCGCGAGAGTCGTCCCCACCCTAGAGCCCTGCATTCCTGGCATGTCGCTTGCTCGGGCGCCGCGCTGTGCGGCAACGGGGGCGGGATGCATGCCACGAGCGGCACTGCAAGGTGCGGTGCGCACCACAGGTTGGGGGTTTAGGGTAAAGAGTTTTTGATGCTCTGAGTCTGGGTCTAGGGTTCAGGGTTCAGGGTTCAGGGTTTAATGTGGCAAGATTGTCCGGAGCCGAGTATTCAAAAGGGTTTAGGGTTTGCGGTTCAAGGTTTCGGTAAGCTACTCTCCCAGCTGTTCCAAACCTGCCCAGATCGCGATCCGCTCCATCCGTCGCGACCAGAGCCCCATGAAGACACCAGAGCCTTGCCCTGCAGCTCTTTTTTTCGCGAGCCTTTCACCCGTTTCAACACAAGCCTCATAGCCTGATGGAGAGATCTGAGATATTGTTCTATCCTAGAAGTTTGAAGATCTCGCAAAAAGTACGATCTTAGATCTTGTTTTTTTTTTCCTGGTCCTGGCGCCTTTTGTTTTTCCCTTGCCCCAGGCCTTGACATCCCGAAGTCTGCCGGGCGCATCCCCAAGTCACTTAGCCAAGGAGGCCAAAGTGGCGCTCTTTGCACTCGTTTATTGTAGAGCTATTTGTTTAGGGTTTGGGGCTTAGGGCTTAAGGGCTTAAGGGCTTAGGGTTTAGTCGGTTTAGTCGGTTTAGTCGGTTTAGTCGGTTTAGTCGGTTTAGTCGGTTTAGTGTAGTGTGTTTGAGGAGGGGGAACAAGGCTGGCATGAAGGTATGGGCTGCTACAGTAGGACCTGGGTACATCGGCTTTCGGACGGCGTTGATGGGTTGTGAGAGGAACCGCCGGAGTAATTCGTCTGCAGTTTGGGAGGCATACAGCCGCAGGGCTATGGTGCTCTCCCTCAGTCGCCTCGAGCTGGACTAGGCAGAGGGCATTCCACCATCGACGAATTTTCGGGCTTGCTGGACGTGGGCAGCCGATAGACGCCACGTTTGTGAGAGGAAGCTCTGCGTCGTTAACCTAGGCACTCTAGTGTAGACTTGGACCGACAGCCAAAGGTCATTGCAATTCAGTTGAGTTCTCCGGTCTTTAGATGTTGCTCTCGCCCCGGAGATGTGGCAGCCGGGGGCATGCTTGTGGACAGCTCGGATGGCCTCCTGTCCACTGGGCAGGACCGAATTGCGTGTGAAGGTTTCAGCTCCTGCGAAAAAAATTTTCTGAACCAGCTTGTAGCCTTACATGCCTTAGGACGAGGACCTGCTGGAGGAGATCCGCTCCCTCGAGAACCGCCTGAGGGAAGAGCTTCTGGGCTCAACATGGCTCAACTTTCGAAGAGAAATCTGGGATGCTGCGATCTATGCAAGAGGGAGCGCAAGACATCGTTCAGCGACTCAGGATTGCCTGGGCCCAAGAACACGGCGTCCAGCTGGCGGGGCCTCCTTGTCAGCAAATAGCCCAATGTTGTTCAGTCTTCGCTGAAATCTCGGAGTTGGGTCCAACCGTTAACTGCTTCGCAAGGCCTGATGTTGTGGAGCCTGCGGCGGCGCAGTCATTCTCGGGGGCCATGCATGCGGAGGAAACCTATGCGGGCGACCTTCGCGGGACCGACCTCAAATCGCAGGCGTCCAACAGGGACCACCCACAAGCGATCCAAACACGCTGAAGGACACCCCATGTAAGATCCCTGAACCACTGGGGGGGGAGGAGGGGTTGTTTGGGCTCTCGGACATCGGGTTAGTCTGGCATCTGTGTTGGCGCGCTCAGAGCTCGGAGCTGGGAGTGCCGGGGGGGGGGGGGGGGGGCAAATGGCACGGGGTAAAGG